TGTCATTTTTGATGCATATATTCTTTTCTTATTAAAATTTGCTTAAATAATTTCTTTGTTACCTTTGCATCGTCGCTGACGTTGAATGAAAGCTGCACGAGACCCTCTTCCATCTAATCATGACAGGAAAACTGGTGAAAATTGATCCGACACAAGTTTAAAAGCGCTCGGCTGAAAAGTGCATTATATTATGGAAGGAAGGCGTTCTGTTCATTATGCCGGCGACGCTTTTCAATTTTTGAACATGCAAGCTGCCAGTCTTCATCTCTCGGGCCGCTCTATCATTTCAGCGAACGAGGCGCGCGTCGGCAAATTGCATTACACGCAGCTAACGACTTTGTGATTTAATTATAAACTCGACGTCTATCAAGTGGCCGGTACCAAAAGTTTCCAAATACATATTTATATATATCAAGCCCGGCGAAAAGTTTTAATTAAAAACGATTGCATTTTGATCACAAAGCTCTCCCCCTCGCTCGCCGGTTATGGTAATTAGCGGGCAAATCTGCATGCGGACGCTGATTGATTTCGGCGCTAGTCCCGGTACGTTGCATGTGAAGTGCACTTGTTGTTATTATAGCCACGGGGCGGGCCGGTGTGTATTTCCGCTTTATGGCCGTTCGCAAATCGCCTTCAATAACTCTCCCGCCGGCCAATAATGGAAAGTGATTGCCCACGGTCCGAGTTTTAATTCAAATTTGCCTGTAATCGATTGACATTTGCATCAGTCAAGGGGGAGAGTGAATGAAAAGGCCGTTACGTGGTGCGACTGATGGACGTGACAGTTTTTCTCATTGAATGTAGCTTGGAAAGGAATTTTACTAAATAAATCGTTCATGCCAGGGCACTTTTTCTGATCTCCTGATATATAAATAATGACTATAGAGGTTAAAATTACCAAGAAATTCTGAATATTAATAAAAAATCATAATTAATAAACTCAGGTGGGGCAATTTATTTGTTAAACTACTGAAAAATTTAAATAAAATTTCTGTTAAGTAAGCAATTGGCTTTTAAGTGTTAATTAAAACAAGGATGGCCCAAGGAAAAGAGTATTTGAAGTTGTTTTATGTAATTGAACATTTAAAATTTACACTTTCTAACATTTTACCATGAATTTATTCATATCGATTTGTGTAGTTTCCAGTGCTCCATGCTTCCATAATTTACACTTTTTGTTAAGCTCCTGGGCATGTCCAATGGCGAGGCACAGATGAGTCAAAGCGCCACGGCATGAACATAAAAATGTGAGATTTAAAAGCCTGATATATTTTATGATTTTATTTAAATTCAATGTGATCAACAGCATAATTAATTACGTTAATAATAACGGGCTTAATTTTTTGGTCCTTAATAAAGCTATAAATATTTTTTTTTTATTCATACCATTTTCAAATTTACTATAGTAAATAATTTTCTTATTCAAGTACCAATTTTGCTCGATTGTTTGTAAATATTTAGACTTTACAAATATTTGACTTGTTACTTCGCAGCAGCGGTTTACAAAATTTGATACGTTTGATAGCTATAGCAGAAATTTGATAAGGATGATTACACTGTGACTTAAGAGATAAGACAAAGCTTTCTCAATCAATTCTGCACAAAACTTTCCTCCACCAAGGTCTAAAAAGGCGCGTACAATGAGTAAAAATTGCACACCAAATTGCTATATAGATGAAGTTATAAAATTCACGGCACCTTCAAACTCAATTTAGTTTTCCAATTTTAAAGCCATATCTGTTAAGGGAGCAAAGTATCAAACCACGTTAACAATTTGAAGCTGAGAGCGTTTTTGCATAATTGATGACGAGATTATTTCATCACCCAAGCCTTAAGCAAACTCGATTTCACGTGTGCGCTCCAGAATTCCAAATCCGTTCGGTATCTTTACACGATCGCGCCACACACTTTGAATATATAGGACACGGGGGTGCATGCAGGGTGTGGAAATAAATCATGTTGCCGATGTTCCCCCGACTTGATTAATGGGCCTCTAAGTACCACTTTTTCTTGCTCCCAAATAAATTTAATCCGCCCCGGCCCGCCACAAACTGATAAAAATACTGTACCGCACAACAAGAAGAAATAGCTTTCAGGGATAAAAAGGGCCGCTGTTGAATTAAATCGGTTTCCTTCTCCTCGGATTAGCGGCGATGATATTTACCCACGCTGCCGAGCGATATTTGCACAAGTCTGGGTGGGTGGGCGTCCGAAGTTTGCGGGTGGGGCTGTTTGGAAGCGGTGCCAGTCAAAGCACTGGCCCTATGGCAAATTATTTGACAACACGTGCTGCTAATGGTGCAAGTTGGCACAGCTGATGCGCACCCAAGGCACTTTTTGAACTACAGCGGATAGGACCTAAATTCTCTACTTTTGCAAGAAGTAATGTGACGAAAAATCGGTAAATCGACCAAAGAAATAAAGGGAAAAAAATATTTATTTCAACTTCGCCAATATTTAGAAACGAAATTTTTTTATAATGGCTACCCACTCACTATAATCTTAAAACTGAATTTCCATTTAATCGTAGTTATTCAGTTCAATGCAAAATTTGCAAGTTCAGACAGTCTTTCAGCTATCGCACAGTATTTACTGCATCTTGAATTTTAACATAATATATTTTACAATATAATTATTCAAATGTTAATTTAAGCATTTATATTTTTTACATAATGTTAAGTTCAACCCAAGGAGTCGATGGCTAAAATCAATTTTTCAAGTAATGTCGACTTACAATCATAGGGAAAACGAAATATGTCAAAAAATATCATGTGGCTGTTAATTTTTTTTTTTATCGTAGATTTCATTTTACATGTTATATTAATTAACACACATGATTTTAGTAATAATATTTAATATTTGCTAATTGTTTCATTTTAATTTATTAATTAATTGATGATTTACATACAAATTTTACAACTTTTGTTTTTTGTTATTAAATTTGAATATTGACAAATTATTACACACTAAGGAGATGACAATAATTAACTCTTTGATGCCACAGCAAAAATGTTAATTTGATGTTCACCAAGATTATGAGTTTCTTTTCTCTTTGTTACTATGAAATAAATAAAAATTAATAATCTAAAGTTTTCATGATCGGCCATAACAAAAGTGTAAGTCTTTAATAAAAATGCTCTATGATGCTCTATTAATGAAAAAAAAAAGAAAAACAATACTTAAGGATTCTTTGAATGAAATTTGAATACCTTAATATTTTTCTGGTCAATAATTAATCTGACAATAAGATCCACACATAAAGTATTTCCAATTCAAAAAAATTATTAAACTGATATTACACTTAACACGTCATAATGATCTTGTTAAAATGGTTCTAGATTTGACTCATTTGTAAATTTTTAGATTGGATTTTGCAGCTGTGACCGTTTGCGTTGAATAACGGTCAGAGTTGCGAACGGAAGTTTTTGCGGTGCGCACCGGAACAGGGTGCGCGTGGCGGACAGACCTTTACTTGTGTGAGGGTTCGACGAACAAGATGATCGCTGCTGGTGCTCTCTGTTATCACCAGGGACTCATTTATCAAAAGCGTGCAACTGGACAACCAGGATTTTTCTTCCGGCTCCGCCACCTCTGGGGGATAATCGCTCACAAATGGACGTATTTTTCAACTCGCTACTCTCGATTTTTGATCAGCAAACACGCCGTAAAAAATATTACCACGCACACGGTGCAGCTGCTCGAGCGGCGATAAATCAATCTGCGAACGCGCCCAGCCAATTTCGAGCTCGCATTATATGGACTAGTGAGTGGGCATTCGCTTAATGTCCCCGCAATTTTCGCACCACCGCTGAAAGTATGAAGCTAGGTCATGTTGTGCGGATTAAAATGAAACTAATCCAGTCTGAATAGCAAGTAGAAAAGCCGAGAGTGCATCTCGCTGCCAGTTGGGGTTATCTCGTGCACGTGTCGCAGGTAAAAAGACAGTTGCAATTTCACGGCGGACTTGATAAATGGCCAACTTTACAGCTGCTAAAACTTTATTTTCGCTCGGGGCGTTTTCTCTCTCCTGCCTCAGAAAAAACAATCTACACGCTGGCTGCAAAGCGAGATTAGTTTGTCGTGTCCAAGTTTTGATGATAAATAATCCACTTTTCGAGGCAGCGAGTTGCGCGCCACATTCAGACTCTCTTTCTCCTTTAACTTCCGACGTGATATTTGGTCTCACTTAAACCTATGAATTACCAGGACCGTTGTCGTGATTACTTTTTCCAGCTACTCTAAAACTCCACACGGACGGGCTCGCCGACACTTTTTTCCACGTCTCTAACCTTTTTCAAGATTAATTCATAATCCTCTTAAAATTCCACGTGAACTTCAGCTGCGCGATTACAAAGCTTTTTATTCTGCTGTAACGCGACTTGATTGATTTATGAGTAAAATGAGGCGCACTTTGGTTCAGCTTCGGGACAGTGCTTCGATGGATTAATTATAATGGATGGCGATCGCTTTGATGCCCCGTCATTTTGAACAAAAAGATCTAAAAAAAAATTAACTGTATTAATCACCATCATAATAAATTATAAGGAATAAAAAAAATTTAATTAAATTTTTCTAATTTTTAAGTTATTATTCTTAAATTTCGTTTGACAAAAGAAGTGACGGATATTTTATTTTAATAATAAACTTAAGTTGCAGGTACCAGACCAGACACCAAATATATTATTGCGAACGTCTCTTTCAACCATATTAAAATAAGGCCACGAATTTTTTTTTAAATAATTTCAATTTAATTTACGAAAATATAAAAATAGATAGCTAGTAATTAATTTATTATGCAAATGTAGAGATAAAATAGCGCATTTTCTTAGAGCTTCTTACCTTTTTCACCCCTTGTGGATGCAAACGACATCTGTGGTGTTCCTGCCAGCTTTCAGAAAATCAATATTGGCATCCGCTGAACTTACTCCTGCAAAGAGTAGATGGCAACAGTTGATTCTTTTCCAGAATTAAATTGGAAAACTCATGAAAAACGAATAAAATTATTTTCTGCAAATCTATTTCTGTATCATTTTATTGAATAAACACATTGGAAAATGTTTAAACTTATTTTTAAATGCAATGAATAATTATGATCAAAACTTTTATCCAAAACTAATTTTATTTAGGTCATAAGCAAAACGAAAACAATTTTACACAATCAATATGAAAAATAAATTATTAAAACCGACTCTCCCAAGAATCTGAATTGTTTGACAGTGTAATTTGTAGTTAATTTAAGTCTTTTTCCACGTCAGTATAGACTTCCAAGAACTTGAAAGTTTAATTAATTCTTACTATTATAACTCTGGCAATTTTCCCCTAAAAGTCTTTGCATATAATTAAATTCAGCTTCGTCAGGAGAAATTTTTAAGTATAATTTACAAAAAAAAATATGCAAGTATTGCAAGTGAAAAATGCTTTCAGACGTATGCAATCCGCTTGACAGTGAAGCATTGCAGGTTGCATATTTAAAACATGAATAAGTCATAATGCAGAGATTAATTTTACTTTTGATGCACTAATTTAACTAAATTAAGGAAAAAGGCTACTTGCTAGCCAACATTTGTCCAAAATTATATATGTATGTGCAATATACTTTTTGCAAACAAAAACTTTACAAGGCTCAGTCTCACGCGCCCATTGAAGTTAGTGGATGATTGCTTGGCCCTAGTTTATATATGATGGCAATAATTTATTTTATGAGTATCTTAAACACTACAGTAATTTTAAGAGATTACAAATTTTGCACTTAGTTAACAATTTTGTTCAAGATGATAATAGTTTGAAAGAAATTACATTTGGAAAATGTTACAAAATCTTTCCACTTATTCTTTCCACTGAGAAAAATGCAAGAAAGCAAAGAGAAACCCACAGGAGCTGGAAGAATGAGGACAGTCCTTCATTGAGGATTATGAAAAGAATCAACGACGTGGGAATTACAAGTGAACTTGATGTCTTTTGATGCTTAGGAACTCTGCAACACAGTTGCGAAATGCACAGTATACAGTTGGCTGCGTTGTAAAAGCATAAGAGAGATCACAGGTCAGTGCTGGGATGGCGGTGCACCTGGATAAGGATAGCACCTGGAGAGGCTGGGCGGCCGATGCGGACCTGGAGAACCACTTCCTGAGGAGCCTCCTGGAGGCGTGTAAAGAGGCGGTGGACTCGGCCAGTAGTGTTGCGAGCCAAAGATGCTGCTCGGAGAGGTTGGTGTGGCCCCCGTAACAACAGGCCCTGATGAAAGCTTTCCATGGCACTAAAATTTTAAATAAAAGTACGATTACAAAAAAAAAATCTATCATATATCAGTTAAATATTTTTATTAGAAAAAAATTTCTTAAATTTATTTCAATTGGCACAAGATATATAATTTTCTATTTTAGTTCTTAAATCTGCACCTCTGCTAAGTGATATGATGTGTGAGGAGAGCCGAAAAGGCTGCTTAATTCTCCAGGGTATCCAGGTGGACTTTTGTAAGGTGATGCCGCCCCAGAAGACCCTTCTCCGTTTTGTGCTTGGCAAGCCTGCATCAGTCCAGTGAAGTCAAATTTGTAGGCGTACCTTTTTCCGTGCACTTTGCTCATTATGTTTTTGTCGTAGTAGTACCTAAAATTAACATTACATTTAATTCATTTAATATTTTAATATTTTTTTTAATTGTATTTTAACAATTTGGAGCCGTCGTTCTCCATATATTATCAGTTTTAAAGGGCGGTGTGCGTGGGAGGCCGACGTGGTACCTGAGAGCTCTACTGAGCTTGTCGTAATTCATGTTGGGTTTGGACTTCCTCTCGCCCCAGCGCCGGGCGACCTCGTCGGGGTCGGTGAGTTTGAATTCTCCATTGGTGCCCTCCCAAGTAATGCAGGCCGCGTTGGACGAATCCGAGAGGAGCTCCAGCAGAAACTGCCACAGTTGGATCTGACCTGATCCTTGCGCGACCAATCGACTGCCGGCCGCGTTTAGCAACTGGTATGGATCTGCGGGCAAAGAAGCATAAATTAAGTTGTGGCGAAGGTAAAGGAGTGGCACAGCAATAAACAAAATACATATTTGCCTCCGTAAAGAATGAAAAGGACTTTTCCTATAGTTTAGCTGCATTATTGTGAAGAAATAAATTTAAAATGCACACTCCCAAACAAAACTAAACTTGGAACTTGCCCATTGCAAGTTTAAAAGGACGTCGATAAAAGAGCCGATAAGACGCTTTATCTTGGTCTGACCCAAATGAAAAATGATAAAAAAAAAGTATAATAATATTATAATAAAGTAGAGCTTTTATATTAAATGAAATGTTTGTTGAGTTTGTCAAGACCTTATAGCTGACGTGTAAAAAAATAAAATAATTAACTAAATTAATTTTTTTCCTCCTTTTTTTACATTAAACCTGATGAATTATATTTTCAATTTTTTTTTAACGTTTTCTCCGGTACACATTTAAAAATAATGAATTTTGCATCATCATAGTGTGACGCGAGAACAGTGTATTTTGAGTAGTCGCAATTTGCGGTTGATTTTAATGGCTGCATCGGCGCCAGCAGAAGCGAAGAAAACAACTGGCGCGCCGCAAACAAGCGTCCCGTCGCCAAAGCCACTGAAATAGCACGTGTGATTTTGTGTGACGCGGATATAAAAGCGAATCAATTATTATTTCGCAAGCGAAGGCACTTCTTTTTAGAAGCCGTACATAATTACAATATAATATTGCCTTTCCAACTGACCAATTGATACAGACACACTCGCCATAAATTAACGGTTTTATCAGCCGCAGTCTCTCCCAAGAAGGCAAGGTCGTTTCAGCGGGCGTCCGAACCGAAACTCGTTAGATGCAGAAGGGGAATTGTGTGAAGCGTTTTCCTGCTATTTTTTACGGCTCTAATGACATCCTCATCTAGCCCAGGCCATTTGCATGTGAGATGAAGTCGTGACTTTCGAAAAGATCACATCCGTCTTGCTCGCGTCCCGCACTTATTGCTACATCTAAAGCACAATAAGGCGCTCGCTTTGAAGAGCGATGCTTTATAATTATATTATCTCTGCTATAACGCAGGAGCGGATTTGGCTCGAGACAAATCCTGGACCATAAATATATCACTAAAGTAAGCAAGCAACGCACTCTCAGACACACCACAGCACATCCTGAAGCAGAAAGTGGGCGACGTTATAAAATTTGCTGATATACACAAAGCAACACTATCTATTAGTGAATTTTCCCAATAGCATATTTATTTTTCATGTAAAATGAATAGGTTTGGATTTTATTTAAAAAATAAAAATAATTTAATGGTATAGCTTTTTATCACTCATATTGCATTAACTCCAATAGTTTTAACCTAAATCTTATTATGATTTTTTTTTCTTGCTAAATAAATATTTTTAAACTTTATTTTAATAAAACTACGTGGAGTGGAAAAACATCAAATTTGGATTTTCAGACGTGTCAAAATTTGTTTTATAATGAAATCTGAAATTTCATAATTATTTCAAGCTCTGACGTGTCAAAGATTTGATATGTAGCATATTTTTCTTTTAGTTTTTTAAATGAAAAAAAATTCTAATTTGAATTTTACTAGATTTACAAAGGAACAGGCGCGAAAAAGAAAAAGAATTATTTTCACTGGTGTCTATTTCCAACAAATTTCTTGGAAAGCAATCTTGACCCGTCCGCACAAAAGATAAAGATCGCACTTTAAGGTGTGATCCTCCCATGGAATTGACTTCTAAAAATATTTCACCTGCCCCGCAGGTCAATTTATTGGCCGCTGCTTAATTGGAGTCAAAAATTCTTGTACCCGCCTACGGTGATTAATGAGAAGAAATAAACCCCTGCTCGAATATGCACGCTCCTTATAATTTAACTGCCGGTCGCCAAGATGAAAGGTTCGGTAGTAGGTGGTCTACCGCTTATAAAATTTGCCTCACAATCGTGTTTATATTGCACGGCGACAGGAAGATAAAAATCTTCTTCATCGGCGGAAAGGGCTCGTCGGTCACAGCAGCAGTCTAGTATGTGTGTAATATAATAAGTAGATAGGCGCGTCGCTGCTTTCAGACGAAAAAAAGGACCACCAAAAGACCACGCGCATACTTGATACCTAATTTGCTGTGAAGTTGTGAACTGAGATTATAAACCTTTTAAGTGGCGACTGCGAGAGAAATCAATGAAATTCCTGTGTGTGGCCAAGCGTTTATATTTTTTTTTTAATTCTCCAACAACTTTATAGGGAGGAATGCCGCTGTTAAAAATTAGGCAGGCAGTCAGAATGTTTTGTTGATGGGCAACAATAAAATTTGAAAGGATAGCGGAAAACCATCATAAGGAACACCCAACCGATTTAGGGAATTAGATTTAGTACATTTATTAATTGTCTAGCATAATAAATTGAAAAAAAATTATAGATAAATCTTTAATTACAGTTCAGTTGCATATCAAAACTTTGAAATTTAAAGTTGAATGGTCGAAAAAAAAATTATTGAAATAAATATTTATTAATATTGATTAATATGTTTTCTACAAAAACAGTAATATTGAGTAAACAAAATACTTCTATAAATTTAAAACTAGTTCTGTAACCGTATTTAAACAAGAAAATAAATCACAATATTTATATGCATTTAATTAAACTTGATAGTTTGAAAATTTATGTTACTAACATAAAATAATTTTAATGTAAAAACTATTTCCAGTGTTTAAAGGAAACGGAAACAGCTCTTTCAACAATCCAACGTTATGAAAAAATGATAAAGAATTTTCAGATATTTCATCTAACTTTTCTCTAAAGGTCATCTTTTAGTTACTGCCGTCCATCTAAAAAATTATATGGTGGCTGCGCTTGTCAGTCAGGCACTTAGCATCCTGACAATGAATGAGTCACTCCAAATTCGAAAATCACGAGCGGCGGCGGCAGCGGTACAAAGAGGAAACTAAACTACCTGAGCGAAGCATAATTATTGTTTTCCTATTTGACCTGAAAGAGTGCGGCTTCAACAAAGGACCGCGCGGCAGGTGAAATTGCACACAGATCCAGTGTTGTGATTCCCCACTCTAGGACCATCGCCACCCACGTGAAATTCGCGCGCGTCCTTGCCAAAGGTAAAGGAACGGGCGAGTCATCTCACCTTCTCATTATTCATCTGCGGATCGCACGCCGTTGAAGACGAACAGAAAAAAATGCATTCTGTGAGGTCCGCTGGAAATCACGCTTCTTTGCGGTTCATTTCTGTTCTGTCGGACATGACAGGAAGAAGCAAATTTATTTTGATTTCGATCACACGCCGTGATTTTTCTAATCACAGGCAGAGATTGTTATGTTGTATTTAATGATGCGAATCACCAAATATAAATGCAAAAAAAAATTAGATTCAATTTCCTCTCTCACTTCTCTCCCAACAATTCAACGACAGGTAAAAAAGAAAGAAATGGTTGTAAGAAGAGTAAATTTTAATGTTTATAATATTTTAAAATTAATTCGAACCTTTTGTGATTAATTTTAGCTTTCATTCTATTTCCATTTTTTCGGGGTGATTCATTTTTCATTTCAATCAGTAAAAATACTGCAAATAAAATATAATAAAACCTTTTTCTCAAACAAATTATTTTCCGAAAATTGAATGTAAATAATGAGACGAAACAATTGGATAAATAAACATCAATAATAAAAAAATCAATGTGATACAAAATTAAATTTTCTTATTATATTTAGTGTATATGTATTTTACAAACGCGTATTGAGAGTGTTTTCAGTGCAAGTTAATTTTATTAAGAGCCAGCAGTGCTAATCTGATTTATATCCTAAAATCAAAGTGTTTGAAATGAAAATTTCAGTTCTGACAGTTGAAGCTCTCCCTTCGTCAAATTTTGTTCAGAGCGTTACACAAATTAAAACGAAACCGCAAGTAGACTTGCTTCTCGGAAATCAAGCTCCATTTGAGATCCCAAGAGCCGCGCGCGCCAGAAAATTTTCCTTGGTGCATTCCTAGTATACGGGGGCCAATTATTATTTGCCATGCAGCGGCAGTGATTGAACGCGGCGCACACACAATTTCATCAAAAGCAGGAGTGGCAGTTCAACTTTGAGGAAGAGCTGCGTTATAAATAAAAATAACGCGCGCTCGGCAATGTGAACGGAGGAGGCTCGGAGAGCGAACAATGAGAAGAAGAAAACTTCAATGCTAATGCTTGGGATTCCCCGAGTCAATTTATACACAATGTGACAAAAAGCTTCCGCAAAATTAGTTTATGAAATGGAAACGTAAATTTGGAATTTTAAAATTTAAATTAAATAAAATTTTATCGGCTGCTTACCATTGTAAAGCATAGGCGATTTGACTGCTGACCTGCGGATGATTTCGAGGTGGTGGTCTGCAGAGGCCACGGCCGCGGCCACCTTGCGCCAATGTGCCAGCTCCACGGGCCGGCCTGCGGGCTTCCACATCCCCGCAACCAAGAGACTGACGCGCGTACAATTCCCACACCACCCTCGGGGACGCTCGACCCGGGGTGCCCAAGATTTCGCGCATGACTGCACCCGATCATGATTTCATTATCGGCCGCTTTCTTTTTGTTGATAGAGGGACAGGACGTGATTGAAAAGGTTAAGTTGTGGCATTATTTCATTGTAATGCACATGAAATTCCTACTGCGACGATTTAAGTCTCCAAAATTCAAAGAATTCCAAATAACCTACACAATTTTTAGTCATGCAATATTTCAGTTAAATTCACTATTTCACTACAAGAAGGCAATCTGGTATAAGCATTTTTTCAAGTAAAACAATGGAAAGAATAAACCAGAAAACAAATAACTTTTAAATTATCTTACTTATTATCAGTTCCTCGTGAGTCTTTTTTGATTTCTTGGATGCTTTTAAAAATTTTTTTAATTATAAGTAGTAATTTTTATTTTAAATTATGCTTTAATCCAGTTTAAAAATAATAATACCTTTATAAATTATTTTAATATTTTTTTTAATTTATAGAAATAATATTTATTATTTATTTTGTAAATTTATAAGAATTAAAATAAAAAATTCAATTCAACAGTTTTTATATGCAATTAATGTTATAGCAACTAAATGATGCCCTTTTTTAATTTATTTTGTGTGCAAGCTCTTCAAAATTGTCATCTTTCTCAAAATTAAATTCTTCGTCAGGTATTTTCATTCAATATAATTAGGTTTTACCGTGTTGTATTTAATATATAACTTAATTCCTAAAGATTATTTCTGAAATAAATGTATTATTATTAAAAATGAAGCTTCTAGATTTGCTAAATCCGACGGAGCAAAGCCAAATCCACTGCTGACCATAAAACATAAGAGGAACGGACAAAGGCAATCCACGGTGAGAGCTCAGTTAATGCGATAATTATTCATTTCGCCATTTGAGCAAAGCGCCTCATCCTTCCTTTCTACATTTCCTTCCTTCCTCTTCGGAAGGAGCTTTCGATGTCGACAGTGGGTGGCGGCGCGCGTCGCCAGTGAAATAATCAAGAAAACAATATCGAGGGACCGCCCGCGGAGGCCGGCTTTTAAATGTTATTTAAACAATCATATATCACCAGGGCTCTGTGTCAAGTACGGGACAAGTAGGATTTGGCGCGGGCTTAACTACCCGGCCCGAGACTCACTCCACGGGGCGGCTTCTCATCTGAAAGTCAAATGCCGCGCCCCCGACTTTTATTAAACGCGTGCGCACCTTTATTGCCAGTTTATTCTAAACATACCCTGCCTGCACTGTACTGACACCTTCGAGCACGTCAAATTAAATTTGTCGCCAGAATGACTATGATTGGGTCGCCGGCCGAGTTTCGCTCCTCACAAAAATAAGACGCTCGCCAGACAAACGCGCAGAGAAAAGAGCTAGCGGGGTGAGCTGGGGTGGATGGGTCTTATCTTGACCTCATTGAGCCGGCCTCGCTGCATAAAATGCACATTTACTTTTCACCTCGGCGATGATGCCGCCTGCCCCTCAAATGGATTTGCACGTATTTTTCTCGCCAAGAAAAGCTAGACGTTCAAATATTTATTATTTTTTTATTTTTGGGTCTTTTGTGTCAAGAGTTAAAATAAATGGGAAAATATTGCACTTTTCAGTTATATCGTTACATTCGTTGAATCATTAATTAACAATAGGGTTGGGTAAAAAAAGGGATTTTATGGGTTAAAAATTAATATTTAATTTGATATTTGTGATAAATTGTAGATTTTAGTAAAAAAGGAAAAAGAGGTGATTATTGTTGACGTCAAATTGTGTTTTTAGAAAAAAAATTTAATATGCAATTTTCCTGAAAATAGGTAATATTTGTTAAAATTTGGGACATAAAAATATTAAACGATATTAAAAGATCGAAAAATAGATTATTTTGTAAGAAAATAGCTTTTACTTTTATAATTATGGTTTTTTAAAAATTGAAAAACGGTGAATTAGGTAATTCTAAAACATTAATTTTACAAATTTTACTTGAAAAAAGGTTTGATCTTTTTACTAGTAAATTTTATTTAATTTTCTGGGAAATTTTGTGTTCTGAAATCTTCAACTGAATTCGAACCTTTGAAAAGCTGCTATGGAAAGAGCTTAATGATTTCCCAGCAACTAATTTGGTTTCCGTCACACGTAGCGCGAAGGGTCTTGGGAAATAATAAAAAGGAACTGGCCGGAAGTGGCTGCAAGAATCCGATGCGAAAGGAAAACTCCTTATCAGGGCAATAATCTGAGCGATATCCTCTGGCCGGCTTTTATATATTGCTCTGAAAAGATCGAGGGCAGCTTGCCGAAGAGAGTTGGAAAACGTTGGGGCGGCTTTTCTTTTTGCTCAACGCTTTTTCTTCACGCGCGCTTTATTTCTTTAAGCTTTATGGTCGAAAAATACAGTTGGGGAAAGCTATTATCGAAAAATAAAAACACCAGCATGGCGTCAATCTCTCTTGGCCGAAAGGAAAGAACAAGGAAGTCCGAACTTCCTCTCTGCGGATGCAATGAATCACATGCTCATAATATGCGCTGGCTTTCCCTAGTTTCTTTTTTTCAATTAAATGTAAGTAGGAGTTTATGTCTGAGTGACTTTTCTTTCCCCAATTTTTTTTCCATAACGAATTTTTGATTTGATGATTGTGTGTTACAAGGAAATAATTTTGGTGATGCATTTTCTTTTTCTTATCGCGTGATTTAAAAATTAATAAATATCCGAAGTATCCTCAATGTCTCATTTAGGTGGACTTCCCGTCGAGCATAATGAGTAATCTGAACTCATCCGAATCTGACAATCCTTCCTGCTGCAGTGGTGATTTCTGGCTTTTTTTAATACACGCGCGGCAGATGACAGTGGAGAATCGTGCTTATTTTATATATCTGTGTCATCCGCGAGACCGACCGCGTCGCCAGCAGACAAAGCAAATAAACCTGCAGCGCGCTTTACGTATTCCGATTTAAGAGAGAGTGACTTGTTGAGTCAGACGGCAGAAAAAGCTGCAGCAGGAAACCGCCAGCAGACACCCCTTGCTATGGCCGCCCCGGAGATTTCGCGCCCCTCTTTGTTTGCTCATGGATTTCATTTGTGCTCTTTTAATATAAATACCCGGCAGCCCCTCAACTAAGCAATTACATACATAAACGTTTAGGAAGCGGCAAAAGTGAACTTTCAATCAGACTTATATGTTGCCCGTTTGGTCTCACTTTCGAGCAAACACGATGGAATATAACCTCAGCACGTTTATATTTTTATTTATTGCTACTTTTCTCATTAAATTTTATGGTTTCACGCTTGTTTTTGCTATTTTTTATTTTTCATATTTGTTTACATTTTAAACTACAATTTAAAAATTATGAACATAGGAATTACGAAAAACAGAGCTATTTTTTTATAAACCAAAAATTTAGTCATAATTATTTCTACAAAAAATATCTCAAAAAGAATTGGTAAAAATAAAAAAAAATTTACTTGTACATAATGTAAATCCAATTGACTTCTAATTTTAAAATTATTAATTTTCACACCAACATAATATGCACTAAAACTGTAATATTTTGAATAAAAAAGCTTGTAAAACCTACCTTGATTTGGTTCGGAATGTGCAACATCCAGTCTGATGTCTCCTAGGGGACTGGGACTTCGTCCTGTGACGCTGTGCTTCAGATTTGCCAGGTGGGCCGCGAGCACGCTGCCTGCTCTCGGTCCAGCCAGGTCGAGGAACTGCAACTTGCTTAGTTTGCACAGCTCTTGCCCCGTCTTTGGGAAGTCTTGCGGGTCGAGGGGTGGCAGGCAGAACTGCTTGGACACCCATTGCAACCACTGAGCTACATGAATTTCATTCCAGTCGGAAGGATCTGTGAATTAATTAATCAGAATTAATATAATTAAGTCCATCCATCTCACAAACATTTGTTCACTTTTATAAACTTGATTACAAATTGAAATTAAATTTGTAATATATTTTTATTTAATTAAGTTGGTTTATGATAAAAATTATTTTAAAAAGTTTTTAATACTTTTCAAATGATACAAGGAATTTGATATTGTATTTATTTGTTATTCGTTATTCATCATTCGGCCAAACCATGCGTGCTCTCACTTACAAGGAAACTTCCTGTTTGCAGCCTTTGGCAAAGCAATTCTAGTTTTTATCTCAATGAACGTGCAGCGCTGGTCCAGCACCGCGAGATGAATGACTAGATGCACTCAAGGATACTCGTGATTCAGTGTGGGTGATGCATAAAGTAAGCAGAAAAGACACATAATATTTTCGTTCGCACGGTAGTATGTTTGGCATGTTCATTCATAAAATTTTGGTTGTTATATTTTCACTATGTTTCTGCATTTCATCCAGAACAGGCTTACTAAATTAAAAAGTTTAAAATAAAATCAAAGATCAAGATTAATTCTAAACGCCATTTTATATTTTACATAATTTGAAATTTAATCAAATTGATTTAAGTTTATAAAAAAAATTGCAAAATAAATGTCGTATTTTGGCACACATTTCAAATTAAGTCTCTATTTTTCTATGTATGTTGTGAAATAGAGACACTTTTCCTAATAAAAAAACAAAAACGAGCAATTCACTGAAATTTGATAATCATTAATTGGCTCATAATTTAACTTTAATGTTACAAAAGTATCAGTCTATGTTAAGTTTAAACTTTTATCATATAAATTTAATAAGAAAGACTATTTATATGACATGAAAATTATTTTAACTGAAATTTTATCACGAGTCATTGCGGTTTTATAAAAAAATGCTGAAGTTTCCTCACTGTACATTTTTAATCGGAAGTCGTGCGTTTTCAACAATTAAGGACCTTATTGGTGTTTCTTTAATGCTCCTGAAATTTAAATTGCTTTTCAAAAGCAGCAAATGTACTGAGAATCGGCCGGCTTTCTTAAAACTATTCGTAGAATAAACGAAAGCGGGCGTGCATAAATTTGGCTCAAAATATTTGTACGCAGAAGGTTCAATGTAGCTGCAAGACAAACTTATTACGATCGGTGTAACAAGGAAATTGTGGCATATAAATAGCGCTGCTAGTCAGGATCAGGAGCTTGTCGCCATTATTTTATCGCATAAAAGTTGCGTTCAGCGTCCAGCTGGATGCTGTTTTTATAATAAGCGTGTCTGGCTCTGATGCCACCGCGCAACGGTCATAATAAATAAAAAGTTACAAGTAATTACAACCATTGATCAATTAAATTGTAATCTATTGGCCTTTAAATTTGTTGAAATTAATATTTTAAAATTGATGACTATTTGAAAGCTATACCAAATAGTTTTGTTTTTGCCTTTAAATTAATATCTCGCGGCTTGTCCGAATTAAAAAATATATCTCATGATATTAGCAGCAATTATTTAACTAGAATGTGATAATAAATAATTTTTTTAAAGAATAATAAGCCGTCATAATAAGTACACTGTAAAGCCTTTTAGATTTGTTTAGATTTTATTTTTTACTCCAGCATTAAAATTTTGTTGCCTTGATGAATCATTGAAAGCAAACAAAATCCCAAAGATTATTTATTCAAAAATTTATTTGGAAAAATTCCCACTAACTAAATAAACGACAAATTAATAGCAGAGTAATTGATTGTTTTATTGTCAAGAGGTACTAACCGGTTGGCACAACCACTGGCTGTTCTTCTTCGTTGTCTGAGTGGGTCCGGTCGCGTTGCTCATGTCGGGTGTCCGCCGCGTCATCAGCAGCGGCGCCGACTTCGGCGTCGACTACGCAGCGATCGGCGCTGCCAGTGGCGTCCATGCGGGCGTCCCCATGCTTGGACAAGCGCTCGAGCTGCGTGCGATGAAAGTCGCGGGCACACTGCCGAGTGGCGAATTCAGCCTCAATCTCGGCCGACGGCTCAACAAGGAAAAACTGAGCTGACTGCACGGAATGAGTAACCACCTTAAATTCCTGGGATGCTGCGAGGCCCTGCATATTCTGGGTCTCGAACGGCCGAGGCGATCCGATTTTCTGGACACCACTTTTTTTTAGTTTTCCGCGGAGCCCTGCTTTTTCTTTTATCAGTTCCTCCTCTCTTTTGATTCCAAAACCTTTTTCATTCGCGCCATTTTTTTTAGCTGCTATATTTTCGGTTTACATAGTCGCGCTATAAAACTAGCTAGGGGGCTGGTCTCGCGGCGGCAGACGTGTGTGACGTCGGCGGCGAACGCGCGCGTGGGACGCACGCTTTACCATTGCAGCTCCCATATGGGGAGGGATCTAGCTCCTCTTTTTTCTGCACGGAAGGGTTATTCTTAAACCCTCTTTTTTTATTTACAATTTTTATGGGCTGCAAGTGTGCCGCCGAGTGAAGGAATAATAGTTAAAATATTTCAAACATAAATTTTAAACAGAAAATTAACATTTTTTTTTAAATTAATAATTGAATCAATTAAGTTTCTTTTAAAGTTCGCCACCAGCAGTTTATATTTTATTTAAACTTGGTAATATAGGGAAAAGAATCTTTTATAAATTTAATTCTGTATTTTACTTGTATTATGTTAAATATTAATTAATCATTATATCTTAACTAATTAGGGAACGTTGTGAAGTAGAACACACGTGTTTGATGCCAATATAATATACATATGCAATGCCGCTTGCTCAAACTCCCGCCAGACGGATATTCCATTTAGACTTTCAGTTTAATTGTATAATAAAATTATTTTCCGAGAATTGACAATTATTATTGGCACTTGTAAATCCATTCTGCGATATTGGCTCACAAAAAGACAGGTTTTGCCTACTGCTCTGTGTGTTTGTAAAAAAGGGAGCGAGCGGAACGCTCGTTTAATTTCTTTAATTTCGCTCATCACGCATTTGCATGCGAAGCTATAGGTGTTGCAATTATAAGCTGCGGCTTCCACGAAAAGAAATTGTGTCTTTTGCACTCACGGTCAATTCACGTCAAAAGAACTGGAAAAGCTTCTTTTTTTCTAACTGCCTTTATATTACTTTGTGTTTTATATGTTTTCAAAATAAAAAAATCTAATTAAATTGATTAATTTAAAAAAAAGTTTCCCTCATACATCGACGATGATTTAATTTTTAATTGTTCATAATAATATTTAATAAAAAATCATTGTATTATTATAGCGTTATTTGAAAGAAAACTTGGCAAAAATTACAAAAATTACAGACGCGATAGATATAAAATCTTCAACAAAATTGTAATCAGTCCATCTCCTGATCAAGGCGATCGCATCTGGAAGCGTGTGAATAGCGTGAATCATGCTATCAATGCTGGAGTCTCCCTCGTCGCGCGGTGATTCATTCCTTTCAACAGCCGCAGGGCTTTCAAGTGCTGTAGTATGGAGCAGGGACGGAGGATGCAACTGTATTGGTGCTCATTTTCCCATGACCATCACTGACTGATTTGATAAAAAAGGGTAAATAAAACAAAACATAAATCTCGCGTTTAAAGGATAATAAATAATTATCATCAATATCAAGTAGTTATATAGCTTCTTGGTTATTTTTATTCTCAACCAAATATCATTTCTTTATTTAAGTAAAAATTATTTCTTCTCTCTTCTTTTCTTAAGTTTTATCCAAAGGTTGTCGCTTAATTAGTAAAATTGACATAAAAGAGTATTTTAGCATTAATTGAAAAAAACTAATTGCTGGCCGCGCTTATTGTGCTAACAGACTCTCTGGTGCGGTGCGGAGGTGTTGACCGTGATGCTGCGCTATAATCTTATAATATATATACCGATATATTCTACACAAATTCTTTGCGTTCACTTCATTCCATTCTGCTTACTCACAGGATAGACCGCTACTTTTAAGTAATAAAAAAGAAAGAGCACCACACATTAATAAACGTGGTGGTTATTATTATATCAAGTGCTAGCTTATTTATGTGTAAATTTTCTTCTCTCGCGCAATATCGGGCATTTCTCGCATGAATCATTTAGAAAACGTGTTTGGCTTTGCTTGATGCTCAAATGTGATATTATTTAATGAGAGGCGCTTTTTGGAGAAGAATAACAGGCTATTAATCTATCTCGAAACTGTAGTCCAATATTATAATCAAGTGTGCCTGGCTGTGTGGCAAATCAGAAAGATATCCTGTTTGGGTAGGAGTGGTCACACCTAAGGAGCAACAGCATCCAGGAATGTAGAGAGCACACTGGATTCCTCGGCGCATGATCTTGATCGTGACTATCGTGGGAGAATTCCGCGCTTGATTACAATTAGCGGGCGCTGGATGCTGGACCAGGGAGCGGAGCACATGGTTTTAAGCAAATTTAATCACACAAATATTTATTTCAATAATAATATAAATAAATTAAAAATTTATAATATTAAAAAAATATTGCTCCTTTATATCACCTTTTACAACACATAATTTCTGCTTGTACGTATATACTGGGATAAAAATTTAAATATAGTGTTCCGCTACCTGCCCGTGTAGAAAATAGCTGACCTAACAAAACAATAACAGGCAATTACTCCTGACGGGAGAAAATACCAGCCAAAAAGTGTGGCCAGAGGGCTAAAAAAATTTTAAGGCATGATAATTAATCCCTATAATGTGTATGTGATGTGGATTTTAATTTCAGGTGGGTGTATTTATCATCAAAATAGTTCCAGTGCGCTCTCACGTCGGCTCAGTTGCCTTGGGGCCAGTCGGAGAAAATAACTGCAATAATTTAGTCGCGTGTGTATAGCCAAAGGTCTCACAAGCATCTCCTATATTCAACATCGCCGTTTCTTACCGTCACACTTAATACCTCGAGAACGAGGAAAGACTGAAAGAAAATCAGATATGTGCGGCTTTCGCGCGGCGCCTGTGCCAAAAATTCTCATCTGGCGCCAAGTTGCTTGAGGCTTATTACTACAAAAGAGCAACCTGTCGCCTCAAGAAATTTATCTCACCAGAAAAAAAATACTATTTTGATGTATCAAATAATATTTTAGTCATTTAAGTCGAATTGAAAAAAATATAAGTATTTTTTTGTAGGGTTACTGTTTTTGTTTTTTTTTTTACGGTTTTTTCAATTAAACAAAATCTATCAATTTGTTAAAAATATTTGTGTTTGTTTATACATTGATATATATTAAATGATTAGTATAGACTAATCTAGTATAAAAATAATATGAGAGAGGCAAGAGAAAATAAAAATTTAATGGTTTCCATTGTAGCTTAATAATTTTGTATTTTCAAGAAATAACATACGTTTTCATTCACTTTCAAACACTTTTCAAATATACTTTTATGTCTCAGCACTTATTCTGAATTATTCTTATAACAACGAAGCGAATGTAATTTTGTTTCTTGCAACTTCACACATTACTCACTCCGGACTTCTCAACAGTTTCTAACAATGCTTGAAGATTTGTATCAAACAGTTCACACCTGATTGGCATCTCTAAAGAGTAGAATGGGTTTTTGAGAGCAAAGTCTGCATAAATCTCATAAATTTTCTTCAAAAGCACGTCCATACCTTGCTGGGCTGGATCACATATCACCATAAACTTGACACCTGTAAATTAAATTAAAATGAGCGCAATTTTTAATTAGAGTTTTCTTTAAAATAACCTGTGAGTGTTTGAAAACAATGGAGTTTAAAAGTATCTGCTTCTAAAACTTCGATTCCTGAGCTTTTGGGCTCTGGACTCAACTGAATCGCAATGGCAAATAAGGGGTAGAACATGCTGGCAAGGAAAAGCTTGTCGTTGGTCGTCATCTTTGGTCGGCCAAATTTCAAATTGACAGGGTAGTTTTCTGGATTTTCGAGGAACTCCAGCGCATCCTTGCCATCTTCTAACTGCCGCCCAGTGATTAGAATACCATTGATGGCTAAGAGTTGGTGACCAACTGAAACACAGAATCAAAATTATGATTTTATGGATTATTAATTTTATTTTGGAAACTTTCACACGCTTTAAATGAATACTATGTCACCTAAAAATCAGCAAGATTTACGAAGTTAAAATAAAAATTTACCCATGATTCCATCTCTTTGACCAAAGTTGACAACAATCCTCTTATTTTCATAACCAAGTTTTATGTCCAAAGGAAAACTGCACGTTTTCTCCGTCTCTATTTTGGGAACGAAGTGATCGTGCTGGAAGATGAGTCCTCCGGACTTCGAGACGATGTAAACGCTGTATATGCCCATTTTAAAACTTTTTGGCTACATAAATTTGCAAAACTACTAAAATCTTTAATCCAGCAATTTTTTGACAGCAAATTTGCAAACATCCACAACAGCTGGCAATGATCTTTGTTGACAAACGAGAGCCAATGAAAATGATCGATGATTTCTTGATGGCCGCCGCCTCTCCATCCAACACAAAACAACGTGCTGCCCGACGCAAATCGCAAAAGGAAACTCAATTCGTCACTTTGGAATTGTGCATAAGCAGCAAAATTTAAAATATATTTTGCTATAATGCAGGCGACGGACAGTAACGGGAGAGCTAATTCCGAAGGAGATCATGAATTCCTTCCAGGATATAAATCCGTCGACGATTTCATCAAGGTGATTTTTATTCTAAGTTTAAAAGCAAATTATTTTTGTGCGGCTTGCCTAAAAGACTGTAATAATTTGAACATTATTTCTTTCAGACTGGGTACAAAGCAGTTTTGGAAATGACGAAATTGTCAAACAGTTTACCCAGCGATGAGCACTTCCACTATTATTCCAGTTACCCCGCTTTTGAGGAAGCAATGGTCAAGCAAGGGAACCAAACTTTGAGAAGGTCTGCATAACTTGGACGTTTTATGTGGCATTGTCTTCATTTAAATTTTAATTTCAGCATTTCAAGTGTGATTCAAAGCGCTGGAATGAAAGGAAATATTGTCAGACGAGATATGGAGGAAAAATTTGAGCTTTTGTTAGATTCGAATGACACAATTTTAGAGCAAGTTGTAAGTTATTCAATCAAATAATTGGCTTTGATTAATTATAGTGCTTTACTCATATAGGCGCTTAACTTGGATGAGGTGGCTGGTATCAGGAAAAATCCTGGGGCAGAGGAAAAGGACGTAATAAAAGTAAATCGGCCTTTGAGTGGTTCCTGGAATCAATCATTTTCATCACCTTCCAGTGTCACTCAAGAAGTAGAATTTAACTTTACAAATTTTAAAATTTTTATTATTATTTTATTATTTCATTTAGATTGTTAAGAGCAACACAAGTTCGCCTTCTGCATTAAGAGCTACCTTGCCAAAAGTAACCGTGAAACCGCAGCATAGCTTCCCTGACAAAATTGACAACAGGCCTGGTGCATTTGAACCGAAAATCAAAGAGAAGCCTCATGCATTGAAGCCCCTTTCTTCTCTGCTCATGCTTTCTGACTATGGAGAATGGTATTTAACCAAAGACCCCACGTTTATTCAAATTTAATTAAATTTCTTGACAGCTTTAGCCATCCATATGAGTATGAATTGGATCTGTTTGACCCACCGGAACATCAACTTATACCAGTTGAGCCAAAAGCTCCTAGGACGGACCAAACGCCATTAAAATATGTTGATAGCCCTCAAGAATTAAAGCATATGCAACAACATTTAAGGAACTACAAGGAAATTGCCATTGATCTTGAAGTAAGCAGATTTAAGATTTTTTAATTTTAATTTTATACAATTCGATTTTCAGCACCACAACTACAGATCTTTCCAAGGCTTCACTTGTCTTATGCAAATTTCCAGCAGACACTCGGATTTCATTGTAGACACACTCAAGCTCAGAGGAGAGCTGCACTGCCTCAATGAAATTTTTGCAGATCCTAAAATCGTTAAGGTATATATATTTCTTTGAAAATAATATTTTTACATATTGGTAAACAAATTATTTAAACTAGGTCTTGCACGGAGCTGACAGTGATGTTGTGTGGCTGCAAAAGGACTTGGGCCTTTACTTAGTGAACATGTTTGACACCCACCAAGCTGGAAAACTGATGAACTTCCCTAGATTGAATTTGGCTTACTTGTTGAAGTACTATTGTGATGTAGACGTAGACAAGCGTTATCAGCTTGCCGATTGGAGAATAAGGTTTTGTCTTATATTTTAAAATTTTTCTATAACCTTGTATGTGATTTTTCAGACCACTGCCCGAAGAGATGATCCAATATGCTAGGATGGACACGCATTTCTTGCTCTACGTGTATGACAGATTGAAAAATGATTTGTGGGAATCTGGAGCAAACTCAGACCGGCTAATCAAAGCTGCAATACATCAGAGCACACAGCTTTGCAAGAAGGTAGTTGAAATTACGTTATTATTGTTTATCCTGCTCAAGTCTTGTGATTTGTGAAATATTTTATTTTAATTAATGCATTCAGATTTACGTGAAACCTCAACTGACCCAAGAAGCACACCTCATGCTTTACCAAAAGTCAAGAAAAATGTTCAACAACCGGCAGTTGTGGGCCCTGGAAAAGATTTTTGCTTGGAGGTTCCATACAGCAATGGAAGAAGATGAGAGCCTTCCATATGTTCTGCCAAACCACATGCTATTGCAAATTGCTGAAAATCTTCCAAGAGAAATGCAGGGCATCTTGGCTTGCTGCAACCCAATTCCTGTGTTAGTTCGTCAGAACCTCACTAAAATTCACCGCATTATCCTTGAGGCAAGGGAGCAGCCTCTTGTTCAGGTAAATCTTCTTTTTAAATCGTGAATATTTTCCTTCAATTTTCACCATATGCTTGCATTTATTCACAGACTGCTGCTACAGAGGATTTGTCCATGAGGTCAAATCAAACAGAGTGGACAAAAATTAACATTGAATCCACCTTGCACTGCCCCCATCAACTTTTAAAGGAAGAACAGAGAGACAACCTTCCAACACTTCTCGGTGCAAAAAAAATGGAAGAAGTAAAAGTTAAAGGCATTTTGAAGACATCAGCAACAATAGCAGTTTTTAGTGCTTTTGGTCAAAATGTGAGTTCAGACCATCATGTGTTTAAAAAAAAATTAATGATAAAATTTTGCAGACTAAACTCGCAAGTAGCAAAAAGAAAGTGATGAGCCCTTATCAAAGGTACTTATTAGTAAAACCGTACCTACAGCACCTGTCTAATTTGGCAGCCTTGAAAGAGGCTGCAGACAAAGAAATCAAGGTAGACAAATCGTCTACAACAAACCAACTCGAACTTCATGGTCTAGCACAGGTCGAATTTCGAAAGCTTGCCTATAGTAATTTTCTAAAAGATTGATTGCTTTTTCAGGTTCAACAACACTTTGAGGAGCTTGATAGCCGCACTGCGGCTCAAAACCGTACACCTGTCAGACAAGCACCTTCGGAAAGCGAAGAAGAAGATGGAAAATCAGCTTCAGTAAAAAGACCGCATGCAGAGTTTGAATCTTTGGATGGAAAGGAAGAGGAGGAGGAGGAAATAGAAGGGCCTCTTAATAAAAGATTTAAGGAGGATAAAATTCAACCATTCCGCCCTGGAAGAAATAATTTAAGCGTCGCTCAGGTTATTTTAGATGATCCACTAAATTTCTCTATTTTTATAATTTTGTTTGAAAATTGTAGACCCAGTCCAAGTTTCAGAGGAATAAGAAGACAAATCAGCAGAAGAAAAAGAACTTTGACAGGGGCCAAAAAGGCAACTGGTCAAATGAAGCTCCTGCGGCAACTCAAAACCAACCTGGGCCTAGCCAGGCTTTCAACTACAATCAAGTGAATTTCAACAAGTTCCAAGGAGGCAGTCGAAATGTTGACAAGAGAAAGAACTTCAACGACAAAGGAAATAGAGGCAGAGGTGGAGGGAACAAGGTGGGTGAAATGGAATATAAACTGATTTCACGTTAAATTTGAGTTATTTCAACTTTGAACTGCATTCATTTAAAATAATTTTATTTATTTAATCCTATTTATGTTTCAGAAAAAGAGATTCAACTTCCCTCAGAGGCAGAATCAGAAAAGCCACACTTACAAAACGTAAGTTCTATCTTGCACAAAGAAAGCATATTTGTTTACTCCAATGAATAAAAACATTGGTTCATTGTCCGAAAATTGCGTCTTAAGAAACCTTCACATTTCACAATGAGAGACGATTGCCAGTGGGTCTGTAACCAACTGCTGTTGTCACTAGTCCAGTCAAATTGCTGCTGCGCCTCCGTTGATTGAGTATCGCGATGCTTTCACTCTGGCGTCCTGGGTGGTACAAGACGGACGACGGCACTCGTCCTGTATCAATGGACTGCGTGGGTTTGGGCAGGTTCAGCAGCCGGCTGCAAAGTATGCATCTGCTCCTGAAGCGCCGTCTAAAATTTTCCTTAAATAGCAGTAAAATCATTTCATTTTAATATCTGTTAAAATAATTGATTTTGAATTATCACGTTATAAATCCCATAAACGAAAGGGTTGCACACGCTATTGCTCATTGCCAGCCAGTCACAGCAAAACCAGATTATATTGATGTATCTGTACCTAATAGGCGGATTATTAATTAGTTTATATTTATTTTATTTAACGCGTACTCGTTGATTTTGGGGAAGATGTCCTGCAGAACATTGTAGGTCTGCAACGGCATCCAACAGACCGCAAAAAGTGCCACCACCACCACCAGCATTTTTATAACCTGCAAGTGGATTGCTTCGTTAAGTGCGAGTCAACGTTTGACGGTGATTTATGTCGCGCCTCGTAAAAGATGAAAGCGCTTCGTGCATAAATATTATCTTCTGGTCAGCCAGGCCAGAGTGGAAAATTTCCAATCGACTTCAAATACGAACCCGCTTTTTGTTGCGGAGAAGCGTGGCGTCCCTTTGATTCTGTGCGTTTCCGGGGGGCTGAGCGCCCCACAGGCGCAGGGCCAGCAACGCGTACATGGCGCTGATAATGATTAGGGGCGCGAAGTACTGAGTGCCCACAAGAAGACGTCGGTACCATTTGAGCACATCGACCGGGATGCCGACAAAGTCGCAGAAAGGTTTAGTCAGTTCGGGATTGCTGTACGAAGCGGGCACTTCCCTGACCTATACAAATTTAAATTATAAATTGAAATTTATTATATTTTTACCTCTAAAGTGATTAGCATCGGCATTGCCAGCGTCACCCCTGCAGTCCAAATTGCAATCAAAGTGAATCGCGCTTGCCAGAGGGACACTTTTAGTGGCTTCGCTACAGCCCTGTACCTTCGCACGGCAATTGTGGTCAGGGTGAAAACGGACACGTTCACGCTCAGCGTCTGGATGAATGGGCAGAACGAGCACATAAAGTCTGGCAGGTCCCACCTTTGTCTGAAATACGACCAAAATTTAGTATTCCATTTATTTTTCCAAATCTGTTCGTACAAAAGTGCCGCCTGAAATTGAAAAGGAACGACAAATAGCCCGATGATGACATCCGCAAAGGCCAGGTTGGCCAAAAGCCAGTTTGTGGCGCTCCGTTGCATGCGTTGGCTACCGAGGACTGCCCACATTACCAGCGAGTTGCCAGCGACCGAGAGCACCGAAATTGCCCCGTAGCATATTGATAGCAAAACCACAACCTCCACCGAAGGGCCGTATAATTCGTCCTCTTCGGACCATGTGTAGTTCATTCCATACTAAACACACAACGAGAGCGTGGTAATAATTTTTTTTTCATAAATCTCAAAAATATTATTATTTATTGGAAATATTTTGATTAGTTCTGAACTATTACCTCCTTCATTTTGTTTTTTGCTCGGCTAAGGTACGTTTAGTATTTTCACAAAACCTAATTATGCAAGCAGCGCAATGAGTGGCGCCGTTCGCATCAGCCATAGTGTTGGTTTTATTGCACCACAGCATTGTCCCTTCGAATGATAAGGCACCTTTGGTGTGATCTGCAAACGAACATCAACGTGGTAGAAAGCAGAGCATTTTTATTTTCGACATAAGCATCAGGCGCTAATTAAAGTCATAGGCTCCTAATACCAGCATTTACGGGATAAAAATTATTTTCAATGCAAAAATTTTTGCACAAAATATTACTTAATATTTGTATTCCTATTAGTGTTAAAAATTCAATTGAGAGCAAAAATAATTTTAAGCAACTTAAATGTGTCTCTGAAAGAATTCTCTGAAAACAAAATTCTGCTGACCTTGTCAACGAAGATGACATCATCTGTAATCACTGATAATTTTTGGATAACCTATAAATCAAAATAAAATCCGAGGACACGCGCTGATGCCGCGACTCCTGCGCTCTGGAGAGGTGCACACCATCCAGCAAATTCGCTGCTCTATTCTGGTGCTCACCGGTGTGTGTGTGCCTAAAAGAGAGCGAAATGCTACTGCGCGCTTGAAAATTTATGACCCTCTTGGCTCCTTGAATTTAGCGAGATGCTGCGGCTCTGCATCCAAATATTATAACAGAGTCACCTATCTTGGTTGCCACTTTATTTGGTTTGTGTTGAGCCCATTTGCTTTTTAAGAGGGGGCTAAAAAGCTCTCAGGGAGTGAACCCGAGCAAGCCTATTTGGCTGCGAGAGAGCATCTCTCTCTCTCTCTAGTGAGGGCTCTCTAGAGGTACAAAATATTTATTTTGGCTCAGACATCAATAACGCGCGACGCCGTTAGAAATCTTACTTAAAATCAATCACCTTCCTTAAATATGAGTCAAATCTGCAGACAAATTTTAACAGGCACATTTTTTTTATTTCTTATGTGATAAGAATGGCTGATAGATTAAAATTATTTAAACAGTCAACATTTTTATATTGAATAATCATAAATAAATACTTTTAAGTGTCAAACACAGGAATGGTATGTAATCATTTAAATTTAAGCTGCACTCTTTGAGGCTTTCAAAGCCAGTTCAGTTTCTTCCTTGCTCATAATGCCAGTCTTGATGAGCGCATCAATAAGCTGCTCCCTTGCATTTCCCACGAAGTTGTTGTCCAAGAAAGCAGGAAAGCCATTGTAGCCATCCTCCATCGTGTAAAGAGGCACTCTGATCCAGCCAAGAACCTAAAATTAAATTTTATAAAAAAAAAATCATTAAATAAAAAGTGAATAAAATAATAATGTATCATGTTTCCTCACCTCCTCGCCATAATGAATGGCCTTCCTAGCATTTTCCTCAATCCTGGAAATTGCCTCTTCGGACACTTGGAGGGCATAGAAGTGCAGAGTTTTGATATGCGGTAGGCTTTTGCAATCAAAAGGTTGCGAGCTAACATGGTTTTCCTTGGTCAGTGGATGCTCTCCGGGGTCAACACCCATTTCCTCTTGCATTTCTCGGCCGATACCAATTTCAATGCTACCATCGTCCTCTTCAATGATGCCACCAGTGAAGCCCAGCTTGCCATCAAATCTCATTTGCATCTACAAAAAAAACCGGTATAAGAATTTTTTAAATTGCAATTTTGGTTTTAATTTTTACACTTACAAAAAGAAAAATAACTAAATTACTGAAAATATTTACCAAAACAATGGCCTTAGTGTCAAATCCAACGGTCTTGGATTCTGATTTGGCAAAGACCATGCAGTGTCCGGCAGACATTTTCCAGGAATTTGTGTTTTCAAATCTAGCAACAACAAACTGCGCAGTTAACTCATCCAAACAATGCGTTCTTCTCGGCTCTGCGTTCAACAAAGAAATAACAACAATTCATTTCATTTATTTAATTTTCTTCAATAAAAGAAGATAATGTCATTTAAAAGCAGATTGGAAAATTATAAGGCGAAGACATAAAAATTAATGAAGTACAATCTATTGCGCCGCCCAACAATTGGCTTGCTATATGTTATCCTAAATCTACCTGTTAATGTATATTCATCATGAAAAATAAATCTATAAAAAGTATTTTTTTTTTTTACCTTATTCTTATTATGTAATTAAAAATTAAAATACGACAGAATGCATCGGCTGCGTTATTAGCGTTGTAAAATTGTGTACTGTGCAACTTAATGTACAAACCAACAACTAGAACTATTTATGTAAGTAGTTTTTCCGTCTCAAAAAATACCCTAGATTAATATTGACTGAGAAAAAGTATAAAACACATTGGTTGTTTTGGTTGGATATTTTATCACCGGCACAAATACGTACGTAGCGCCGCTGAATGAGCACCAGGAACAACGAAGGAGCACCATAATGGCCGACAACAGAGATCTCTGTTGCTTATAGCCCAAACTATATAGTGAGTCAACGAGAGTAAGAATTTTATATTATAATTTTTAACTTTATTTAAAAAGGAAAAAGTTTCACGATCGAAATATCAAAATTCAAAGAAATCGGTAGTGGAGAGACCGGAAAATTTTTAAGCAAAACCAAAAAGTTAACAATTGATCACTATTATGCCGATATTTCAGGGTTTTAATGAACATTTAATTTCAAACAGAAATATGAATTAGGTGTGAACAATTTTGATTACAATTATTTAACTTAAAATTTTAGCGCTCTTATTGAAAAAAAAATACCGCAAAATAACTGCTAAAATTGCTATATTTGTATTAATTGTGGAAATATCATTCTACCTCTGCTTGTTACTTCTGAAGCAATTTTAAATAAATTTCACACTAGGGGTTTTTTAAACCACGAAGTATAATAAAGGTAGAGCCTTAATTTGCTGCTTTTTAAGCATCTTAAAGTAAATTTAAAATTAATAAAGATTTCTTGATTATTAATTTAATATTATTCTGCTCTAGAAAATTAGTCGCTAATTACTGTCAGTTTTACTCTTAATTAATTCAGTAGGTATTGAGTACAAATTAATTTATAGTTTACATGATGGAAACTCTATATATAATTATTTAGTGCCACCAATTATTTTTCAATGCAAAATAAAATACTTAAAAAATCTGAAACGACCGAAAACTTTTTTAATGTGACAGTGTTGGCGTTTCGATAATTTAATTAAGGATTAAGCCTCAGATTTCCAAAATGCTTTGTAATTTCTTTAAGTTGCTCCTGTAAACTTTGCTGTATATTTTTCGAGAGCAGCAAACTCCTTTTGCGCCGAGTCCACCTCGAGCAAAAGCCGCGCTTAACCCTTCCGTCAGGCGCATGCCGCTGAATGACGTCAGCTCCTCCCTGATTCGCGCCAGCCGCGGCGCCACGCGCATCACTTCCGACTTTTCCCTCCCCAGCTGCTCGACGCCCTCCCTCCAAAATAACGTTGAAGCCCTCGCACAGGGTGTCTGCAAGATCCTCGCGTGCTTGAACAGACTCGAGTGTCTCAATGTTGCGGATTTGACGCTGGATCGTCACCAAAGAGGCACTCAAGTCCGCCAGTTCTGGACGCCTCGCGTCCTGGCCTCCTCGTCCTGCTGACCTTCGGCTGCCGCTTCCTGCTCAGAATTGCCCAGGTTGATTCCAAGGTAAGCGCTGTTATTTATGTTAATCCATCCGTTTCGTTTACTTCTGGTTTGACGCCGATCTCCGTGATCGAGAGTTGAGCTTTTGATGTGGTTTTGGCCGGGTTGAAATTTCCAGGGGTCTCTTCGAACTGCTCGGTGGTTTTTTGTTTTTTCTGATTCAATCGTCGCGTCAGAAATTAGGAAATTACACCAATCGATTTGACCTGAGCCATGGCAAAAGGGTCACATTTGTCGGCCAACGTAAGTCGTTGAGTGCACGAGTTTAAATCTAAAATAATTATTGCATTTTTTTATGATTTCTGTATTTTTGTTATTGTTTTTAAAATAACCTGTTTTCGACTTAGAATGGGCAGGACAATTTTCGGAAACATACTTTCGGAAACACAAAGCAAACAATCCTGGCTGCAATAATTGAAAGCCGTTTTTCTCTCCGTTTTTCAATGATGCATCTGCAGAGATATTAAAATACTCATTTTCACTAATTTTTTTATCAGATTAAAAAGGAAAGTAAAACTATTTTGTCAAATTATTCCAAGTTATAATAAGTTCCTCCTATTCTTTCCTCACCTATGTGAATTCGATTAGAGCAAATAATAATAAAATTATCTTACAAAGTTTGTATTTTTAAAGAGGCAATTAAATAAACTGCAAAAATTTAAACAACTTAAATAAAATTCAGGGTGTAGTAACAGCTCACAAATGGATCGGTGTATGCGATCCTTTGATTTTCTGGAAGAAAGGATCATATTTTTGATATAAATAAAAACACCATTTTTAACGCAGGCTTTCAGTGAGTAGAGAGTCAAAATTGGAGGAATTCTACTTCAAGAGGTTTAAGCTCTATCTTAAATATTATCATGAAAACTGAAATCTTCTAAAATCTAAATGCATTAATTCGTACGTCATAAAAATCCATGCCGCACATTTTAGGCGATGCTAACGACTCAACCTTTAAAAATTTAAAATTCATTTGAAGAGTAAATAAAAATATATTTTCATTTATTAAAATTAAAAATGTGTAAAACTTTAATTAATGTGTTTAAAATAAAACAAACCAGGATCATGAATATGCCAAAGAGGCAAAGCTGCTGAAAATTTTCAACAACGACCAGCATTTGGAGGAATGGACGCTCTGATATACTGTTCACTTGTTCAGTTTCAAAATGATTCCCTCGTGGCACTTTTTTTAACACCTTTTGTGACATGGGCTGCAGCAGGGCTGCAGTTAAGCCCAGTTAGGCCAATAATTCAGCTTGTGCCACATTAATTTAAAAAAAAAAACTCTAATTTCAAAATTTTCTTTCATATTTTTTTCTGAACTTGTTTCAAAGGCCAAAAGTAACAAGCAAAAGCAGACCAAATTATTAAGACAGGATAAAAGTTGTTAAAAAAAAAACTGTTTTTTCATTCAAATGCATAATTATTCTTGGGAAGAATTTTATTTGCTGTACACCGCATTAACTTCTGATGCGCTTTAATTTTTAAACGCCAGTGTTCTCGGTGATCCAGTCGCGATAAGAAGCAACCCTGGTGAAAACGCCAGGGAAGCCTTGGGCAGCACAACCGTTGGCAGACCAAGAAACGATGCCCACAATTTGCCCATCGACGTAAAGAGGGCCGCCAGAGTCACCCTTGATTAAAAAAATCAAACTAATTCAATTAAATAAAAAATTAAATAAACCGTACAGAGCAAACTCCCTTTCCACCTTCAGGGACATCGGCGCAGATTTGCGCTTGGGTGATGGGAACATCGACGCTGTAAATGTCGTAGCACTCCTGGTAGCTGCGCACAATCTGGTCCACTTCCAACAAAGAAGGACTCACAGGTCCATTAACCTTAATTAATGCGGCGTTAATTAAAATTGTTTTAAATATTTAATTTATTTTTTACATCGACAAATCCCCATCCGACGACAACGGCCGCGCTACCTGCTGGGGTCTCTGCGTCTTGCGCTGGCAACTGGACAGGCTGGGCGGCTTCGCTGAAAACAAAGGGCGGGTAAACTTCGGCCACGGCGATGTCCTCGCTGGCGAAGTCACTGAAGTTGAACCCGGGGTGCTTAATGAACCTAATCACATCATGGGTTGTGCCATTGGTAATCAAGTGGTTGGAGCCGGCGTGCACAGCCAGGAAGCTTGGCAGCAGTCTGAAATAATTTCAATTAAAATTATAAGCAACTATTTAGAACGATTTATGCGTGACAAAAGTAAAAATATGCATGCACATTTTAAATTTAATTTTAATATTTCAATTTTTCAAACACAATTTTTTTCGTCATTATATTATTTTACTTAACTGTTTCATTACTTTTTTTATCAATATTATTACAAAAAATTTAAGATCTAAGAAAAAAACATGAGTTGGGAGGGAAACAAAACTTGAAGAAAAAATGACACCAGAAACTATCTTATATTGGCTAAGATTTTGCTTAAACACTTTCAAGATCAAAAAGAACTCCTGATTTATTTTAAATTTTTTATTTTTTATCTGCATTTATTGAATTTTTTATTACAAACCCTTGAACACAGTGGGCAGCAGTCAGAATCCATGACTCACTGATAATGGTGGCGCCGCAGCTGTGACTGCCCAGGGCACGCAGAGACACTTGCGATGGGTATTCGGCATCATCCGCAGGTGTTCCGCCGACGATTTTGCTCCTGCTGTAGGCCAAGTAATGCTGCGAGGCCACGCCGGAAAGGGCGAAAGCGACTGGAAATTTAAAATTAATTTTTTTCAACGGGGAAATATTGAAAGCCACTCACACAAGAGAACAAAGCTTGCGGCGCTCTTCATTGTCTCAAGAGTACTACTTGAAAAATGTTTCGACGCGATATCCTAATCGCCAACTCAATGATTATTGGCCAAGGAAACTGACACTTTTATAAATCAGAATGAGTTGGTCATCTTGAGATAATGACTTAATCAATTAACATATTAGGCTGTATATTTCCCAATAGATTATTTCGTTGGAATTTCCTCATCAAGCCATATTTTTATAATTTGTTTACGTTAATTATAACATTAATAAATAAATAGAAATTTGGTGGTAAAAGTAGAAGAGAAAAATTATATATAACAACATACAAAAACGCAAAAACTGATGTGAAAATAATTTTGTAGGTTTTTAAGTTTCGAATAATTATATTTTAATAAAAAATTAACAGAAAATTTGAGTATATCAAAGTGTAAAGCCGCCTTGTATAGCATGCAAGAAATTTGTACAAAATTAAGCTCATGGTCAGATCTTGCGTCTGATAAAATAATGGAACATTGATTAAATTTAGTAGCTCTCTTTATTTCACAATGTGAGATACGTGATTTTTTTCAAGTCTTCCATGTTACATTGTGTTTAGACAATTAAGTACAGTTACAATTGTTTTCAGTTTATTATTTCAGCAATATTTAGTTTACTTAAAATATATTTTAAACAATTTTTCAATTTAATCTCCAAGGTTCTTTCAAACTAGATCTAATCCTAATGTCAAGTGCCCAGTTATCTATGTCTCTATCAATCATAGCACGCGTCCCATGAAACAGACGCATCGATCAGCACAGGATCAGCAGATAATTTAGCTGATCAGAACTTAATAGATGATCGATCAAAGGCGAGCATGAAGTCTCCTCATTGTGGTTCACACGCGCTTCAAACGCCAGAATTTTCCTTGATCCAGTTGCGAAACGAGGCTACCCTGGTGAACACACCAGGGAAGTCCCGGTCTTCGCAATCGTTGGTTGCCCACGAAACGATCCCCACAATCGTGTCGCCAACAAAGAGGGGGCCTCCAGAATCACCCTTACAAAAAATTAAGGTGAAACGCCACTAGCCAAAAATAATAACTTAATTTTACCGTGCAAATTTCCTTCGAGTCCTCTGCAATTTCAGCGCATAACTGGCTTCTTCTCAATGGCACGTCCGGTTGAAAAATTTCAAAGCACTCGTCATAACTTTTGACCACTTGCTCCATTTTCATCAAATATGGGCTCATCCATCCGTTTTTCTGATTTAAAAGATTATTAAAATTTAACAAAATATTAATTTTTTTCTGCTAACGTCAAAACCCCAACCAATAACTACGCCCTTTTCACCGCTTTTCACGTCTTCGCCGTGGTCTGGAAGTCGAGCCGGCCGAGCCGTTCTGCTAAATTGAAAGGGCGGCTCGACCTGAATCAGTGCAATGTCTTCACTTGTCAGGTTGCTGGAGGTGAAGCCAGGGTGGCGTTTGATTTCCAACACTTGGTGCGCCGTGCCGTTGTCGTTCCATTTGTTAGAGTTTGCGTACACTTTGTGCAAAAAGTTGAAAGACCTTTAAAAATTGCAATAATTTTTAGTGAATTTATTAAATTGAATTATTTTAAAACGAACATTTCAATGCAGTGGGCCGCGGTGAGAATCCAGCTCTCGCTTATTATTGTTGCTCCGCAGGCGTGACTTCCCAAGAAATGCAGCGAAACTTGCGATGGAAATTCACTGATGTCCGCGATGTTCCTGTTTTCCAATCTGCTGTTGTAATCGAAATCACGGTTCGATTGTACCATAAAACTTAAGAGCCACATGGCGGATCCTAAAGTCGGGAATTTAATTAAAACGTGTTTAATACTAAAAATATTACCAAACAGAGTGAAACCGAGGATCCACTTTGTCATCTCTTCAATTTGCAAAGTTTGAAGCGATACTCGCTCATACTTAGTTTTGACAATTATTTGCTCTACCCGGCCCCATATTATTGATAAGATATATATTCACTTACTGGGTTCATGCGGCATTTTGGCAAATATTTCAAAATCAAATATTGAGATTAATTTAAATCAGCAGTGATTTCAAGTGTATAACCCATTTTTAAATAATTAAAATATTAAAATCATCAACCTTGTGCAGTAAATTAATGTATCGCACTTCATTAATTCAACCGGCGATCCTTTGCTCTATTTTCAGTATTATTGTTTGCGCGCGGTTATACTGCAATTATTATAAAAAACATCAGTTGTCTACGGCTGTTTATCTGTAGTCTGAATGTAGATTACTAAATTAAAATTTAAAAACTATTTAAGGCCATTTTTATCTAAGAGCCAATATTTATTCATTTGCTGCAAAATGCCTCTGGCCCGTGGCGACTGCGTGGCTGTGTACGATGTGCCTCTTGCATGGCCTCTTATCGTTTCGCGCGTGTCCGGTTAGTTCTCTTTCCGCGTTATAGATGGCACCTAAAATACTTAAAGTAATTTTCAAACATTATTCAATTTTCAGAAAGAACAGTTCCAAAAATACACAAAACTCCTAATTTAATAATTTAAGAAAATTTTGCGTTGTTTAATTATTGTATATTTTAATTATTATTTTAAATAAGCTTTTAATTAACTCTTTAAAATGTTCCTCTACGTAAACAGAATCTCACATTGCCAAATATAGTGTATTATTTCCCAGTCGCACGTGGCGTTTGAAAAGGGTATCTGCCGCTTACATGGCACATTGGCCTTATGGTCGGTGGGGTATGGCAATCAAGACATACCGGATATATAATTTTTGACAACATGGACTGTTGCATACCATGTGTATCAGCGTCCATTATTTATAATTAAAAATAATATACAATTAAACAAAACAAATGTCACACGTTTTGAATATGAAAAAACCTATTAAAACATGATTATCACTAAAAATAACTGAAAAGTCTAGCTTATGTCTTGCTGCATTCGTGTAGGCATGAGTGTAAAGAAATATAATTATTTTGTGTAGTTGTGTACATAGTCCATGTTCGAGGACTTTTAATTTTTTTTTTTTTATAAAATATATTTATGTATGTTATTTAAATATGTATGTAAATCTTTTTATTTAGCACAAAAAATTAAAAATTGCCTGCTTTAGCAATCAACTAATCCTGAGGCTTGTTTTCCTCTTCCAACATCCAACCACAAACTGAAAAAAAAATAACCAGGACATCCTTTGTGGTGGATTGTTTTCACGACTTTCAAACTTATCAGTATAGCGGGGCACCGAGCGTGTGCAGTCTAATTTTTTTGTAAACGAAAATCAGAAGACTGCAACTATTTATTTTGCACATTATCTCCAAAATGCAGATATTTATAATATGGTCTATGATTTTTTGGAGTCTTTCCATCACTAACAAACAAATGCAGGCTTGCGCTTCGAACGCCACCGATTATTCCAATAGAACCATCACTAAAGAGGAAGTAAAATCGGCCTTGGTAAGAGTTTGCGTCTATTTGCTTTTTAAGAAGAGACTAAAATTTATTCAATACCTACTGTCCTCGCAAGGCGACATTCACGACCGATTCCGCTATAATGAAACTGGTTGATGACGACTGTGCAATGTGCTCATTGTTTAAGTGTCTGCTGGATCAAGCCGCGACCTGCACAGATTTTCTTGCTCAAACATTTAAAAGTAAGTGGGCGTTAAATTAATGCTAAAAAAAAATATTGAAGTTAAAAATTAAAAGGCTTAAATTAATTTTTGTTTGAATTTAAAATAGGGTTCTCCATGATTTTTTTTATTCATTCCTTGTGTACATCTTTAAAAAAAAAAAATAATAATAAATAAACGACTCATAAACCCATTGAGGAATGTTGAGGAAAACCCAATTTGAAATTCAAACACCTCGAATGAACCAGAATAAACGTTCTATCGTGAAATCCTTCTGCTTAAATAAATAATAACTTTTGCTTTTGCACGTAACTTCAGGCATCATCCCACTTGTGCTGAGCAATAATTGCGAATTTTGTGCTCCAAGAGAAAAGGCAATTGTGGACATCGTCAAGAGTTACATGCACCAGCGATTTCCCAAAGAATTTGCAAGAATATTGAAACTCTACGTACCATAAAATTGTAAGCCCCTCTCCTCATTTGCCAAATTCCACACTCCACAGTAAATTGGAACGAGATTTATTTTTGTACAAAAAAAATAAAAATCTGAATTAATATTAAAATATGAGTTAATTATTGATAGCTTTTGTCACAGTTAGTGCGTTTTTTTATTTACATTATTCCTGATTAATGTTTTAATTTTCTAAACGTTTCAAATTAATTGCGAAATCTACATTAAATTGTTTTTTCTAAAATGTTCAAAACTGCGCCAGCCATATAAATATTTAGACCTTTCATATCAGATCATTACATTCTCTTCTTGTGTCTTCCTCATCTTCAGGATAGTCAGGGCAAAGACAGCTGCGGCCATTTTTGCCGTTGGGCAGGCAAATGTAGTCTTCAGGACAGGCGTCTTGAGACTGGCAGGTTGTGTAAAAGACGGGACAACTGTCCGGCACTACGACCGCCCCAAATAAGTTTCCACTGCTTCCGAGCGGAACGTCAAGGGCGGTCACTCTTTGGCCGTTGGGACGAAGAGCGGCTTCCACCTTCTTTGTTTCCCAGTCGGTCCAGTAATAATGGGTGTTGGAGATGGCCAAGCTGAACGGATATTTGCATTCGGACACAACCGTACGACGGTATCCATTGCGAACGCCAATACACTCAATTTTTTTAGTGCCGGCGTCGGCCCAGCAAAGTTCGTCTCGCTCTGCATCAACGGCCAAAGAATTTGGCAGCTGAATATTGTCCCTCACAAATATGGACCTGAAATATTGTTTAAAATAAAATTTATAGATTTTTAAATTTTAATAATTAATTTAATTTAATTAAAGCCACTTGAAAAATATAAATTTTCAAAATTATCCTATTTTGTATAGTTTTTATTTTTCAATGTTTGAAATGCATTCAGCGCTCCATAAATATTTCTTACAGAAAAGTAATAAATATATGCAATTGATTTATATTAATTTATATTTTCTAATTATTAAGAATAAAATTTACCTTCCGGTTCCATCCATATTCGCAACCTCAATTTTCGGACTTTCCCTATTCCAGTCACTCCAGAAAATTTTGCCGAATGACGGATAAAGAGCTATTCCTCTAGGATTGATTAAATTTTCACTGATGAGAACTTTTTTGTTCTCTGTTTTGTCTAGACTGGCCACAGCTATTTGATTCAGAGCGGAATCGGTCCAAAAAATATTGCGCGACACCCAATCAATGGCAATGCCTTCTGGAGACTCAATCTCGGGTCCAGCAAAGCGACTGCTGTTCGCCCCGTTGTATCCCGCACTTCGAATGGCTTTGCCGTTAATGTCACTCCAATAGAATCGACCCTCATGACAATCAATGTCAATGCCTAAATAAATAAAAAAAAATAAATAAAAAATAATTCACACACAGTGAAATCAATATTTATACCAACTGCAGTTTGGAAATAATGAATTTGGATGATTCGACCTCTGTTGTTGTGCGTTGGTTTGAACGGGATCCTCAAAGTTGCCATACCCTGGTTGACGAGCAAAAAGTCACCTTCGTGTGACTTTGTCAATTTGCAGGAAAATCCGTCGCCTGTAAATCCATCGTTGCATCTACACACGTACTGCCTTGTGAAAGGGTCGGGGATGCATTTTGCCTCCTCGTGACAGATTGACTGATCCTGGTCGCAAGTTATTTGAGGTACACACCAGTACCCATCTCCAGAGAATCCCTTAATTTATGAAAAAAATTTGTCAAATACAAGAAATTAAAAAAACTTAAAATTGGTTTTAATGTTTTTCAAATAATATGATCAATATTTTCTTATAAAAAAGAATAGTATTTGTAAAAATTATTTTTAAATTTACATATTCTTTAAAATAAATTATTGTAATAACTCACATCCTTGCACCTGCACTTGTGGGTGCTGTCATAGGGGTTGTAGAAGCACTCTGCGTTCCTCCCGCAATCATTCAAGACATTACAGCCCGACTTTTCCTTTTCGCATCTCTGCCTTCCATCACCAAGGTACCCAGGCAAACACTCGCACCGGTACTGATTTAAGTCCCGCATAAAGAGACACTCAGCATTTTCATGACACTGACGGCACGTTGCTTCTAAATGAAACAAGACCAAATTCGTCATAAGTTTATTATTTTTAAGCACATATATATTTTTAAATTATACCTCTGTCGTCCTCGCAAAACTGTCCATCGCCTCTGAAACCTGCGTTGCATATGCAATTGTAAAGCCTGCTGCCAGCGTCAAAAATGCATTGGGCGTTGCGACCACAATCAGAATCAGAAATGCAATTACCTTAAAAGTAATTAATTCTTAAAAATTAATTATAAATTATTTTAAATTGATTTGAGCACCTGTTGAAATGCAGCTTCTTGTGCCATCTCCTTCAAAACCCCTATTGCATTCACACAGGTATTTACGTATTCTCTCATTATATTTGCACGACGCATTGACGTGGCAAATATCAACTTCTTGGCACGAAAGCTCTATTACAAAAAGAAAAAATTATTATTTTTAATTTCTAATCTGTCAATTACGCACCTATTTCGGTACAATCAGAGCCGTCGCCTTCGTATCCAGCGTTACATTGACACTCGTGTTTCTTAATTGCGTAATTAAACACGCAACGTGCATTTGCATGACATAGATAGATGCTTTCGTCACACGAAGCTAGAATTTAAATTCATTATGTCTCACAGATAAGGATATTTAAATTAAAAATTAACAGAATTCAAATTTAAATTTATATAAAAAATTTATTTAAAACTTACGCTCTTCGATCTCGTCCTGATCTTGTGTGACAGAACCAACTTCTACAAGACACCTGTGAACTTCTCTGCCATAAATGTAGCCCTCCGGACACTCGCATTCATCTTGATCGCAATCAGGGTTAGGAGCGTTTGGGTCAATGTACTTGTAATTTGAGTTAGACTCGCAAGCGTAACCATCGCCGTGATATCCAGGGATACAGACACACTTGAATGCACTGTTCTCGTGGCTGAATTTGCACGTGGCGTATGGCGAGCAGTTGTGGGCAGTATTGCATGATTCACCTTAAAAAAATAATTATTAAATATTATCTTAGAAATGTAGATATCAAATAAATCACCTGTGAATTCAGGTTCACATTGCAGACCGTTTCCTCGAAAACCACTCCTGCATCTGCATTCAGGAATTCCAGTGGGTTTCTCTATGCACTCGGCATTAGGGTGGCACTGAGCCTCTTTACAAGTGGGCAGTCCTTACACACCAAAATAAATTTAAAGTTTTTAATATCAGTGGAAACATGAAATATGTTAAATATACGCAAATTTCACATTTTTAAATAAAATAAAATTAATTCAGTTGAAATGTGAAATTTTTAAATTTTACTTGAATTATTGAATTATCTCACTTTCACAAATGTGCCCATCTCCTCTAAACCCAGATTTGCATTGGCAACGATAAGCGCCCGGCTCATTTATGCAAATGGCATTATGGTGGCAGTGGTGCTGGCCGGACTGACACTCGTTTATGTCAACGCACTGCGGCTCACTGATGCCGATGTCAAATAAAAATTTGTAGCTGAAAATTTAAATTTTTTATCTTGTTATTTACGAATATTTCATTAAGATCAAGCTTTACCCTTTTTCGCAGACGCATTTTGCATCATCATTTTCTACTATGCAAACACTGTTGGCCCCACAGTTCACTTTTGATTCCTTGCATGGATCATCATCTTTAATAATCCAGTAAAAAAAATTAACGATTTTTTATTTAATTTGGCGATTTTACCTCCTAGAGGCGATACTTTGCTAGTCATTGCGTATCTCACGATTTTTTCTCTGGCCTCATATAAAATGTAATTTCTTGAAAATTTCAGACGAAGAGTGGACACGTCCGACTCTTGTGCTGCACATTCCTCGAATTCAATTGTTTGATCCGCAACAAATTGGATTGGCTGCCCATTATCTCCGCCAATTTTTATTTCCCTCGTGTAATGGGCTTTTACCACACCTGTGTTTTTATTTTATTACACAAATATTAATCAACTTTTAAAATAAGTCTCAATAATATATCATGCCTGGGCCAGTTCGCGTGTACTTTTCTTCAAAGTCGTCAGACTCAATTCTGTTATCAGCAGGAATACTTGGAATTGTGCCGGAAATAATTATTTCAGTCTTAAGTTGGTCAAACACGTCTAGGCCAAGGAATCTCTGAATCACAGTCACTCTGTGACCAGTATTGCTGAAGAAAATCGTAGATGTGTGATTGTAAACCCCACCTAAAATTTTTATTTTCATTTGCCTGCAAATATTTTGATTTTTATATATTATATTATATACCAGTTAGCTCGTATCCATTTTTGGCACTTTTTATTGGCTTTGCGAAGAGCCAGCCAAGAGAGGTGCCCAAGATATTGAGGCTTTGCATGTCATAGCCAAGCTCCTCTGGCACTTTGGATATCGCAGTGTATGCACGGGTGTCCGTCGTGACAACGTAGCACTGCACGTCGAGCTCCTCAAGTCTGATACCATTCAAAGTGCCAGTCACCTTGCCATTCACTCGCAGCGGCACATCTAACAATATAAAATAAGTAATTTTAGAAATAAAATTAGAATGCGCTACCATCTTGAAGGCAATTTTTGCCGTTTCCATAGAAACCCTCTTGGCAAATGCAGCAATATCCATTGGGGTAATTTACGCACTCTGCTTTACTGTGGCACTCGGCGGCTCCGTAACTGCATGAGCTACTTCCTCCTTGCGGAGTGTCTATTCATAATTTTTTCTATAGTTGCGCTTTTCTAAATCGTTGAATTTTAATATTTACAAGAATTCACAAGGTCTGGTTCGGCAATATTTTCTTGTGCTTGTAGCGGTCCAGTGTAGAAAATCCAAAACCCTGGTTCGTCAAAATTTGTCCACCTACGCATTTATTATTATTTTTATATTTTTTATTAACTTAAAAACTGCTTATTTTGGAAATTTAGTTTTTATGTAGTTTAATAATTGGATTTAAATTAAATGAAATTGATTTTTTAATATTTAAAGCGATATAAAGCACATTCAAATAGTAATGAATTTTATGTACTGCAAGTTGCCTATCTTTGTATTGACAGGCGTTTTTTTTATTCGCACAAAAACAAACTGCTTTTTACTCACTTATCGAGATTCTGCACCTGATCGGTTCCAGAGCCTCTAAGGGTCACCATTCGTCCATCGTGAGCCATTAGACCTGCTTGGGCCCTGGCGTCAGGTCGCGAACCCTTGCCCTTACCCTGTATCCACTGAATGCCTTGGTCAGCGTACAGCATGAAGACATAGGACGAAGAATTGTCGCTGGCAATGATGGTTTGGTACGTGTTCGCCTTTATTAAATAAAGTCAATTTCAGTTTTAATCCTTCCAATGCACAAATATTTTACTTTATCCGATCCACCATCGAAATAACCCACGTCGGCCCAAGTGGCAATAAAGAGACTTGCTGCTTGGAAATAGTTTCCTCTAGAAAACGAGTATCTGACAATCTCAGTAGCTCTTCTCAGCAAAGTTGGCTCACTGGTTTCACTAAGTGTTTTAAATACAATAAATCAGTACATTCACATATTTAATTTAAAATGAAATTACAAAAAATGTTTGTTTAAATATCTGACAATTAAATTGGTATTAGATTACCGATAGTAAACTGAGCCTCCGCCTGTTGTATCCACATCTGTGTAAAGTGGGGCTATTACTGGATACTCCAAAGGAAACTGCATGTTGTAAAATGCGGGGATTTCCGTCAAAAAGGAAATCAGTCCGTTGATTCCAACCTAATTAAAAAGTATAATATAATAATATCTCGAGGGTGCACTAAGAGAGTAAAAGTGAACCAAGAATCTGCTCGACCTTTGAATTTAAGATAACCCATTGTGACGTGACTGGAGATATTTAAAATTCATTTATAAAAATAAGCTGCTAATTCATCATTTTACTGCAATTAACATTTACTTATATATAAAAATTATTGAAAACTGAAAACTATCATGGTTTCTTATAATCAGATTTATTTTTTATGTCATTAAAATATTCTAAAAAAGTTTGATGTTCATTAAAAAATGTAAGATTGGCGAAGAACTAATAAATGTTTCACTTGCCGGGGCTTTTGTTATAAATTACGCAACTTTATGTGCCAGACGAAAAACATGGGTGTCACCAAAGAAAAGCAATAACATTTCGTGAGCGCAATTGCTAGAACGGGACGACCTTTGGCCCAGCAGGCAAATGGTCCATACTTTTGTTAATCTAGTTGTTTATCTTACGGCATCTACCAAGGCGTGAATAAAGGAAGTTTAAGGTCGCGGCTTTGAACTTGTGAGTCGTCTTTGCCTCGCTATACAAGAGGTCAACGAATAGATGATGCGCGGTATAAAAAAAGCCTTAAATTTATTTCTGCTGTGTTCAATAAAAGGAGCACACAGAGGCATGACTGCTCAAGAAACTAGTTACTTAAAATTCCACCCTCCTCTTTTTCTTTTGAAGGTGACTGATGACACTTTTTAGGGGGTGCATCTATATTCAGCTCGCTCCAACAGAGCAGCGTGTGCCCGTAAATAGAATTTCCCAAATGAAGTTGAGTTAAATATAAAGAAACATCTTTTAATTTTCCCAAAAAAAAAACATATTTGTTGAAGTTAAATTACATTTTATCATTGTTGCTTAAAGTATGATTTTTTTAAATACCAATTATTATTAAAAACAAATGCAATTAAATGACAATAGCACGGACGTTTAAGCAATAAAATAACTTTCCCTCAAAAATTAATTATCAGTCTTGAAACTTTAACTTTTCAATGATCTATACAATAAAATTATAAAAATTTATATTATCTTTGCAATTATATGATTGTGTTAAAATATTAAAATTCATGCGCGCTTACATATAGGCTGGTGTAGACCTCATTGTAAAATTTTATGGGAATCGCAAGTTCAAATTCCGGGCTGGATCCTTCATCTCCTGGAGGCAGGACGGCATCACCATATTCTCTGCCGAAAGGGTAAATTTGGTCAACGGGAACCGCTAGTGTGGTGCCCGCCACCACTAGGCAGACGAGCAGTAGACGCGAGGGTGGCAGCATCTCCTCTGATCCAGATCTTGCTGTGCCGCGCCGTTCTCGTAAAGGGGACAGCAAATTATTTGCCCCAAACGCAGCACTGCTGCCCTCTGTCAAGGGCACAAAGTTCAGAGGCCATCAAGAGAGAGGGGTCACGCAAAGCAATAAGATGACCAGATAACTTTCCAACTCTTCACGAGTGTCTTGTGCCCTCTTATAATATATATTATATTTAAGTAATTTAGTTTACCAGAAATGAAAGAAAGTACGTTTTTTTTTTAAAGATTAAAATCTGAATGAATAATTTTTATTTACTGCAAATTTTATTTATCACAAAACAGTCTTGAAAATTTTCTCAATCAGTGATGGTGCTCATCGTCGGCAGGCTGCTTCACCCAATAACCAAAAGGCGCATGATGTCCGTCTTTCTCATTTCCGTGTCCTGAATCGGGGCCTCGGTAAACTTTAATCTGCACATGTCCATGAGCTACAAAATTTTGCTTGAAATTATTAATATATAATTATATACCTTATTTTCTACTACCAGCAAAGTAAAAAAAAAATACTTTAATTAATATTTAACTTTTTGTTAAAATGCATCAGCAATCTTTTTAAAAATTTTGATGTTTAAATGATTAAACTCACAGTGATGCCCAGACGCAGCAGTTTCCAAATCCTGTGTTGGCAAACTGAGTGTCAGACTGATGCACAAACAAACAAACGCTAAGAGAGCAAGGAACTTCATTGCTGCAATGTGTAGAGGAGCTGAATACTGTGTCCCTCGCAAATCTTTATCACTTTTATATACTCTACTAAGTTGGAAAAAATAGCCTAGCGTGTAAAATGTCCCATGCTGAGATATCTCTGGCGGCTACGCGCTCCTTCTTATGGGAGCAAAAAATATAAAGTGAAAGCGCATCTTGTTTTTGTTATCAGAGCTAGCGTTAAAAATCAAAACTATATTGTGGTCGTTCTGATTCATTGAATAAAGCAGATACACAATAAAATTGAAATCCCATTGTGATGTCATGCACTCGGGAAATGAGGTTTTTCTTAGCATTTATTACATTGTCACAGAGAATTCAGAGAAAGTGATGCAGTGTCGTGGCTGGATGTAGTTTGACAAAATTATTGAGGCATGCGAAAGACTTCAATGATTATTTTACTTTTATATTAATTGTTTTCTCCGCATGATTAGAATGAAATAAAAGCAGTTTGGTACATCAGTTGGTAAAAAAGAAGCCACCTCAATTTTTATAGGTCAGAAAGTTTTTATTTCAAATAGAAGCATATAGTATGTACACATACCTACACATAAGCAGCGTGATTATATAATCGCTGAATTTGTGATATTAATAGCTTAGATTTTTAAGCTTTGAAAGTTGCACAATTATTCTGTTCATTTTGAACATGTGCTTCTTTCCAGTTTAAAAAAGTGTATTATTTATTATGATTAACTAAAAAAAATTAACTAATGAGCACAACATCGAAATTGGTTTTAAATGAACAGGTTTTTGTCCAATCAAATCGTAATAATTCACTACTTAATTATTTGGGTCCTTCAAACTTCACCAAATCAATAATCGTCGGCTTCCTGTCAATTGTGAATCGACCATTCTGCTGTGTTCTACCTTGAGTGATAGCCAACGTTGGTTGCTGGGGTAGAAATTGGTGTGCAGGATTCAGCATCCCTTGAGGTGTAAGCTGCACGTGAGGCTGGATAGGGGCACCTGCTGGCATCAAACCAGCACCTCCATACATGCCTGTTGGCTGCATTGGGAAAAAGTTGCCCAGAAGGGCACTACTCATTTGATTAACAGCAGCAGGATCTAACAAAATTTTAACAAAAAGTTAAACTCTCCTCTTAATGATAATCTAATTAATGATATTTTAACTGTGCATCAATTAAAAAGTTCATCTTACTTGTGTCAAGAAGAGGTTGATTTACCAGATGTTGCATAGCTTGTCGAACAGCCACAACTCCAAACTGCAAAGCCATCTTCCTTGCAACATCCTTTTGCAAACAATTTTTAATTATTTTGCTTGGTTAAATATTAAATGAAATATTACATTCAACACTAGCAGAGCTGCATGGAATTCTGGATGTAGAGTAGTCAGGGAATTGCTAGGTAAGGCAGGTGACAAATGCATTTGCTGAGGGCCAGCTGCCGCAGCACCAAATTCAATATTGGCAAATCTGTCAGCAGCTTGGCTGTAAGGTTGGACAGCTTGAACAGCTTTAACAGGTTCAAACATGGTGCCATATGCAGGGTTGATGTAATCAGCAAAGCCCTCTTCACACATCATCATTCCAACATCCATGAGCACCTTTGATGTTTCGGGCTGGATATGCACCAGGCTCAAATGAAGTTCAGGGCAGGCAGCCTATGAAAATGAGAATTTATTTACACTTGATAATGTATCACTGGAAGATTTTGGTCCTACTGTTCCACCATTCTTATACTTCGCAACCAAGCTTTTGGTTCCAACTAGCTCAGAAAATCTTTTGGTGGCTTCTTGGGTCCAAGCTGAGGCTCCGTTGGCTGGTTTTACATTGAATAGCTTTGATTTTGAAGCCAACGGTTCAGATCGTAGAATTGGATTGTCAATCAAATGTCGCAATTCCTCAATTTCCTTGTCTTGGGTAGTGCCATAATCAATGTAGTAAACCTGAATTACACGAAAAGCCAAAATTAAAATGAAAATATATAACACAAAATTTATAAATTCCACTAAACCTTGATTTTTAAAGATGAAGCAATATTCTCGATTTGAGCCCTGTGCCACTTTTCACCAAACTTGGTAGCCACGTACAAACCCCTAACAGCACCTTCAAGCTTCAAGTCATCATTGTTAGAGTTGTAATTTTTACTGTAAAAATATCATAAAACACACAACATATATATATTCTTTCTGCACTTACTCTAATTCCTGCATAATGATCTCCAAATCAGCAGCTCTCATTTGGTATTGAACGAAGAATTGCGATGGTGAGAAAATTTCACTAACAGTGACAGCAAATTCTGGTCGAGTCTTTGAGAATTTCATCTGGGCCACTGGAAGTTTAAATCCTGAGGGAAGATACTTCCTTTGGACCAAAAGCAGAGAACTGTCCACCATGTTGTTAGCTCCAACTGTGTTAGGACCTAAAATTGCATAATTAATTATAAATAGAACATAGTAACAAATTAATAGAGAAGAATCACTCTAGTTGTGATATTTGAACACATAGTTTCGTTGTATTAAAATAAAATACTATGTTTAAAAAGGATAATTTTTGGGTTATAAAAATATAATGGCATATTCAGTAATGAAAAATTACTTTTAGTTGGAAGATCAGCTGCAGCTTCAACAACCATTGCACCGCCAGAGTTTGAACCAGCTGCCTTGAAAATATCAGGGGACTTTTGTACCAGTTCCTCTGCGTTTCGGAATCCATAGCTTTGAATATTCAAGTCTTGGTCATAGCAGGTCTAAAAATTAATCATCAATCAATATTTTTATACCAAACTAAACTGACCCAAAATTGAAATATGTTTGTATATATATTGCTTTCCTTGAGCGGTTTTGATTAAGATTAAAATTTTTGGAGCGCATCAGTCAAAATTGCGCACGACAAACAATACCTTCTAAAATATATATTATTTAAGAAGCGTGCGCAGTTTAAAACAATTGAAAACTTATTATAAAACATAATATAAAATAAATTTTCACCAAATGTTTGTTTTGGCTCATTTTACAAATAATATAATGACGACGAACTTGAGGAATAACATACTTTGTAAAGTTCTGGAAGCTGAGATGCTTGAACACCTTCTGGGAATTTCTGAAGCAGCCTAATTAAGTTCCTTTTAATATAATTTGGAATGTGGCAGCTGCGGATATTTTCTCCAAGAATACGCAGAGGTCGATTGCTAGCAAATGTGGTGATAGATATTTCCGACATGTTGTCCGAGGCATCAGCAACCAATTTATTATCCATAATATGATGGTGGTCAAGTTTGTTACAAGATTTTACAGGCTGCATAGGATAGAGGCTTGCATTGTTAGAAGCAGGGTAGTAAAATGAGCCAAATTCCACAACTTGATTTGACATTGATCTCGATAAATTTTTATCAAAACTGCTTTTTGGTAGAAAACTATCACTACCACAGGCTAGATTCAACTTTGAAAATTGTTGCAATGTATCTCCAACCTTTTTTGATTGAGTTGCAGAAATCTCTAAGCCACTTTTCGGGGCCTCTTGATCAACATCTAAAATTCTTTTTTGGCCTCTGCCCTCCTCACAATTTTGATTTGTCTGCTTCTGAAATCATACATACGTACCAATAATAAAAATAATGACAAAGTTTAAAAATATGCTAAATATAACTTAACCAGGCCTCTAGTATATAAGCATAAAAAAGCTAAAGCAAGATAAATGCTATAATTCAAATTTGTATTCATTATAATTCAATCAATTTTTCTGCATCCTTTAAGATGCACATAATCTCAAGACACGTACCTCTGGGGACGAAACTGTGATGCTGGGTTGGACACATTCCTTCTGTACTTTCTCTTTGTCCTGGAGAGGCAAAGCTTGGCTGGATATGCTTGCCTCGACCCATGTTTCATCTCTTTCAGGTGCTGAACGAACCGTCTGGTCATTTGGACTTTTAGCAGCATGAGCAGCGAGTCTTTTATCTTTAGCCTTTTTAGCCTCAACTATTTCTCCAGAGGAAGTAGAAGATGATGACGAGTATGTAGATGAGCTAGAGCTGGAAGTAGATGACGAGTCACGTCTGCTGCTTTTTTGTTTCGTCCAGGCTGGGGGACTGCGATGCGAGGGGGAAACTGTCTTCGAAGAAGACTCAAAGCTTCTGTTGATGGGTCTGCGTTCAACAGATTTAGATCGCGACCTTCTGCGTTCTCTTCTTCCTGGGCTTCTGCTATACCTGCTGTACTGTCTGGGGAGGCTTGGTGAGCGCTTTCTCCTCGGACTTGGGCTGCGAGGGGTCATGGCTCTGTGATCCACCCTTGAGGAATCTGATAGATAAATGTATTTTATTTAATTTTAAATTTAAATTTTAATTGAGGACCAAAATTTGTGAGCGTATTTTTTTACACTATCTTAAATTACTACAGTGGAAAAATCTTTAACCATACCTGCACGACCATATCTGGAGAAAGGTACAGAGCTTTTGTTGCCTGCTAGTTTGTGAGCATTTTTGAAAGTTCTCACAAAGGGAGTTGAGATCTTAGTGGATCTCTGCTTCAGCACCATTTCATCAATATGAGCAACATTTGATCTGTCTTTCAATGAGACAACAAGTCTTTCGGATAACCCCATTTTGATCTGGAATATTTTACAAAAAAGATTGAGTTTAAAAATAAAAGAAAAAATATTAATTTGAAGTTTAATGTAATATAAATGAGATAATGTGGAATAATAAAATAAAAACCTTGTCAATAATGAAAGTGTCGCTCATTCCGTTGAAAAAGGATGTCATCGTTTGGTATCCAAATTTAGAGTAATCAAGAGTTTTCCCAGTGTTATTTGCATACTCCCCGGCAAGTGCACCAACAGTCAACACCACTTTAGATCCTACGACAATGCTTTTCAATAGCGATTTAATATTCTGGTATTCATCGCATTCGTTCTGCTTTGATGGCTTCTCCATTTTCACACCTGCAAGGGGGAAATAATATAATAATTGTACAGTTCATTTATTTCTTTTGTTAAAAATTAAGAAAAAAAAAAACAAAGAAACGTAATGGGCTTAAAAATTAGTAATTTAAGGTGTATATATGAGGATATATAAGTGATAAAAAAAGAGGGAAAAACTATTTATGTATAGCACATGATTTGAATCACGTAAGAATGCAAAATGAACACCACAAAAATTATGATAAAATTGTTTGTAAATGCGAATGGATTAGCATTTATTCTAGGTGGAAATACATAAGTGAACATTTTGATAAAATTATCAGGAAACAGGAGGAACTATTAAAAATAATAATTGATTATACCAGATTATACGTATTTATATTTTCTTTAAATTATGATCATTAACTCTACTCATAAAGGAAATTATAATTCACCACCATTGATATATTCTTTTTGCCTTTTTTTATTTTTACATAATGTATAAAGTATTGGGAATTCATATCCTGCTCATTCATTATTTTTATTGCAACCGTCTCTGCATCTTTCAAAACCAAAAATTTTGGACGTGCTAGAAACGTTTGAGGAATGCTTCAAAAGCGCCTCATGATTTACTTTTTACATTTATGACTACATATTTATACCTTTAACTATTCCTTTTCAAGCCGAGTTTTGTGGTCGTGTCCGAAATTTCCCAATGGTGAGGTAAACTGCAGTGTCCGGACTGTCCGCCGTCCGGCAGTCGGTTTTTCGATTGGAATCAGAGAATCGTCCCGATATTCAAGCCACGCAATAAACTAATGCGACAACTCGACGAAACAGCTCCTCGGCCTCCTCGCCTAACAATCAGAAAACGAACAACGAAAACATTCGTGATTCGAGACTTTACCGAGTAGCAATCACAAGACACGATCACTCTGAAACATTCTGTACATACTTCTTTGCCAATCAGCAATTAGAATGCGCCAATGGAGGACCGACTGGAAGAGCAGAGAACACACACATAAGAATGTGTACATTATTATTTACCCGCACCAAATCCAGCAGTCGGTGGCGCTTGGCTGGAAATTCTTGCGCCAAAAGGAGAAGCAGAAAACAAGACTGTTCACGTTTTATCCTGTTTCCATGACAGCCACCGACGGCGCTTGCTTCTTGCTAGATCAGCGTTTTGCAAGTTCAGTGCGGTTCACTGTAAGTCCGAGAGAAAAAGTAAATCCACGACGGAAATCGAAAATAATACAGTATTTACAAGAGATTTTAATTAAATGAGTTGAAGCTGTTTTGTAATGGTCTTTTTTACTGTTTCATGCTCGAAATTAGAAAAGCCAAAAATTTAATTCTTACCATGCATTCAAAATTCAAAATTCAAAACTTAACATCCTCTGAGCGAGCATCTGAGCGCAAAAATAACAGTGTTGCCATTACATAGCTGGGTGTCTTATTACTATATTAAATAGTGTCACGTGAGTGTTCTTTCTTTCTTTCATTGGATTTCAGTAAATCCTAAATTAATATAAATATTTTTTGTGTCGGAATTTTTGTTGTTGCAATAGCAAAAATTATCATTATTTTCTTAAAAATTGCAAAAATATCACAGTTATTAATGTAATTATTACTATTGCTTACTTATGTCTTTTTTCGGAAAAATTTTTGGCATAAATAGGTACTGCAATCAGCGCCGGGGTCTTTAAAAACTCCCAATATATACCTCAAGATACGCGGCTGCTGCTGTGAATCGTTATTATTTGTCCACGCATTGCTACATTTTTTTCCATTCAAGTATTGTAACATGCTTGTAAGAAAAACGGAAAAACGGTCCATTGTAGCAAGAGTTTTGGCTTCCTTAAATCGAAAAACCCCATCCACCGCAGGAAGTTTCTGTTGCCATATTATTATTTAACATTAAAAAGCCTTTTTTTTTAAATAGACACGCATCGCGCGAAAACTACTGATGATTTGCAAATTTCCAGCAATGAAATTCTTACACTCCTTAATATTTTATAATTTTTTGCCGAAGTAAAATTTTGCGACAATTAATTATTTTTTTCTTTTTTATGCAAGTTGTACGTAGGACACACTTCCATTGAACATAATAATAATTGAAAGGAACAGAAATAGGAATAAAAATTATGATTAAATCGTTATATTATGCTTTTGTTTGCTACTTTGTTAAATTTTAAAAAATTTTTACATTTTTATTTAGTAATAATTGTATCGGATTAAATATTATTATATAGTCTATTGAGATCACATAACTGTTGATTTTTTTTTTAATTTCAAATTTTGCTGTTCTGCTTCAATTTTTAGAATAAATCAATTATTTTTTTAAAAGTAATCAATTCAGCAAGAGAATTTTGAGGGTCTCCTTACTGCAATAAAATTACTACATAAAATTTTATATAATGTAAAATTTATATGTTTTCAAGCAAAACCCCACTTTAGTTAGTTTCAAAGCTCTCGGATGGGTGGCGTTAACATGCAGATGTGGCCGCACTGGTACTGCACTGCATCGCATGCTCACATGCTGTGGCCGCTGTGGGGTGTGTAGATTTTGAGCCTATTGAGGTTAAAAAGAGGAAAAAAGTCTAAAAGTCATCACATCAAGCTGCTCAATCATAGAAAACAGTCTCTGCGTTTCCTTCTATTTTGTTTTATATTGTGCATTTTACGTTGCCAAACTGCAAAAAACTGTCTCCAGACATAAAATCACAAGATTTTCAATTTAATCAAACAGCAGAGACTGGCCAGAGAGGCATGATCTACTAATGCTTGATAAGTAAGACTATGAAATGTGTGAAATTATAATTTTTTTTAAGAGATTCCTTATCACTATATAATTGACATTTTTAGCGTGATGTATTTGATTTAATTTAATGAAATCAACATACAAAAGTTTTTTACAAATTGTGTAAAGTGAAAACTATTTTAAAAATCATTGACTGATCAGATTTTGTTTGTATAGATTACCTCGACTGATAACAGAGAGATAATGAATCGCCCCATTGCCGGCTAGTCTATTACTCATCTCAGTGACTCATCGGTGCTCGCAACACCTGTCGGTAAATATAAAAATGAGTTTTCTTCTCTGGACCATATACTCAATCGGTCCAAAACTAACTTAGCGTTAAAGTCGTAAACGTAAAAGAAAAAAAAGGACGGCATACAACCATGGACTTCCTGTTACAGAAACTGGACATGTGGAGCTTGATAGACTATTTCAATGATCCACATCTGGTGCTGAAAATTCAAAACTACTTTGGTGTGTTTCGGAAATCAGAGAAGAAATTCCCCGGCAAGGATGAAAATTCAAGCACAAAATTGCGGAGAAGGAAGTCGAAAACAGAATCGACACCTTCATCTGACGAGAATGACGTTCAAAGCGTTTATTCATCCGACTCGGAGGTGGAATCAGAAGATTTCGTAGTCACCAATAAGTTTTGGTACTACCTCTTCACATTCGGAACCATTCTGGGAGATGAACTTTTTTATGCCATGTTCATTCCATTTTGGTTTTGGAATGTTGACGGAGCCGTTGGCCGTAGATTTGTTATGGTCTGGGCGGTCGTGATGTATATAGGCAAGTTTTTGTTTCTTGAAAAATTAGATCTGTTTTAAAGAATCCGTCTACTATTTTTAGGTCAGGGTACAAAAGATATCCTGCGGTGGCCTCGACCAGCTTGCCCACCTGTGATCAGGGTCCAAAAGAAGTGGTCTTTGGAGTACGGAATGCCTTCAACCCATGCCATGGTTGGGGTGGCCATACCATTTTCAGTTCTCCTTTACACAGCAGACCGCTACCAGGTAAATTTTAATCATTAGTAGTACTATTTGACTTGTGCTCAAGAAGCACTTTCACTTTTGTAAATGATTATTGCAATAGTCAAAAAATTTCAGTACAACATTTGGATTGGTTTGCTGATTTCTGTTGTCTGGTGCTCCGTTGTCTGCATCAGCAGATTGTACCTTGGAATGCATTCCGTGGCCGTAAGTAATATTTAAGAAGAATATCCTTTTGCTTAATTTTATTTAAGTACCATAATTTTATTACTTATTTTGCCTAAACATTTCTTAGGATCTAATCGGTGGATTGGTGCTAGTCTTCTTATTAATGGTTCCATTGATCCCACTTGAAGATGCTCTTGATCCATGGATTCTGACATCAGATTGGTCTCCATTTGTTGTTTTCATCTCCGCCGTCAGTCTTGTCATTCTGTCCCCAAAAAGTGATAAATGGACTCCTACAAGGTAATATTTTTTTTATCTACGAAACCAACCCCTTTTTATTGGTTTTTAATTTCAAATGATTTAATTATATATTTTTTAAATTTCAGAGGTGACACAACTGTGATTATTGGAGTGACTACTGGCATCCAAATGGCCTCCTGGCTAAATTATAAAATGGGCTTCATGAAGGAATCTTTACTCCAGCCCCCTTACACAATTATCTGGCCATCTTACCAAATGGTATGTAAATTTAATATAAAACATTACATTGATTTGATTTATGTATTTATTCAGTTTGGGCAAATGCTGTTCAGAGCAGCTATCGGTTATTGCTGCACCATTGCGACGAGGGCAATTTTACGATGGTCGTCATATATGACCATGTGTGCTCTTTTGCAACTTGATCCAGAATCTATGAAGAACAGAGATGTGGCAAACAAAAGGCAGACCATTGTAGAGCTCAGTTACAAATTTATCACTTACTTTGCTATTGGGATCAATACCGTTTGGCTTCAGCCAAACACATTTCGTCTTATAGGCATTGAACGTCCGTCGTTTTACACAGAGATTTAATTAGTCTGATCAAATATCTTAATCCCATGGATTCACATTTTTTTATTATTATTTTTTAATATCACTAAGTGATAAACTACAAGCCAAAATTTACTCAGTCCATGTTTCGGCGGCCGTTAAATATGCCTTATGTTACAAAGACAAAGGCCGGATCCATCTGCTCATAGCAATCCGATTGAACCGGATTTCCTTCACTTGCCAAGCTTGCGAATGGTAAAATCCAAGGTAATTTGATATAACAAAAAATGTAATGCCTTGTTTCACAATAAGAATTAGCCCTGAATTAATACCTTCCGTCATTCTAAAATGTTTGTTCAGAGCAAAACTCCATAAAAGTACCTCACTTAAAGAAAACAAAGAACCTTCCGATTTTCCATATATTCTTACTTCATGTACATTATTATCATGATTTATTGAAGCTGAGGAATCTCATGTGGTTGCATTAAAGAAAATATTGAGGATGAATTGGTCTTTTAATTATTTTTAAAATTGATTGCAAATCAACCTATCTTCACTTTGGTAGTAAACAAGAAATATAATGTATAAATAAAACATTTTACTAATAATTCAATTATTAAACGCGTTTGCGTTACTACTTAAAGTACCGCGCGATCCAAAGTATAATTATATTCTTTGCCGCTAGAGGCAGGCCACGTCACTCACAAAACGTAAACAATAATAAAAAATAAAGTCTTTCCACTTTCCATACAACGCACTGGTATATAACGCAAAATTAATATTTATCCGATGTCACTGGCCTTTTCAGGCGTGGGTTAAATTTTCTGGCTTTAGATTATGAATTCAACAGATGACTCAAGACCTGTTATTACATGTGAGCGTTTAATTGAAATTTTGATAAACTTGCAAAATAAATGTATATTTTGAATTTATCTCATTTTAGAAAATCAAGTCGCAAGTATATAATGTTAAAATTACTATAAAATAAGAAAGTTATATATTTATACAAAAAATTAATTTTATTCTGATGCAGTCACCGGAGAAGGGTGGAGCGCCAATTCAAGAAGCCTGTTGGAGGCCGTCGGCGCTGAGGCATGCGAGTGGCGACGTCCGCTTGGTCGTCCAGCGCGACAGGTACGTGTTGAGGCGTTGTTGTGCTCACCAGCCGAGGCACCGTCCGAGCGTCCATGCATTCACACCTTCTGGAGCTCCTGCAATGATGTTGATTCGTGGCGCTCGACCGAGAAAGACAAGGTTGAGAAATGGATTCGCTCCATCGCTGCTGGGGACGAGTGGCTGGTAATTCTGCCCGCACCCAAAATTGCAGACAAAGCTCGCACCGAGCTCAAGCAACCGGAAAGGCAAGTGGAAAATTGCGAGATTTTTTTTTTTAATCAAATATTTGGTTATTCAGGTGCCTGTCGAGCCGTGATCCTGGTCTCTTGCGGCGAGTTCGGCAAATGCTGCTGACGGCCATCGGCCAGGAGGAACAAAGTCTTGGCCAGGACGTCCGTAGAGAGCGCGAGAGGAGAAACGAGCAGGGGTGGAGTTTTGGAGAGTATCTTGCCCTGCAGGAGAAGTTGGCCGCCCTTCTGGGAGCTTTGAAGGGCGTTGAGGACGAGGCATTGGTTCAGTATGATGAGCTTGACGCCTTGTTCACCCAGTTTGTGAGAAACGCAAGTCTTGTAGGTACGTAAAGCAAGTTTGGTAAGGTTAGAAAGTTTTTATTTAAGCGCTGAAAATTCAGAACCTCCTCCTTGGCTGAGTTCATTCAGTGCACCGTTGAAGGAGTGGCGAGGTCTGGGATTAGATTCAAACACAAGATTTGCCATCGTCAATGGTGATTCGTCACTCCTGCAGCTTCGATCGTATCTCTTTACCAGACAACTGAATCTCCTGCTCAGAATGAACCAACCCCAACAGGTGGTTAGCTTAATATTTCTTATTTTTATGTTTATAAAATTTAGAAATCATTTTAATTCAGAATTTAATAAAAAAAAAAAAAAAATCTTATTTTAAATGAAGCAAAAGTTTCATATATTAACATTTTTTAAATTTAAATTTGTTTTCCAATTGACTCAGATTGCTGAAAGGTGTCTTCCTTTACTGCAAATCTGCTTCAACGAGCTCCGCATCCTGGAGGTGGATTTTCCTAAGGGTGCAGCCTCCTGCTGGGCTGTCCAAGTAGCGCTTCAAGTGCTTCACGTTTGCCGAAAATTCCCTGACCAAGTGCATTCCCTGCCAGCTGCTTCACTTTGTGACTACGCTTGTCAAAAACTCTTCCAGCTGGGAGAGCTACTCGGCCTCATGCCAGGTGGAGAAGGTCCAACCAGCACCCAGCTAGATGCAGCCGTCTGGTTAGGTGCAGGTTTGGGTCCCGAGCCCCCTTTCGGAGGCGAACAGTTGAAGGAGGCTCTCGGCTCACCTGCCACCTTCCAAAAGTTATACCTAGAGCTAGCCGAGTTGGCCCTGGGCACTTTCAAACACCTTGGACGCAGCAGGTCAGCAAGACTGCTGGGCCACCAACTGTCCAATTTCCACCAGCTTCGAGGGGAACCTCACACGGCCGCAGCTTATCTGGCCGACGCGCATTCGGCTGTCGAAGGGTGGCCTCTTCTAGGAACAAACATCTTGAGCCAGCTTGCAGAGTGTCTGAACGGAGAAAAACTTGCAGTAGCTAGGGCCAGACTGGCGGCCAGCGCCACACTTAGCCTCGAAGAGAGGACAAAAAATTGGCACCAGCTGTTAGAAATCTTGGATGATCTTGATGCTGATGGTAAAACATTCATATTTTTAATATTTTTAAATTAATCAAATTAATTTCTCTTCAGAATGTGTCGTGCCTCTTGAAGAAATATTTGAATTGGTTTCCGTGCAGCCCATAAGTGGACACAAGCAGCAAGCCAAAGTGAAACTGAATTCGCTGCTGCCAGAGCCAGTAATGCTCATTCCCTCGTTTTCTATTCAAACGGCTCCACCTCAAGTGATACGAAAAGAGAGCAATCCAAGAGGCCGCAGACAAAGAGGCAATTTTTCTGCCTGCCTCTCGTCTGAACCAATTGAAATACAACCAGGACCAAATGAATTCACACTCCACGCTCAGGTATATTTGAAAAAAATTCCACCAGCAAAAATAAATAAACTATTATTTTCAGGGTGCTGTGCACACAGGTCACTTGTGTCAGTTGTCCTTGTTGATGAAGGAAAAAATGGACTTCGTTAGCGCTGAAAGCCGACTCGGACTGATTGAAGTGAAAAAAGGAGAGGCGAAGGTTGCAGTTGAAAGTGGACAGCTATTGGCAAGAATGCCACAAAAAATTCAACTGAGGTTCACCGCGGGGACCGATGGCATTGACGAGGTGAATTAATATGATTATTAATATTACTTTTCTTATCAAATCCTTTCTAGTAAATATAATAAGTTTTTAAAATTTACAAAAAAAAAAAAAATGTGATTTGCAGGGAACAGAAATTACAATCAAGGCACCTAGAGGTTTAAGCTTGGGAGAAGGAGGTCGGCAAATAGTCATAGAGCTTCCAAAAACAGAGCAAGGAATGGAATCTGTTGTTCCTTTGGACGTTTTGGCAACTCCTCCTTCTGCAAAATCAACTGACGTTGAATATCAAGTACTAAAAATAGTGTTATTTATTTGCTAGAAACTAATTATCCTGTGACTCTTCCAGTTGACCTTGTCCTCTTCATTATGGGAGCAGGCATATCAGGTGCCCGTCCACTTCACCGTACCTGTGGCTGCTTCTGTTAAACTGCACACAGCGATGAAAACCAAATTCCTTCAAGTGGTCGTGTCCTCGACCTGTGGCCAGCGTCTGATGCTCTCTGAACCAACCCTCGAGTTGTCCCTCGGCCAATCGAGCGCCTTACCCATCAGCCCAGAACCAATGGTGCTCGATCCAGAGCGTCCTCTCAGCTACATCTGGAAGTTGGAGGTGGATGGCCCAGTGCGGGCGAAATTCAACGTGGCCTTAACAAAGGATGATACGTCTGGCTTTTACAACTGTGAATTTGAGTTGGCTGAGTGCGCAACAATGATCGTGGTCCAGTCAAAAGTGGCCGCCGCCACAGGCGCTGAGGTTTGCCGAGCTAATGCGATGTGCCACCTGTACCTGACAGTCGAGACTTCGGAGCCAAGTGGACAGTCCCTGATGTATGAACTGCTGGCTGACCATAGCATGTGGGCCGTCTGCGGTCGAACTGCAGGAGTGCTCAGCATGGACCAGTCCAGTCACAGCCTTGTATTAGATGTGATGCCTTTGACTTCTGGCTTCCTCCCGCATCCCCAGGTTCGCTTCTCTAAATACATTCCAGGTAACAAAGATGACTTGCATTTTATTTATTTATTGTAAAAAATAATAAAAATTCAGCAAATGCTGGTTTGACGCATCCAAAATTGGAGCCTTTTGGACCGGGTCAGGTGTACAACAAAAGCAAGTCTCTCCAAGTCCATGTGCTACCAGCTGTCCAAGCAAGTTAAAAGTCTCAATTATTAATTTTTGTTATGCATATTTAATATAAATATCCTTGTTATAACTTGAAAACAAACGATAAGTGGTAATTATACACAAATTATGATAATATGGAAGCCAACGCTTTTTTTATTTAACATTTTTTCTCTTGCAGTATATAATTTATCAATTCAAGATTCTAAATTGGCAATGAAATGGAAGAAGTTTTTACATCAACATGTATCAGAACTTTAAATTATTACAGGTTTCGTAAACTTGTTTTTAAGTAACAATCTAAAATGGACTAGATTAATTGTAAAATATTTTGCGCAACACGGAAGAAACATTAAATTGCTAAATGCAAGTCGTACAGAAAATTTTTACAGTTGCAAATTAAAGCAAATATTTTTGCTTTAACTGCGCCATTTCTTCTTCCTCGCTCATGATTGGATTCGCTCTATCAGCTTCCTCTGTAAAGCAACAAAAACGTTTTATCGTCTTTTAAGAAAGTACTTATGGCACAAGCGCACCTGCGGCCTGTCGAATGCTGATCTCCAGCTCTTTTCGCAACACATTTAAGCCCAAATGTGGATTTTGAGACGTCAAGGGTGGGACCAGAAGGGACAAAACTTGTGCAGCTGGTCGAAGCGGCAAAGTAGGCACGTAGCTGAAGAAAATAGGGATAAATAAATAATTGATATCGGCGATGGTTCAATTTAAAATTTTGATATTATTACGAGTTGCAGATATTTTTAGAATAATGTCTTCTTACCCCTTTGTGTAGTATGTGTTTTCTCGGGGACTTTCCTCGCTAGAAGCTGGACTTGGTGTGCGTCTTTTATTTTCCTGCTCTTCTTCGAGCCGAACCGACTCTCCGCGCGACTTTAAAGTGGCCTGGATTTTGGCCAGCTCACTCAGCAGTTTCCCTCTGGTCTGTTGGAAGTCCTCTCGGAGCTGTGACTCGGAAGTGCAGCGCAATTTCTCGAGCCGCGACTGCTGCTGCAGTTGCTCCTCAAGGAAAGCGTTGACGCGTCGAAGTTTGGACGAGAGCTGCTCGCGAGCCGCCAGTTCTGCCTCTTGCTTAGCGCGCGCCAAAGCCACCTCGTAACTGCGACGCACCTTGTCTAGCTCAGCGCGGGTCACCGAGTCGCGCTCCAGGGCCAGTCTGGCCGCCCGTTCTTCCTCAAAGGCGCGCCTCGACTTTTCCAGCTGAGTCAGCACAGCGCCCCCCTCCTTCAGCTCCCGGATGGTCGCCTCCAGCGCTGTCCGGTGCGCCTTTTCCTCCTCCACCTTCAAACTCAACTCCTCAAGCTTTTTCCTCAGAGCTGCGTCCGGTTCCCTGTTGATTGAAAACAATTCTAGAATTTAAAAATACTAAAAAATAAAATAAATTAAAATTTCCTTAATAAAAATTACGCCATGGTAATTTAATTAAACTGAATAATTTTGGCTGTTAATGATTTATTTAAGCCTGTTAAAAGTGATGCGGAATAATATGAAGGGAAATTTCGTATTTTATAAATTTTTCAACTTTCAAAAATCGGAGGAGAAATGATACGTTAAATTCTGCTAATTTTATTTTCCAAAAAAATGTGATCTCATCTTTTGTTTCTTGTAACGAGACATATCTATTTGTAGTATATTTTTAATTCAGAGTAATTGAATTTATTGTGTAATTTTTTTTTTAATATTTTAAATAGAACATTAATTTATACGAAATTTTCTAACTTTCCTTTTAACTAGTTTATACTTTTCAAAGTGTATATATATATACCGGTTTGTGTTGCGTCTTTCGGCTGCTAGAACTCTGGCTCGCAACGCTCCGACCTCAGTCCTCAGCTTTCGGATGGTCAGGACACCGCGACGGGCGCGTTCCTTTTCGGCCGTCAACTCGCGACTGAGCTCTTTTGGCGGCTGCTCCAGTTGCCGGATGTACTCGAGTTCAGCGTCCGCCTGCCGCAGTCGGATTTGCAGCTCGAGTTTATCTTCCAAAGCGGCCGCGTGTCCTTTCTGCGTCTTGGACAACTGACGCGTCAGCTCGGTGGCCACGTCGCGCTGCGTGCGTGCGGCGTGCAGAGCGTCGGCTAGTTCGTACTGCAGTCGGCGGTTCTGCTCCTCGAGGGCCGCCGCCATCTGCTCAACGCGCGCCCTGTCCGCGACCACGGCTCGCAAGCGTCGCTTCAGAGGCGCGTACGCGCTCTTGGTGAAGCCGTCGTCCTCGTTGAAACTGTCCTCGCGCGGCTTCCGCTGCTTCTTCTTGCGCGGAGGCGCCACCGGCTCGTCCTCCAGACTGATCTCTCTGGCCGTGAACTGCACGTTGGGCACCTTGATGGGCGTCGGGAACTCGGGCAGGATGGCCCTGCAACCTTCCTTCCGTCGCACCACAGCTTCCTTTTCAACTTCACTTTCCTCAGACTTGTCCTCTCTCTTCAGCAACTCTTCAGTTTCCTGAACGTGGGCATTGAAAGAGAAAAATTAATCATTTATTTTTACCTCTAAAAAGATTTTTTTTCTTTTGAAGTGAAATATAAAAGTTTAAGTTTTAGTCTTTTAATATTTAATTTTGAAATTAAAAAAAGAAATAAGCTATAACATTTATGATATTTTTATTTCAAGTATATTATTTTTTTGTATTTATTTATAATTCAATCAAGTCGTTTATTCTAAATTTAAAATAGCTAAAATTGGCCAACTATATTTATAAATTTTTTTTCAAATTTATATTTAAAATTTGAATCCAAAAAATTTTTTTTGCCCTGTTAAAAATTGTTTAAATATTATTAAAACTAGATTTACAACACTATTTATTAGACCTGCCCTTACTTGTGTATTTTCCTCCACTTCAATTTCTTCATCTTCGTCTTCATCGTCGTCCTCCTCTTCCTCATCATCGCTGCTCTTTTCCACCGTTTCGTTGGCCTGCCAGATTTCCTCTCTTCCCTGCATGGTGCCCTCACGCCCCAGTGTGGCTCCATCGTCCACACCCTTCTCCTCTTCCTCCTCCTCAAACTCGTCTTCGCTGTCCCAGTCGCTGCTCTCGGCCTCCTTCTCCTCTGGCTCTTTTTCCTCCTCTTTCTTGGCCGGCAGAGCCTTTTCCAGAGCCTCGACCAGAGTCACCGGAAGACTGGTCGGCCTCGGTTTTTTCTTGTCGCCCTTTGGTCTCGTCAGGGACAAAAATCCGTTCGGAGCCTCGCCAGGCGTTCCAACTGGCGTGTCCCATGGCGAGTTGGCGAGACTCAGCGACTGCGGCCTCAGACTTGTGACAGGTCCTGTGAGTCCCGCCTGGATCAGTTCCCAGCTCCTGGGTGGCTTCAGCGATGGAGGCATCCCTGGGATGTCATGGGCAGGCGACTCGACGGCCACCTCAGCCTCCGGCTCAGGCTGATCGACCTCGGGCTCAAAAGGTACGCTGCAAGCAAAAAAAATTTAGCCCCGAGTTCCGAGTTCATTTTCGGGCTTAACTGGGTCAGAGATGAAAAAGCGTGAATATGAAGAATCTGTGTTTACCCTCTCGCGTAATCACACTACCCGCTCAATGTTGCCCGACAGCTAAAAGAAATGTGTCTACGGATTTCAAAAGGAGACGCCGCCATACAAACGCTTCGTCCCTATTCATATAGCCAGAATGAAGCGCAGAGCACACATTTGCGAATTTTTAATAGCGAGTGGCGCCGGCATCCAATATTAATATCTCAAATCATACCCTTAAGCAATGCCACGTGCGCTGCTTATATGAGACAGCGGTATAGTTGGTTATTAATGAAAATGCAAATTAGTTATCGATTTTCTAGATAGCCGAGCTTGGCGCAAATGCAAATAACGAAAAGCAAATGTGGTGCACAGTTGTGTATAAAAAATGGAATTAATATTCATGACAACATGAGGACTTTTTAAAATTTATATTTTATGCATGATGCATTGTTGGAAACATCCGACTGGTTTATATTTCTGTCTGCAGCATCAGTTTAAAATATTAATTAATAATGGAGATACACATTTATAAAATTAATTTAAAACGCTGATTTTTTTGGTTGCTCGTTCAATTCGATAGTTATTTTCTGCTTTTAAAGTGATTTAATCTTAAACACGCACTATTAAGTTGGTTACAAACAGTTACAAATTTTGAGAAGAAGATGAAAGAAAGCAAAATCAAAGGGGGGGGGGGGGGCTTTTCCCAATTACATTAATTTTATCGTAAAAGTCGTTAATTTTACGAAGAAAATTTCGTCCGTTCATTGATCATAATTTAAATTTTTTCCTGTCAAATGAAAGAAAATTTTCATATATTTCATTGTGATTACTAATTTACAAAATTTTGCAAGTAAAAACCATAATTTTAAACGTATAAAACATTTTTCCAGTGAGTTTTATATTGATTTTTTTTAAATGAACTTAAAATGTGATAATTATTTATTAATATTTTATGAATTTTAATTCATTTAATTTAATTTTTTTTCTTGTGATTCTCTAATATAGATAGCTCTAATTGATTTTTTTTCTTTATTTTCTTCCAGCAATATGCCCGTTTTTTTCCTATCCAGAATTCTTCAAAGATAATCATTTATTTTGCAGTAGTCCAATTAATGACTCTTAAAATTAGTTATAACGCTATGATCACCAAACGCTTAGAACGTTAAGTCGCTCACTAAAAAATCTAGGTGTGAATTTAAAATTAAATTTAAAAGACTTGCCAGTCGTAGTGCTGCATGCTCTCAAGCTCCTGGAGGAATTTGCTCGTCTTCTCACCAACAACAACGTCGACTGGGCGTTCCTCAAAGCGTCGCGCTGGCGCCGCTTCAGCGCGGCGCTGCAGTTCGACAGTGACGGCCTGGTGTCCTGCCATCACCGCGTAGTCCTCGGCCGTCCAGCCGTTTGCGTCGGTGGCGCCGACGTCGGCGCCATACTCGAGCAGCAGCGCCACCAGGGCCGTGCTACCCACTTTGGATGCGACCATGAGCGGCGTGCGGTCTTCAGCGTCTCGCGAGTTGGCGTCGCCACCGTGGCGCAGCAGCAGGTCGGCGACCTCGCGGTGGTTGCCGCGAATCGCCGCGTGCAGGGCTCGCTCGCCGCCACGATTTCCCGCCTCCAGGGCCGCGCTCTTCCGCAGCAGGGCCGACGCTAAGTCAACGTCGCCCAGGGTGGCGGCCAAATGCAGACAGGTGGTGCCGTAGTTGTCGGGCACGTTCACGTCGGCGCCGCGTTCCAGCAGCAGTTGGGCGCATTCGCGGCGCCGACATTCTACCGCCTTCAGCAGCGCTGTCCGCCCTTCGTTGTCTCGCACATTCACCTGAAATGGTTATTTCTTCATTAATTGTATATTTATCAAAAACAAATTTAAAAATGAATGCAAACACAAAAATTGTAGGTGAAAATTAACTAATTTTCCTATTAAATACTCAAATTTTGGCTATAAAAATCTGTTCTCGAAAATTGCATATTCCATAATTTTTCTCTTTCATGCAGTCTCCAAGTAAAAATAATCTTTTAAAATGATAACTATTGACATAATACTTTTATATTATTTTTAAATTTATTCGTCGTACATAAAAAATAACAATAATAGAGAGCAGGTGGTGAAGCACATATAATATGAGTCAACGCTGTGGGTTGCTGGCTTTACCTTGCATCCCCCAAAAATCAATGAACAGAACAACGCCTTTGAGCAAAACAATGAAACAAACGTGCATGCGTAAAATCGGCACCTTGGCTCGGTTGCTGATGAGGAACCAGACGACCTCCGCATGGCCCTGAGCGGCAGCCAGGTGAAGTGCGGTGCGTCCGCCTTTGTCCGGCGTGTCCAGCTGCTCAGCGCGGCCTTTGAGTTTGTCCAGCTGTCCCTGCCAAGCGGCTCGGTGCAGCTTTGACAGGGTCTTGGTCTCGACCTCGTAGCCCGGAGGGTCATCGAGGCCTCCCTCGAGGCTCAGGTTGCGCACGGGCACCACGTCGGAGGCGCCGCTGCGGCCCTTGCCGCCGCCCTTGACGAAGCTGATCACCCTCTTCATGCCAGCTGCATTTTGCACCGCGGCTCGCCACCCCCGACTGCTGGGGTGCTCGCATGGGTCGTCGCCACCCCTAGCTGCACCTGCGCGTTCCACTCTGCTGCACCCCCAACTGCTGCTGGCGCCTCTGCTTGCTGGCTGCAGATGGCACCCTCTAGCGCTGTTTGGACTTCGGTGGTTTGAATCATGTGCACTTCAATACCTAAGATTTAAGCCCTTCGCTATGATTCTTTCTGCATTCTCCAGACAAAATTACTTTAAAAAAAAAATGAAATTCTTTTAGAAGATCGCATTATTATAATGAGGGTTATTCTTTACATTAATCAAAACATTCCCATCATCAATATCATGAACATATTACAAAAATGACATTAAGAAATTTTGGATTGTGCATATTTTTGCACAGTAAAATTATTTAATTTTTGAACGAAAATTCAATTCTGATCGTTATTATCACTGTGCAAAGTTTAAGGACAGAAGCATTACATATTTCACCAATCCGCCCTCCGATGCCGTTCATACAAAATCAATTAACAAGCGCCAAGCGGGAGGGTCCAGCAGAGATCATAGTCAAAGACGCAATTATTGATTATTATTTCTTTTAGTAACCATAGATTAAAATAACCTTTGGGTCCCAATATTTGCATGGCCAGTAAAATATCACGAGAATTTGTGAACTTTATCAATATTGAATATAACATGTTTGTGATATGCGACATCTCCAATTCTGGCACTGATCGAGCGGCCAATTGTTTATTATTCAATTGTCGAGTCCAGTGCATTCCCTCAGATAATTTGAAAGTATAAAAATTTAGATTTCCTTTTATTATTTTTAAACTGCAATTGTGGATTTTCTGGAAATTTAATTTTAGAATAATAAAAAAGTAGAACATTAGAATTTTATTTAGTTTGTTAAATAATTTTGTGCGCTCATTTACATAATAAAAAGTGTAAAAACAAAAACTTAACTATACTGAAACCTGGTGGAAGAACTGGTCGTTTGGAAGAGAATTTAAATTCATGTTTTTGCTGCGGGATACAAAATGTATATATTTTTTATAAACCGAGATTTATTTATTATTGTGTAAAAATCAAGAAATATGTACCATAAAATAATTTAAATAAATTGCGTTTTTGCCTTTTCATGGCGCTTACAATTTTATGCTTCCAACGCACAAGGTTTTTGAGATTAAATTATTTAACATTTTTGTTGATAAAAAATATTTAAGTAAACATATATTGAAATAAATTTTGAGTTAATACATTTTGTTAAAAGAATTACAGTAGTAGGCTTGTTCAACGTGCTATAGGATCAAGAGGAAAAAAATTATTAATCCAACGCAATAATTGAAATAAAACACAAAATTTATGCCATTAAATTTATTGTTATAATATAAAGTATGAGTTATCCACATAAATTTATAATAAAAGCCGTTGCAAAAAAAAAGCGGTTATGCTTATTACACAGATTACAATATTCAAAGGCAAAGAAGCGGTGCTCTTAGATTTATTTATGATGTCGTTAAAAAAGCCTCACCAGTATCTCAAAAACACCAGTATTCAACTCTTTTCCACCATACGGTACAAAACCGTTTTCACAACGGTGGTGCACCTAAATGTGGTAGAAACGGTAATGATATAGTAAATACAATTTATGTTAGTTTCAACTTTTTTAAATTACCTTGCCAATGGCGTGGTTACCATCTTTTGTCACAATTCGGCAGATGTAAAGCGTGTCGCGATTGCCTTCTGAATATCCACCGATCACAGCATTGCTCGGCACTTCTCTTTGAATAGTAGTTGGCATCCAATCGTATTTTCCGTTATTGCCGCACAACACCTCGTACGAATCCAACGCGTGTTCCTTGCAACCCCATGGAATAAAAGCTTTCCCATGTTGAGGCACAACTTTTCCTGGAATTAGACCATCCTTAAAATGAGCTCTTCCGACATAAATTTTCCGTTCGTTGTCATAGCCTCCCACAAAAGCATCGAGAGGCACTCCTCCATTCCTGTCGTCTTTCCAGACATCTACAAAATCGACATTTACTCATTATCATTGGCAATATTATTTTCATCACTATTTTAAAAATATCTTTCTATTAAACAAAATTATTGTACGTACTCATTACTCATAACTTTTTATGAATTCAAATAATTTCCAAAATCTTTTACAGCACGATATAATGGTGCATTGCAAAAAATTCATAATAATATTTAAAAACTTTAATTATATAAATATAATTTTAATATTTTATATTTGGCCGAAAAAAATGCCATACTTCAGAGCCAATTTTTTAAATTGCTGTGCATTTGGTCCCGTCAGTGAATCTAATTGTTTTTAGCGTCCTTACTGACACAGTACGCTCGCTTTGTTATAGATTCGGGCGTGTCAGAATTGTCAGGAAACTAGCGCGTGATGATTTGGTGATTTTTACTTCTTTTAAAATCTCAACTTATTCCAGCAATGACCGATTCAGGCAATTTATTTGAAACTTAATATTATTTTTAAATTGCCGAAATTATTTAAAATATTTTCTCAATTATGAGGATTTATTTCATACATCTCCTTTATTCATTTACCTGCTCCGCCTGCTTCGGATTGCGGGACCGGTGGCCCTGGCCGTACGTTCCATCCAAAGTGTCCCGGTTGTCCGACAGCCTCGTTGTAAGTCAAAGATGAGGGCGGTGGTGATTGCATTTCCTCTGCCACTGAAGGTGCCGGCGGCTGTTGCATAGAACGATTGAACTGCCCTCCGAAGATTGCCTCCGAGTCCGAAGCGACGTTTGTGGGCGGCGACTTGTTTGTGTTTTTTTGGCTCTATGTTAATCGATGGGTCTCATCATGGCCTTGACTAATCTTAAAGTTTGGGTGGCGGGGCGCCAGCTTTGCGGCTGCGCTATACTGTCGAAGAGAGAAAAAAAACTAAAGGCGCGCGCGGACACGCCGGTGCGAATTATTTTTTAGTAAAATGTGAACGTAACAAAGAGAAAGAATGCAAAGATCAGATCTATACAATTTTTTTTTAATAAAAAACTAGGCAAAATGTATTTATGTGAATCAAAATATTTTAAATTAATGAAATTGTTCGGAGAAAACTAAACAAATTGAATTAAAAAATGAATCTAATTGGTATTTACTCATTTATTGCTAATGACGAGGAATTACATGGAATTACAGATTCATTTCCACACAAACACAGCAAAAGAAAAAAAAATGAATAAAAAGTACAGAATAAAACGGAGCAAACAATTGAAAAGAGAAACATACTGTCAATTAGGGTGTTAATGAAGAAATGGCTTTTTGCTAGCAATCACAGCACAATATTTCGAAATAGGGGCCACCGGCCGCTGCTAGAGCCATTAAAAAAGGGGGAAACATTAGACGAAATTTGCCACAAGTGCACCTTGCGCAGAGGTGGAAACTGTGCCGCCGAACTACCCTTCACTGTGGGTGGCAAGTCATTCCAGGGTTTGATGACGCGGTATGAGAAAGCTTCGCATCCACAAGTAAAAACCTCACAGGCCCAATTTAGAACATTATTATTTTGACGGGTGGTAACTAAACCTATTTGATTTGACGGTTACTTCTTGATTGAATATATGTAAAGTTTTTGGAAAATTAAAATACATGTTTTTATGTAATGAGAATCTTATTATATTTCTAATTGCTTGAACTAATTTTTTTTCCAAGTCCTACAATATTTCAGTGACTTAATTTACGATTAACATTTACACTGAAATTACAAAGTACTGGAAAAATCATGTCTTCCCTGGTCTTCCTTCTTTACTCTCCCTGCTTTGCATTTGCACATCAGAGCCAAATTTCATTATTCACAATCAAATCGGTGTACAATCAAAAAATATCAGAGGAATCATTTTGCACTGCGACTGAAATAGACGATGTACTCTGGGTAGAACTCATTGTCAGAGTACTTGACCAGAATGTCGTCTCCGGTGCCTGTGGTGTCGTAGAACTGTGGTGGCAATTTGGTATTTGAATTCCCAGCGGCCATCGAGGCCACCAAGACTTTGGCCACCAGCATGCAGGCATTTTGCTTGTGCATCACAGCATAGGCTGCAGATACAAGAGGCTTTTTGGAGAAGTAGACGCCCTGTCCGTGGACGAATCCAACCGCCCTGCCGAAGAAGCGCCAATTGAGGTTGTTGGCCACAATGTTCGGCGCGTTGTTGCTGTTGGTGCCGTGGAAGCAGCAGTGCTCCTGGCTGATGAACTCTCGATAGTGCTCATGCCTTTTGGTCAAGTACATGAGGTACACGTACGAGTTCTCCACTTGATCGATTTGTCTGATACGGTAGATACGCCCTTCACGGTCATGAAAAGGTACGACTTGCTCAGCCAGCTTTTTGTATTCAGGCGAATCTTCGTCCAGGGTGATGCAGGTGACGGTGCCCTGTTCGAGGTTTGTTTGATCCACAGAGGAGATCCACGAGTAGGGAAGGAACGACTGCAACTTATCAATATTGATCCTTTTGGTTGGGTAGGCGGTAATGAAGTTGCTAGTGACCTCAGTCCTGAAAGTGGGAAAAAATTATTCGAAGTTATAACAATTTATAAATATAATCATATCATAACAAAAATGAATGAAATAAAACTTAAAAACATACATGGCATACGCCATAAATTTTATGCTTTAATTTTAAAATAAAATATCATATAATTAATTCACTACCATTTTTGTGGCAAATAATTATTCTCATGCACAGTGGAAATGTGGCAGAGATTTTTAATAATTTATTCAAGTAAAATCCAATAAACATTATTTTTAGTGTTGATCTCAAAACAACGAAAAATGCGGAAAAATGAATCGTCATTCGTCAGTAGCAATTAACATAATAATAATTATTATTATATTAAATTAATTAAGCCTACGTCCTTACATGTTAAAGAATATCCTTGCTTTGGTGACGCACGACCGCAATTTCTCTCCGTTTGCTGTTGCCTGGAAGATCTGGAATTGAAAAAACTGAAATGAGCTATTACAAATTGCAACAAGGCACTTTTCTTCTTCTAACTATGTACATACTTAAGTAAGTTTTGTACATTAAAATGAGATTTATTCATAATGTCTATAATTATACCGCTTATGAAGAATTGAGAACGCCAAAATTCAAAAATAATTATCTATCTTGTGCAAAAAATCAAAATGACATGAAGGCATGACACATGATTTTGATTAACAACTAGAATTTCATTTTTTTTGTTTTTTGTTATTGCAGATTGATTGCAGATCAGCGTCGTTGAAGGGAAGTTTAATAAAGGAGACAAATGAATGCAAATGCAGTGGATGAACGTCTTTTCGCTATTTTATTGGTTTATGCAAGTATTGAGCGAAGAAAGAGCCGCGGACAAACTACAAACTACAACCAGAAGGGACTTCCTATTGGCTGTTGAAATTCGGTTCGTTGCTTCGTTCAGAAATCCTCTCCAAAACCCCAATTCCCTCCAGAAAGGAATCATCTGTTTAGTTCAATGGTGGGCGAAAAGGTTGAAAACGAGACGAGGTGACGAATATTTTGGCAAAATTTTCCACTTCCCCAGGATTTAGAACTTCGCACTCTTGAATTTTGCGTGAGTTCAGTTTCTGAATTTATTAATTCAATGGAAACCGTCTCGATTTTCCAAGTTTTCCTCTTTAATCTGAGACTAAATTATAGCGCGAGACTAAAACTTGGCCAACGTCGAATTGAGATCTTGAAGTTTTGCGCACCACCTTCGTGGTATACTTATGCACTTAGTTCCGAAAATAATTCGACCTTGACGCAAGATTTAGACTTAAATTGTTTTCACTTCCGAAATGATAATTGAAGTTTTGCTAGCGCAGTCTCTTTTTTTATTGAATTAGATTGGCAAAAGGTCAAATCATACCACAACAACAATAGCTTTATAAAGTAATTAAATAGTATGAAAATATTTGTTGAGAATTTATTAAAAAAAACGCGTTTATATAATATAAAAAAATAAAATTGTAACTCATCGTTGTCAGTCGTGTGCGTACTTTAAATCAGTCTTTATTGTTTCGTTAGAAATTAACATAATTATGTGTGCAAATAAACAATGTTTTTTTGGGCTGCTGTTGGAAACAAATAAATTACTGATTATTTCAACTATTATTTTGAAAATTTAAAAAATACTCACAAAATTCATTTATTTTCCAGCAGCCGATGCTTAGAGCAGATTTAATTTTATGATCGTTCAGGAATGCCTAAAAATAATAAGGTGAGAAATGGATAAAACAAAATCAAAATTAGTTACCAATTTTTATTTTCCTCCAAATTTTGTTTCTGTGACTTTTTCACTGCTTTATCTGTCAATCCTTTATTTATTCACTGTTTTATTGTACATTTACAAGTGATGCACATAAACCAACATTTAGATCCCTGAATTAAGATTAATTTAAAAATAAGTGTCAAGCTTCTGGAGCATGAGCAATTTACATACCAAAAAACCTTTGCTTCCTCCTTTCAATATTAGATGTTTATTTATTTTTAAGTCTGTCACACTGATGATATAGCTTGGAAACCAGAATAGATAAATAATGGTACACTGTTTAAAAAAAAAAAAAAAATCAAAGAAAGCCCCAATTTGTAAATTTTAGTGCAAAGCCACCACAAATTGTATTGATGTTTCACCTTTGTGAATATTAATTTCAGTTTTTATTTTGTTTCAGTTAGCTGCATGAAGTTTCTGCATGGCTGCCTTTCTTAGTCGCACCCCCATGGCCACCCCCGCCGCTAACGGCCGGCCCTCGGTCGGTCTCCCTGGAGATGTAGTGCGTAAAGTGCGCGACAATTCCCCGTTGCAGATCTTTGTCAACGCAAAGAGAAAAATCAACGACATCTATGTTGAGATCGAGGATTACGTGAAGGACAGTGTCTCGTACATGAGATGTGAGCATTTTGATTAATTTCTTGTGCCTCGAAATTAATGCTTCAATTTTCAGCTCTGCAAAACAATGATCAGCTTTTCTCTAATGATGACTTCAAGGTTGTCGAGAGCCATATTTCCAAAGTGCGCAGCATCCGAGATGTGCTCCTCAGGGATCACATGAAAGTTGCCTTTTTTGGAAGGTTGGTGATTGCTTTATTTTTCTGTGATGTATTGTATTTTAATTGTTACGTAATAAGCTTTTTTTGGAGCTCATGATTTATCTTATATTTACAGGACAAGCAATGGCAAAAGCACAGTTATCAATGCCATGCTTAAGGATAAAATTCTACCCAGTGGAATTGGCCACACAACCAACTGCTTCCTCCAGGTGGAAGGGTCTGAATCTGGAGAGGCGTATCTGGTGACTGAGGATTCTAGTGAAAAGCAGAATGTGAAGGTAGATGAAATGCTCACGTAGTTCTATTTTACTGTATTGATGTTAAAATTTTCCTCTTTCTAGTCTGTGGGGCAGCTTGGCCACGCTTTGTGCAAAGAAAAGTTGAAGGAGAGCCAAATGGTCCGCATTTTCTGGCCGAAAGAAAAATGTTTGCTGCTACGTGATGATGTTGTCCTTGTTGATTCGCCTGGAATAGATGTGACACCGAACTTGGACGAATGGATTGACAAACACTGCCTGGACGCTGACGTCTTTGTTCTTGTTGCAAACGCTGAATCTACACTCATGGTCACTGTATGTGAATGAAAAGGAATTATACAAATTCAGAAATTAAAACGATTTAAATGTTTAGGAGAAAAATTTCTTTCACAAAGTCTCTCAGAGACTGTCGAAGCCCAATATTTTCATCTTGAATAATAGGTGGGACGCAGCTGCTTCGGAAGTTGATTACATGGACCAGGTAAGATAAATTTTCAATTTTCTTAGTGCTAGAAGTTTCAAGTTTGGGTGCTTAAATATCCTTCTTTTCTTCCTTACAAGCATCCCACAGACCCTTCTGCGGAGGTAAGACCCTCCTGCTCAAGTCTTTGCTTATTCATATCATCACCGAGTCAATCACATATTCAGTTTTTTCATCACACAACACAACCAAATGATTTATTTTTGCTGATATTTTAGAAATCCACTTTCGTACATGAATAATAATATTTAGTTGATAATTTTAGGTTAGAGCTCAGCATACAGAGAGGACCGTTGATTTCCTTGTTACTGAACTTGGTGTTTGCACTACCGAGGAGGCCGCACAAAGGATTTTCTTTGTTTCAGCCAAAGAGGCGCTGCAAGCTCGTCTTCAGGAGCAGAAAGGCCAACCAGCTCACAGTACAATATCCATTTACTTACCTTGAGTTCCTAAAAATAAATTGAAACCTTTCCAGCTGGAGCACTGGCTGAAGGATTCCCAAAGAGATATTTTGAGTTCCAAGACTTTGAGAAGAAGTTTGAAGAGTGCATCTCTCAGTCGGCTGTGAAGACCAAATTCGAGCAGCACTCGCAGCAGGGTCAACACGTGGTTAGTGAGGTGAAGAGGGTGATGGATGCCATTTACGAGAAGAGTCTAAAGACTAGGTCTGAGAAACTAATGTCGAAAAAGGAAGTTCACGACAAGCTGAACTTTACGGAGCAACAGCTCATGCTTCTGACTCAGGAAATGAAGGACAAAATCCACCAAATGGTTGAGGATGTTGAGCAACGGGTAAGTTCAATTTTACTTAGAAAGAAGACTTGTAAATATATTTTGAAATATAATTTAAAATAAAACTATTTATTTTGAAATTTTTGTGATTCAGGTGTCGAAAGCATTGAGTGAGGAAATCCACCGGTTGTCTACTCTGGTCGACGAGTTTAACCTGCCCTTCCACCCAGAACCGCTTGTTTTGAACGTCTACAAAAAAGAAATGCACCTTCATGTTGAAAATGGCCTTGGCAGCAATCTTCGGGCTCGTCTTTCTACCGCACTGGCCCTCAACATAGAAAACAGCCAGCGAGAGATGACAGACCGAATGGCTATATTGCTTCCCGATGACAAGAAGCAAGTCTCTTTGACCATTCTGCCACGCAGAGAGCCTTTCGAAATTCTTTACCGTTTGAATTGTGACAATCTCTGCGCTGATTTCCATGAAAATTTGGAGTTCAGGTTTTCTTGGGGCATCACTTCTCTTATCAGCAGGTTCATGCGAGCCAGGAGCTCTGACATTGCTGTTTTGAACCGAGTTGAGAGGGTAAAATATTTTTCCTGGAATTGAAATTTGAATGAATGTTATTTTGCAAAATATTTAATGACTTGACTGGAGGTTAATTTTCTTACTTACTTTTAGATTCCTCAACCTTTAACTCCACTTGGTGATCCAGGCCATACTGTGTCCCTCAGAGGTGATTCAAGTTCTGAGGACTGGAATTTCTTGTCCAAGATTGCTGTAGCATCGATATCGTCTCAAGGCACCTTCGGAGGATTATTTGTCGCTGGATTTGTAATTGATTAACTTTGCTGAATTATCTTTTAATTAACAAAATATTTTGCTTTGACAGATGCTTAAAACTGTGGGCTGGCGACTGATCCTTGTTTCGGGAGCAATTTATGGTTGTCTTTACATGTACGAGAGGCTAACATGGACCAACAAAGCAAAGGAGCGCAGCTTCAAAAAGCAGTATGTGAATCACGCGACCAACAAGTTGAAGCTCATCGTTGACCTCACATCTGCCAACTGCAGCCACCAAGTGCAACAGTGAGCTTAGAATTCCTTTTCTGAAGAGACCGCATTTGTAACTTTTTATTTCTTTATTTTAGGGAACTGTCCAGCACTTTTGCTCGTCTGTGCCATCTGGTTGACGAAAGCATCGAGGACATGAGCGGAAAGGTGAAGACCTTAGAAAAAGAGGTGAAGCTGCTGGAGGAATCAGCAAATTCCGCTAAGGTTTTGCGCAATAAGGCCAACTATGTTGCACGTGAACTCAAACTTTTTGATGAGGCTTACCTCAAGCAGCAGGACTAGTGTTGAGGTCTACTATTGTTAATGGAAAAAGTATGAACTAACTAAGACATTTTAAGTCTAGTCTGTTAAGATTTGAGTATGTAGCATTTTGACCCATTATTGTTATTTCTTGGACCGCCGGTAAAAACTCCCCTGTTTGGTCCATGCATGTAAAACAATAAAAAATAAAAGAAGTTATTAAAAATAATCATTAACCTGGGTTATTTTAATTTTATACAGACATTTCTTGTTTAAAAATTATATATAACAGAAATATTTTAAAGACAAATCAGTATGAATTCATTCTTCATTCATTACGATTAATTCATAACTGTTGTATGTATTAAATTTGTGAGCTGAGAATTTTTCTCATTACTGTATACATTTAAATAAAACGCGGTATTTTTGCGACAATTTTAGTTCTGCGCCCCGCCCCCTCTATAATCCACTTGGCAGACGTACGAACTCGTTTTCAGCGTGTTTGCGTAGTCGGACGTTCCTGGACATGCTGCCGAGATAATATTCTTGATTTTTCTCTATCAAAACAAAGTATCTCAGCTGTTATTTCGAAATTCGTATCAAGTGAGTTCAGTTACTTGGTATTTTTCATCAAATGGAGTCTGAATCTAGCGTCAAACACGCCACAATTTGTGCTTCTCTGATTATTTAGGCCAGCAGCACTATTTCCACCCATGTGTTTAGAACAGCCTAGTGTCAAAGTCGTACTTCTTGTAATTCGTGGATTTTCATCCTTGCCTTCAGCTTCGTGACCACCGTTCGATCGAACCTAAGAAAATCCTTGCTCGCCGTATTCAGTTTTAAGTAAAAAATTATCCTATATTTATACTTACTCCGATTTGTAACAAAATGCTTTTCGAAGGTCTTCCCAGTGCGTGCTACAACTTCATATAATCAATATCAGATAACCATGACTAAAAAACGGATAGATTCATCAGAATCAACGGAATCTTCGGAAGAAGAGTCACAGTCAGGTATGAAATGTAAATTAAATAAGCTTATTTTGTACACTTTAGGAATTGCTTTCACAAAATTAAATATTTATTGTTATGCATTATTATTTTTGACAGCAAGCAAAGGATGCGCCCATGTTAGCAAAGGCATTGTGATTAACCTACTGCGGAAGCAGTTCCAGGGAGCCAACTTCAAAATTAATTCGCCAAGGAATCCTAATAGAGCATTAGAAAGGAGGTCACCTGCTGCCCAAGCACAGAATGACATCCATAGCTGCAAAGAGTGCAAGACAAGCAGTGTAGCAGTAGTGGAGGTTTGCATTTTTCTTCAATTTATTTTTTAATTATCTTAATTTTTCTATGCACTTGATTGATTTTTTCCCTTTCTACAAATAAAAGGACGAAGAACTGTGGATTTGTCTAAGATGTGGTTCATTGGCCTGTGGCTCTCCTTCGAACAACGACTCGCACATTACCAAGCACTTCACTAACCCTCGTTCTGATCCTCACACCGTTGCTGTTAATGTTGAAAAGTGGACGGTTTGGTAATTTGCAGTGATTAGTCATGTGAGGAAAATTATTATTATTATTTTATATCAGGTGTTGCAAATGCAAGGAGGAGATCGACTCAAACTGCACCAAAAGTCTACAGCAAGCTACTGATTTTCTGAGAAAGCATTTCCGGCCCACGATTCCTGGAAATTCTTCAGGCGACGTGGAATCAGAGTCGTGTGATACTTCAGAGCCAAAATTAAATGGTACTTCTGGACTAACCAATGGAGTTTTGGAAGACAAGCCGTCGGGGCAGCAGAACCTGGTCACCAAGGTTCAAATTCCCTCCACTCAATTTCCCAAAGTCAAGGTAGAATATTCTTAAATTTTATGTTTCAGTATTTACCAATTTTTTTCAGGGTCTTGTTAACCTTGGGAACACTTGCTTTTTCAACTCTGTGGTCCAATGTTTGGCGCAGACACCGGGTTTACGAAATTTGCTCGAAGACTCGCAAGAAGGGGAGAAGTTCAGTTTGCCAGGATTCCCAAGCGACAAGGATTTTCCAGCATTGGTGAGGAACACAATTTTGTATTATCTACATGGCAAATTTAAAATAATTAATAAAAATAGGTTGATCCTATATTAAATAAATAATTGATGAAATGGTCATATAATATCAATTATATTAAATTTCTAGCATTTAATAAATTATTTTATCTTCAGTTTTAAATTAAATTAATGATATTTTACAGCCACCTCTAGAAGGTACTCTGGAGCCTCCTGGTTTTGTTACTAAAGAGTTGGCCAGGACGATTGAACAACTCCAAGAGCCAAACCATGTGCAGACTGTGAACCCAAAGTCATTATTGAATGCCTTAAACCAACGAGCACCCCATCTAGCCGGCACCGGTGACCAAGAAGACTCTCACGAATTACTTCGGACTCTGATGGAAAGCGTTCGTTCTGAGGAGCTGAGGGTATTTAATGTTTTAATTTTTTGTATTTTTATTTTGGTTTATTTTGCTTGGGTAATGTCAAAAATATTAAATTAAAGAATGGTCTCATTTAAAAAAATAATTGATTTGTGTTTAAATTTCAGAGGTATCAAGGCAAAATTTTGGATGCTATCGGAGTGTCCAGAAAGGAGGATCCGGCAAGTGTAGAAGAAGAGAAAAAGTACATGGGCAAAATTTACAGTAACTTGGCCAGCAAAAGGTATCTGCGGCCTGACCACCTGTTCCAAGGCCAACTGATTTCCATCCTGCAGTGCCAAGAGTGTAACACCACTTCGTGCGTTCCTGAAACCTTCCTAGACATCAGTTTGCCTGTTGTGAGTCAAAGACAGGCGCCTCCTTTGGCCCGGAATCTGAGCAAGAATGCCGCAGATAGTTCCGACGCTCCCAGCAAGCATCAGCAAAAGAAGGCGCGGAAAGCTAGCAGGAAAGGGAACAAAAAGAAGGCAAAGGGTTCTGCAAAGTCAAATACTGATTTAGAGGTTGGAGATGCTGACGTTGAAGATAATGAGAGTCAGGGCAAGTCTGTCGAGACAGATTCGATGAGCAATTTGGACGGTCAGAAGGACGATTCAGACGACGGTTTGAATGGCAACGACGAGGACGAGTCTGGAGACGAGAAGGAAGACGATGGAAAGGAAAACGCAGATAGTGAGGAAAAGTTGGTCAATGGCGTGAATGGCGATTTGTCATCAAAGGATGATAAAATATTGGAAGACGTTGAACAACTTTCTATATCAGTAAGCTAATTTTTTTATTCTAGAGAGATTTATGTAATAATATTTTTTTTATGTAAAAACTCTATAGGAAAACAAAAATGATGCAGAAGAGCAAGGGGACGAGGAAAAAGATGAAAAATGTGAAAGCCCAGTGGAGGATAATGCTTTTCGGGAAGATGAAAACTTCAAGTGGAGCACAACCATTGTGCCCAGGATAACAGTGTGCGATCCGTCTGGAGAGACTTCTCTGACCACTTGTCTCAACCAGTTTGTTGCCATTGAACTTCTCACTGGAAATAACAAAGTCGGCTGTGAAACTTGTACCAAAAGGGCGGGAAAGTCTGCAGACGGTAAAATAAGAGCACAATTGAAACAACTAATATTAATAATTGCTCACTTTAGGTAAAATGGTGTGCACCAATTTTACAAAACAGCTCCTGATGAGTGCTCCTCCCGCCATCCTTACGTTGCATTTGAAGCGCTTTGAGGTGTGCGGGTCCAGGTTTAGGAAAGTTTCCAAAGCTGTCAGTTTTCCTTTGATCTTGGACTTGGCCTCAATCTGTTCAGTCAAGTGTCTGGTAAGCTTTGTTTTCATAGGTTTTGCTGATTAATAAAGTGGAACTTGTACATCATAGGAACTCCCTACAGTGAGAAAGAAACAGACAAAGCTGCTCTACTCTCTGTATGGAGTTGTAGTGCACCATGGAATGCTGAGTGGAGGCCACTATGTTGCTTATGTCAAGGTAGCCATTTATAATTCCAGATCTAAATCAGCAAATTCATTTTTTTTTTATCTTTCAGTCCCAAAAACCACCTACTCTTGATGATTTCCGTCAACGATTTATGTTGTCAAATGAGCCTACTGCGAGTTTAAATGACGAAGATTTCTCTGAAGATGTGATCCCTGAACCCCCACCTGGAAAGTGGTACTACGCAAGTGATTCTTTCGTTAATGAAGTGGCAGAGAAGAAAGTTCTTGAGCAACAAGCGTACCTGTTGTTTTACGAAAGAATTTACTAATTATGTCTCTTTCTTACTCTGAACCTGCCAATTACTCTTGTCAAGGGGTTTTAATGTTGGACAGTTTGTTAATTAATGAAATACCTATGCATTAAAAGTTTCAAATCAGTCATTACTTAAATATGATGTTTGCTTTTCAGCAGAAAATACCTTGAGTAATTTGCCAATAATTTAAAATATACAGTGTAAAAAATATTACATTTCTTCAGTTAAAATTTAAAATTTTTTTATACAAGCAAAAAATAGATTTTATAAATTTCATTTACTATTATTCTTAAAAAAAAATTGAGTTCATATTATTACTTATCTTTTTTTTAAAAGATGCTTCATTTTTGTATCTGTGCAAGAATTCCATTTATTTTAACATTGCGCTATAAGGTCCTGTAAATTAGCAGCATAAAATGTGAGATGCCTTTCCCAGCAGCAGGAATCAGGAATAGATTATGCGCCTATGCGGTTTGGGGGTGCCAAGGGGGGGTGCATATGGAGGGAGCGCTGATAGGCGGAGTGGGAGTTATTTGTTTTGATTTAGTTTTGTGAGTGATTGAGCGGTGGTGGCTGTTGTTGTGACATAGAACTAAAGTTGATCTTGGCAGAGAGTTCAGTTTTAGTGTTTTTTGGCGATCTGTGTCAAGTGTCTTCGATTCAAATTGGTTTCTAGACATTGGACTATAATTATGAAGTATGAATTATTGGTAAAAACGTGTCCCGGAACCGGCTCATCCAGCGATTCCAGCGTGGTGTGAGCTCCAGGACTGACTCCTAAAATGCTGCAGAAACCGCAGTCGACGATCTAATTTGCAATTTTATTGCCCTTTTTGCCGCTCAAAGGAAATGACAGGTAAGAATTAATGATAATTTTTATACCTGATATTGACGTATTAAACGTTTTTTTTAACTGTTTTCTTACATTTATATTTTTAGAGTACATACATATTTACATTATTTATAATACAAAATCGTACTTTTTGTTTGGTTGTCAATTTTATCTTTGATAACTGTGTTTTACATGAATTATAATTATATAATATTTAAGTATATTTGAGCTATTTTACTGTCATTTTCCCTCCATGTTTCTCTGAAAAAGGCACATTACATACGTAAACATGTGGGGTAATTCAGAAAAGACACTTTTATTTATACCTTTTTCCTTTTTGGTCCGAAAACAATTTCATAGCCCGGGCAAATTATAAGTTTCTGGTTTCGATAAGGTCTCTGGGGATAGATTAAATAAAATCTATTTTAGGCAATAATAATTATATATGGGCTGGAAAGATTTTTTTATTGGAAAAATCGATGTAACAGAAAAGCTGCTTGACACCTGTTGCTGTTTTTCAGATAATTTTGTTCAGACCATAATAATCGAAACTAATCCTTAGCGATGCCACTGCGGTCAATGACAGCGTTGGCAGAGGCCAACACGGCAGCACTGGGGTTGCGCTCGCGGGTGAAGATCTCGGAAGACTCTGCCAACATTGATTTACTTACATAATTGGACAATCAATGTTTTAAATATTTTTCTTACGGTAATTTTTGGAACCGTCAACCACGCAAGACCAACCGACGGCAAATTGATCATAATCGGTTGCCAAAATGTAGTATTCCCTGGGGACTTTTTTGCAGTTTTTATAAATAAAATAATGATTAATGGGTGTCGTTTTTCAACTCACAATCCAATATGTCAGGAAAGATGAGCAGAAGTTTGCCATCACCAACTTCAGTGGCGCGGCTCAGAGTGCCTACTGTGGTACCCTGCTTAGTTGTCCTGCAAGCGAGAAGATTAAAAAATTATTAAATTCTTTATTCATATCCTATGGTTGGGATGGTAACATGATGTATTTTATTAAATAAAAAATAATTTTAAACGTCAATCAGCGAGTGGAAATAACAAAGTCTGATTTGAACTTACTCTGTGAATCCTAAAGTGCCATTTTTATTGTCTGTATATTCATGGGTTATGCAAGAGCCACCATGGCAGTACCAACGCCCAAGGAACTGTGTACAAATTATTTCCATAAAAAATCTACCAATAATGGAAAATTAATATATATCTATATATTTTATTTTTCAAAAATATATAATTTTTATCAGTATTTTTAAAGAAAGATTAATTTTAGTTTCCTTACCTTTTGAAAACTAAAGTTTTGCTCGACCGTGACGTTTGGACACTTGCCAGGGGTAGTAATCACACTGCCAGCAACGGCCACAAAGCAGATGGCCAAGGACGTGAGAATGGTAGTCGAGAACACTAAATTTTGTGGTAGAATTTCACGATCAAGGGTTCATTTGTAGTGATTAGAATATTAAGTATTTTCCTCGATGGATTTTGTTTTTTTGAAAAAAAAAAAAAAAAAAAAAAAAAAACAATATCCTGCTCTACATGACAAGAATTAGTGCAATAATCTCTTTCAAAAATATTTGTCTTTCAAATTAAAGATTGTTGTGTGGAAAATTATTTTTGAAGTTAAAATTTGTAAAATTTTACATAAAACAATTTTCAACACAAAATTTGAGAGTTCAATTGAAAAAAGTTTGAATTAAATTGTCAAATTTGGTATTGGAAGTGGTTTTGTGTAAATTTAAATTTAAAAAATAATATCCCTCAAAAAATTGTTAATTTGAAAGTAAAAGATTTTTGCACTAATTTTGTAATAATTATTTCACTGCTCATGAATTATGGCTGCAAGGAAAAGCCCATTTTAAATTCAAATCACCATGAAAACACTAAATGTTTCAAATATTTGTGACTCTCTTAGAAAAATTTTTTATGTAATTTTAGTAGGAATTATTCATAATAGTTACTTTTCGCACTTTCTTGTGACCGATTGACTCTGCACTACTTGGGGCACTGCGTCCGTGTTGTTCACAGCTTGGATATTGTTTACGAGCTGGCCATTTAGTTTTTAAATAAAAATGAGGCAGTGACTTTTGAGAGATAACTCCTCCACTATTGTGCTGTTGCCAAGGATGTGTAAAATAAAAATAACTCTCTTATCCATGGTGAATTGACCTTCAAAAAGGTCGCTGGCCAAAAGTTTCATCAACATCACATTTTACAAACTTGTATTTTTTCCAATCCAATTATGAAATTTGGTGACATTATTTGTAAGAAAATGAGTAGTTAGCGAAATTGAAACTTGATTGATTTAACTTTTTGTTTCCAAGTATCTAAATAAGATATTATGCATGCTGGATAAATATTTTTCAATGCATTGAATGGGTGCATTAAAAATCATCAATTGAAAACTAATTGTAAGTAAAAATACATACAACAAACTTAATTTTGAAGGCAACATTGTAATACCAAACAGACTTTCTAAATATAAAAAAAATTTAAAAAATATATATCTTATTTTAAGCGTCATAATTTACATATTTTTTTTTTGTTGGGCCATTGGTATTGCATTTGATTTTGATGTGTTAAGTCAAGCTAAATTTGATGTGAAACTCAAAGTATTATATATTAATTTTTGCAATTATAATAAATTTACCACTTTTGACTCTGATGCTACTTATTTTACTTTAATAACAGCAGTAATTTTTTTATGAATAGTATGGGGTAATGGTTGTTGATAACCTTGTTACTTAAAATTTAATTTTCTTTCTATAATTATTCTACACAAATAATTAAAAGTTTGGCAATTGCATTATTTCTTTTTTATTATGCGAATTATGAAAAAAATTGAAAAAAAGCAACCTTAATTTGCTTTAGTGGAATATGTTACATAATTAAAAATTAAGAAATTATAATTAAAATAAAGTAATATTGACTTTTTTTTTTTTTTGTAAATTTTTCAAGAAAATGTATGCACAGTATATTTTTTTTTCTAAATCAAATTTTGTTTGTAGTTTTCATTTATAATTTTGAATATTTGGATGATGTATCTTGTTATAGGTAGAGATTGCCTTGTGGTACACCAATAATCATAATTGCAATTAAGTTTAGGTTTTCATGAGAATTAAAAAAGAATAATTTTCTTTTACTTGCAGCTCTTTAATGTTATTTCGTTTTGTACAAAAATCAAATGAAATCTGTTTAAAACAGATGTCTATTGCAAAAGTCCATTTAACATTGCGCTAAGGTCGTGTAAATTAGCAGCATAAAAAGTGAGACGATGTTTTTGTCAGTCTGGGGTGTAGTTGATGGTGGTGGAAAGTTTCGAAACTCCTTCTTAAGGGCGGTTGATCTCTTCGATGGTCTTGTGGAAGATGATGACGTCCTTGAAGTACATGTTGGGGGTGTTGAAGTCGTACTCGCTGATCTTGCGGTCGAAGGGGTAGCCGAAGGGCTTGACGTCGGGGTAGACGCGGTCGTAGGAGCTGCAGTAGCCCAGGCTGAAGGTCTTGGTCTCGGAGGCGGTGGTCTCGTACGGGGTGACCATGACGAACAGAGAGAAGGGCATACCTCCCTTGCGGCCCTTGGGCAGCAGGAGACGCTCAGGGAAGCCGCAGTGGTAGGACTGGAATTCAAATCGAGTCAATAAAAAGTTTTAAAATTAATTTTCCAATATAATCACCTCTTCCTTGTAGAGGGTGGTGGTGCCAGCGAGGGCCTCCTCAACCTTCTGGATGATCTGCTTGGTGGTGAGCTCATCCTTGGTGGTCAGGAAAGCGTCCTGGGAGCTGCGGGTGACGACGTTCTTGCCGAAAGTCACTGAAATGATAAAATTTGAGATGAAAAAAAAATATTGCCTATAATTTGATTTTAAAAACAAAAAAATTAAACGGAAAGTTGACTTACGGGAAACCTTGAACTTGTCCATTTCGATCATCTTGACGCGCTTCTCGTTGAGGGAGAGCTCCTTGCCGTAGACGTCGTACTTGGGTCCGAGGAAGATGCGGACAATGGCGTCCTGCTCCTTGTCGGAGGTGACGTCGAACTTGTAGTTGAAGGTCTTGTGGTTGAGACGGGGAGTGCGGTACTTGATGTTGACGTTCTTGTCGGACTCGTAAGTGCCGGCGAAGACGGAGTACAGGTCAAACTCAAAGTCCTCGAAGTAGGTGACCAGTTTGTCGACCTCAAGATTCTCGACCTTGACACCGGGGAAGACGAGCTCCTCGCGCTTGTAGGGGGTGAGGTGCTCCTTGAACTTGATGAAGAGCTTGTTCAGGGTCTTCTGCACGGAGTAGAAAGCGGGGTCACGGGTGGCGGTTTCGCTGTGCTCAAGCAGACCAGGAGCAGACTAAAGTTAAAATTATTTACATTATTAAATCTAGCTACTGAATGCAATATTTTAAAAACATACACCAAGAGAGTGCAGAGGATCGACGATGTGGCTGATGAGCGTGTAGGCATAGGTGGCCAAGCTGCCGAAGTAGGTGGTGGGAACATCAGGGTAGCCCTGGATGATGCGACCAACCCAGTCGATGCCCTTGTTGTCCTTCAGGGAGATCTTGTGGCCCTCACGCTGTAATAGGGGAATATTAATAATTTGTATAAAAATGAATATTTAATATTTTAATGTATTATTATTAAGTGAAAAAAAACTTACGTCATAGAAGTAGCCCAGGTCAATAGCGTCACGGATTCTGCGCTCAAAGTCAAGCACATCCTCAACGGTCATGTCCTCGAGATCTTCAATCTTCATGTTATCGGGACGGATGGGGAAATCGACGCCGTTCATGTAGCTGACGTGAGAGTTGTAGCCGTGCTGTAGAAATAAGGTAAAAATAATTAACTCGCAGAACAGAAATAACATTTATGCTCACCTTGACAACGGGGTCGACAAAGTCGATGGCCTCAGTCTCAGGAAGATAGTTGGCAATGCGTTCCATCTCGTAGCGGGCGAGGAGCTGGTCGTAGATCCAGAAGAAGAGCTCTCCCTTGCGGTCCTGGGTCAGAGAGTACTTCTTGGCGTCCATCCAGAAGGGGTACTCGATGGCCATGAACTTGTTATGCATGCTAATGCCCAGGTCCTCACCGAAGTAGGCGATGCGCTGCTCGAGGTCGTGCTGGTACCAGAACTCAGTGTAGTTGGACACGGGGATGCTGACGGTGTAGTCAGGGGTGTTCTTGTGGTTCATGTACTCGTGGTAGGCCTTGAAGACGACCTCGCTGTCGACGAACTTCTGGGGGAAGATTTCGTAGAAGGGAGGCAGCACGACGCCACGCATATCAGCGCGGTGGTAGACGGCGACGCTGAGGGAGTAGACGAACATGTACTCGTTGACGCGATCGCGGGCCCAGCAGGCGATCTTGTACAGGGTCTCGTAGTCCTTGGCGAAGTAGAACAGGTCGAACAGCTTGATCATCTGCTTGCGGTGGGGCTCGTAGTACACGGAGAAGATGTCGCCGCGGGGCAGCAGACCCTTCTTGTACGCGATCAGGAAGTCCTTGACGTACTCCTTGTTCTTGTACGACTCGATGTCCTCCTCAAGCTTGTAGTTCTTGCCGATCTCGACCTGCTCAGGGTAGGTGTTGTAGTCCTGCACGCGCCACATCAGTTTCAGAAGGTTCTTCTGCACGTTCAGCAGCTCGGTGGTTGCAGGGGTCCTATCTGTTGTGACAAAAAAAGTATAATTAATGATAATTTAAGCATTATGAATTTTGATTTAAATTTTTCCCAAGGAAAGAACTTGATATTTTATAGCCTTAAAAAAATTTGGAATGAATTATTCGCCATGATAAATTATTTAAAAAAATAAATCTGATCAAGTCTCACAATTTAAATTTAAACTATAAAGTTTATATTGTGAGACTTTTGATGAGATTATTTAAATTAATTTAATTATGTATTTCATTGAATTATTGCTATTGCTATAGAAACAGAAACTAGTAAGATCATTTTTAGAATTATGAATAATTTTGCTTCATATATTTGTAATGAAGTTTTAAAAAGTTTTTTTTTTTTAAATATAAATATTGTATGCTTAATAAATTTTATAAATTGCTAATTTTGATGAATATGTAGCAATTTTTACAATTTATAAAGTTTAAAGTAGAATTTGCCTTTGGATTTTATTATATGCAAAACTAAGCATACAAGTTTTACGTGAAATAACTGGAATTATATTTTATACAGAATTAATTTTTTGAATAATCTCCTGCTGTAAAATGTTTACAATTCAGCTGTTAATTTACATGAATTGAGGATTGTGGCAAACAAAAATAAAAAAAGAAATTTCAAGAAATGAAATGAACGTATATGAAGATAAAAGTAATAAAATATTCTTACAAGTCTTTTCGTCCACAGGGACGGCCATGACAGCGGCCACGGCCACTGCCGCCAAAAGGATTACGGCTTTCATGTCGTCGTTACTTGCCGGTTCGGTGAAGAACGAGGACGATTGTGGCTCAGGCCAGGCTTTTTATACTAACTTCTCGCCCCCTACCATTTTCGGCAGACATGTGCACGTGGCCAAGAGGTCACTGCCTCGCAAATGCTCGCGATTGTCTGGGGTCAAGACGATTATCTTCATGATCACATTACGTCTGCGTGCCCCTGTTTCTAGGCAGCGAAATTAAATTACTTAATACACAAGCAGATTTTGTTAATTAAAAATACGAAAAATACATTAGGATAAATTTAGTCTTTTTAAATTAGGTTAATCCTGAATTAGCTAGATTTGGATTTTATCAGATTTTATGTTTATTTTTTGACGAGAATAATTTTTTCATATTTATGTGGAAAGATCTTATTTAAATTGAAAGTTCATTTCTTGTTTTTAATTATAATTTTAGGTTTCACATTTTTACAATGGAGTAGCATTGATTGATACTAATTTTTTCAACAATAACTTCATTTTATTGGATTGAAATATAACCATCTAGTTCGCTCTTTATTTAATATCGCAAAGTAGAGCAACTCCTCTGAGTGTCCAGTGCCTTGGGTTGTTGTCCGTCTCAAAGTCAACCGAGCCGACGTATTTCTGGTCGGTGCGACATTGCTTCTTGTAGATGGGACACTCGTACAGTCTCGGGTCCTTGCCGGCGGTCGTGTTAATTGCGTAGATGTAAATTACCGGCATCTGTTCGTACAGCACTTTTGGTTTGCTCTCGATCAGTTTGCAAGTCTTCCTGTCCAGACTCGCGCCCTCGAGAAACAGTCCGTAAACGTAGACGCCCTCAGGAGGTGCCTCGTGCAGCTCTTCTCTTGAGTACCGCGTTATTAAGTTTTGCAGGACAACCGAATCGAGGGCCCAGCCTTTGTGGGCGCGTGTCACTTCCTATAAATTAATAAATAATATTTCAATATTTAAGATGAACCTATTTCAATTGAAGTTAATATATTTTATTTTTCTCTGCAATATATATTTATGTATGTATTAATTATGGAATCATACTTGTCTCATAGCTGTCAAAAATCCTTGCGGATTGAAAAATCCGGTCATCCAAAACACGTGGGGTCTTCCGTTGGCCATCCACTTTCGGAACTGGAAGTCCCTTTCGAGCAGTTCGGTGAACCAAAAGCCCAACGTGGTCGATTCCCACGACATCTAAAAATTTTCTTTTTATTTACTGCCTGATCGGACACTTTTCTTTTATCTTTTACCTTTTGCCAACGAGCTGGTATTCTAGCGTCGTACATTGCGTCCAGCGACTCTTTTAAAGCAGCACTCATAATTATTGTGCCGTCAATCGCGAGTTTCAGGTCGCACAGCGTGGTGTGCACCTCTTTGATGACTCGCTGGATCCGGTCGATTTCCTGGCGCAGGAAAATATTCATGGGCAGCAGGGCACCCATGCGATTCAGAGCCTCTCGAACCTGCAATGAAATTGTTGAAAAATAATTTTATATTTAAAATTTAAAAATCAATTGCTTATTATTGTATAATAATGAAAGTTAAAATAAAACTTGAGTTGGATTTCATAAAAGCCTGGTCTGAATTTTTCAATAAATTAAAAATATTTCTTCCTATATTAAATAAATAATACAAATTTGAAATTTGACTCTACCTCGAAGCTATTGTAGGGTTTTGGTATTTTCTCAAGCATATCGTCTGCCAACCTATAGACTATACTTTCTCTGGTTTCGCCGCCCTGACTGCCACCCTCCTTGGGCTGAACACTCAAAATTGTGTCCAAAATTGCTTTAGCTGTATTGATCTGATATCTGAAAAAGGTTTTATTTTCTTAAATTAAATTTATTTTCTCTTTAAATTTTTTGTATGTACGTAATGTCTGCATTTGGGTGGAGGCCGAAAACCTCTGGCGTGTCGGTGGCCGGCAGGCTGTTGATGTAATCGGTGTAGCCCTGCAGGTTTCTCGTCACAGGCACTTTGTAGTTCTTGTAAAACTCAAAACCTGGCCTCAGGAGCACGTCGCAGAACCAGACGTGTGTAAATGTGAGCAGCAGGCGTTTGTCAAAATCGTCGGTCACTCGACCACCGTATTGAACCTCGCCAAGCATGTAGCACACGGTCGGCCAAGATATTCCCTAAAAATAAAAATAAACAGCTTGGTTAAATTTGTTAAACAATTGTGGCTAAAATAATTATTGATATTATTCAAATTAATTTAAATATTTTCATTCGAAGCAAATTTTTATGAAACCCTATTTTGATATAGTTTATTTGCCAGGGATTTTCAATTTTTGTTTCCAATGGTCAATCATTCTTTTATATTTTATTTCCTATTTCTTAAGAAAAATTGTGCATTCTTTATTAAATTCCGTCTCCACCTTTTTAGGGTCCATATCATCCAGGTGGTTCTGGATGAACTGCACGCTGGCAGCGAAATCCGCCTGATTGAATTCGTACGGCACATTCCATCCCAGCGGTCCGAACTTCCTCCTCTCCTGGACCACAGTGTGCAAAAAAGCGACGGCGTACAACAGCGGTGGCCATTGCGACTGGGACGAGTAATCCAGTGAGTCCTGAAAATTTTCGTTTTTCCTAATTTGAAATTTTAATTCGCTTTCGAGTTGTGCAACATCGCCGCCGGATTATCTTTTTTGGCGATCCAAAGTACACTTTATACTTAACTGCGCGGTACACAATGTCATTTCAATGTCGATCGGGTTATCAAATGACAAGTAACGACCGTAAAAAAAATAATTGCTTGGTTTTACCCGTTGACTTGACAGCCAATTAATTTGGACGGAATAACAAATTTATCTCCTTGTCGTGCATCTCTGAACTATTTCGTTACATAAAAAGATGCACTCTGCCGAGCGCCTGCAAGTTTCGTACTCTGGCAACCCGCACAACATTGTATGGTGCATCCGCCTTTGAAATTAATAATTAATTGATTCTCGTTTGTATTGCGTCTTGGCCTCGAAGCGAAAGTGCCCTTTAGTCTTATAATTCAATTTTACATAAATCTTTTTTCGGTTCGTATTTTTTGTCTCACGGACTTGTGAACTGGCGATAAGAGTTTGTTCAAAACTTTGTGCGCACATTTGCTGGTACGTACTTGAGTAATATTCTGATACGTCCGCTTCAAACTGGCTCGGATTCCTTGCGGAGGCTCATTAGTGAATTTAATTGCCATCTGAAAATGCATTCAAGGCCGATTATTTTAAATATCAAGTGCAATATAATTTAAATTTGAAAAAAAAAATTACCTGCAATAGTCCTATTGGAAATTGCGGATGCACTTCTGTGGTCATCCAGAGTCGGAACGAGTCGTGGATGACGTCAGTCTCGACCAAAAAGTCCATCACCTCGCTGCAGAAGGGCAGACTCAGGTGGATGTTCTGCATGAGGACCCACCCTCCGTGAATCATCGAGTCTTGAATCAGTTTCCTCGCGTGCAGTTCTTGTCCTTGGCCCATGGAGACCGAACGGATTTCTGTGGTTTTTCATTAATTTAGAAAATAATAATTAAAAAAAAAATTATCTCACTAATGTCTCTCTGCTTGGCGAGAGCTGCGATTTGGGGCGATGGATCTGACCCGATAGAAAGCATGCAAATCAAAGGCGTCCGAGGCTCTGATTCCTCCCAGGTCGCTTCTAAATCCAAAATACACGCTTCTCCATATTCAGATCCTAGCGACTCTAAAAAATTTTACAAAATGAATAATTTAAACATTTTTTTTTTTATATAATTTAAACACACATAATTAAAATTAGCTTACCATTTTTTTTTAACTGATTTTAACATTTAATTCATTCATATTTATATCAATGTTTTAAATAATTTTAAATTTTATGAGCATTAAAATACATTAAAATTCCTCACTCATGACATAATGTCTAGCCTGTGATAAAGTTCTGTCAGGACTCCATGACCTAATGAGCAGCAGCCTCCTGAACACGTCCAGTGATTTTTGGTACCCACAAGGAATTTCCTCTTCCTCAGGTCGCTCTTTCTCATACCACGTTTTCCACTCCTTTTCGTTATTCTGGATCTGAGAAAAATTTACATTTTGATTTGATTTCTTCTGGAAATTTTATTTTTAAATGCACCCTTTGTAAAACGTCTTCAAAAGTCGGCAGTTTGCTTATCTCTACAAGGTTAAGCCAAGTTATATCTAAAATCCACCTGAATGGTTTCGGAGTGACAGCATTCAGGTCTAAAGATGCACCTCCTGAATTACCAAACATTCATTGAAATATTATAAATTTAATCGGAAATTAATGTGCACCTTTTATAAACGCCATAAACTCTTCATGGCTGATTTTGCCCATCGATAGGTCAATTTTCATCGCAAGCATCAAGGTGAACAGAGCCTTGTGCTTTTCATACAGGGACCTTTGAGTGAACTTCCAAACTTCGAATGTCAAGTAGCGCAGAATGTTGCTAATCCTCTCTTCGGTTATTGCACTCTTTTGAGACCTTACATAATTAATTTTTTTCCTATTGTAATTAAATATTAAATTGATTTTAGTTTTTACTTGTTGATGGAGTTGTCGAAAATGATAAGGAACTGTTTCAATGAGTTCTGATACATGACGTTAACGTTGCTCATTTCAACAATCAAGAAGTAGAGGATTGAACCGCGAGCTGCTACTGCTCGGAATTCCTCTCGAGCTATCGTGATTTTCTTCTCCGTTTGAGCGGAAACTTTCAACTTTTCGTTCACTTCCTCGGCTGTGGTTTTTGTAACTTGCAGCACGTGGATCAGGGCTTCGTCGTCCACCAGCGAGCCCTAACAAAAAATTCTAAGTATCAATAAATAAATATACGTTAATATATTATTTAATAATATTTTTTAAATTATTTTAATTAATATTTCTGACTTTATTTTTCATATTGTTTTGATTTTTTTTAGCATACATATTTTAGCTAAAGGAGACGTTCATATAGAGACTAACTGGAGTTGTCTTTGTTGGAAAAACTTGTAATTCATTAAAAAAAGGTTCAATATAAATTTATTTTCTTAAATTAGATTTTGTTTTTATGGGGACAAGACAGCTCTATAAAAAAATATTTTCTCTCTCATAAATTAAATTCCAAAATACTTTATTTTTATTTTACCTGTGTAGAGGTGAGTCTCTCAAGCAAGTCAGATTCCAACTCTTTCATTCGCCTTTGATTTTGAACCACAGACTCGAACAGAGCAACTCTCTCAGCTTCGAGGTCTGATTTTTCCATCAATATCACCCGGCCTGCCAAATAAATTATTATAGCCAGCAAGAGTTTTTCTCAATTTTCTTTTACCCAAAAGTTGGTCTTCCAAGCCTTGCATGGTGACTGTGAAATCGATTATAGACGTTTTGGCGCTGATTTCTGGCGAGTACGCCGGATTTGGCAATTTGGTCGTGATGTAAAGCATGAAACCGGGCATTACGTCGCACTCTTTGTCTCCAACAATGACCTAAAATCGTTTTATTTCATTTTAATAAATCAATTTATTGGGTTTAAAACCTTTTCAATTGATCCAGACTTGATGAAATTTTTCTCCAGCACATTGTCGATGACCGGGTCGAGCTCTTCCCCCACGTCTTCGATCAACAACGGCCGTCCGAGGGACAAACTGTCCTCTAAATGTGTTCGGAAGTACTTGTGGTTGAGCGAAGTAATCTGCAAATCGTTTCCACCTTCCTTGTTTTTGATCCACATTTTCCCTTGGTTTTGGGGGTCGACGAGTAAAGGGTATGAACTGGATTTTGTCACAATCAGTGCATTTTGCACCGAAAGCTCGTCGTTCGGTAGTCCTTGCAAAGTCCACTCGGAAATCTACCATAAAAATAAATCTAAGTTAATTGAATTTAATTTTTAATTTCAAATTACGGTAGAGTTTTCGATGAGCATGTTGATGATGTTCAAGTTTTGCGTGAACGGGATCTGTTTTACTTTGAGAATTTCCATCCAACCAGTCACAAGACTGGCTCTGAACTGCTGATTGTAAGGACCGCAGTATGACAAGAATCCAGTCGCAATTACTACGTCTCCAACCAGTCTATAACAAATAATTTTTTTAATTCAACGGAAAATCGAACTCAATAGTAGTTATAATAAAATTTTAAATTAAAATCAAATGAATTCATTATCTATTTAATATAATAACCTTCCAAGTTGCTCCTTAAAATCTTTGCTTTGCTGCGTCCATCTAATTTTCTCTCCACCAAGTCCATTGATCAACGCGCTGGCCGCCTGCATTTTCCGCAGACAGACGGTGGCCGCGTCGGTCAGTCGCTGCTTTTCTGAAACGGCTGCGTCGTACTGCGCCTTCACTTGGTTCAGAGCCGCCTCGCGTTCCTCCAGTTCATGTTCAGCCCTCGCTAAGTCATCCATGGCCACTTTCAGACGAGCCTCTTGCATCGCGAGATTTGCCTTTCACAAAACAAATAATTTAATGCTATCAAAAATTTATTAACGAATTTGGCAAAATTGCATTAAAGTATAGTTAAATGTTTTAATTATAGAAATTTCAATTTTCAATGATACTTTTAATGGCAACACTTCCTTGTTGACCGAGTGGAAAAAGGACATGGCCTTCGTCCACGAAAGTAAGCCGGCCACATCTCCGCAAACCCTTTTGGCCGTTTCCATATTGTAGTCCTCCATCTCAAAGTACGGCGTCAGCAACTCGATCATTTCGTCGTTAATTATGTCCTTCGGGTAGTTTTGCAGTTGGATCAAAAATGTTGTGCTCGCCATCATCTATTTCAGGCAGATTAATTTTAAATTAATAATTTAAAAAAAATTTTTTTTTATAATGTACGAACCTTCAGTGATTCAGCCCAGGAGGGTTTGGGACAAGGAGCAGCTGTGTCTCCAATCACTGCGTGCAGTTTTCGTTGGAACAGAATGAGCACGCAATCCATTATGCGCATAATGAGGTGAGGTGGCCGACCAAGTTTGCGAATAGTTGCTGGAATTTTAAGTGGATGAAAATTATTGCATGCACTGTAGTTTATTTTCTCTATAAAATAGTATAAAAATAATACTTGATCTATAAAAGGTTTAAATTGATTAATTTTCATATGTTTCAAAATGAAAATTCCAAAAAATAAACTTTTTGACGGAATTTTGAAATAAAACTGAAAAAAAAAATATACTTCTTGAATATGCAATTTTTATAGTAATTAATAATTACCAATGTGAGCTGGTTTTATAGTGTTGAGCGCCGCCTCAGCTTCTTCAAGCGCGGGTTTGGCGGCTTCGAGTTTTTCCTCTGCAATCGCCTTTTCCTGGGCAATGTTCTCGACCAGCGCCTCCGCCTTCTCCTTGACCTTCTGCACCTGATTCTTGAACTGCTCGGCCTGCATGGCCCTTTCCGTGACTTCGCTGAGCACCTTTTCAGCCTTTTCAGAGGCCAGCGCCAGGTCCTTCTCCATTATGGCCAACTCTTGCTTCAGAATTTCGACCGACTTGGATGCGTCCTTGAGTTTGGCAAGGCCGGTGTCCATTCGCTCGGCGCCCTGGCCAAGCTCGCGCTGCTTGTTTTGGTAGATGTTTTTGTAGCCACCGATGAAGTTCAAGTATGACTTTGGAGTGACGTGAGTGGCTCGACGGAATCTGAATTGTGATTAATATTTGTGTTTAATTGCTAACTGGAAAATAATTAATCAATAATTCCTCGTCTTAATTTATCGTTTGATTTTTTTTTAATTTATAATCAAATTATGGAAATTAAATTTCAGGCTGTTTTTTACCTTTGGAAATACTCATTTGACATGTTGGACACAATGTCCTGAATAGATCCAAGCGCCTCTACCAGTTCCGATTTCACTTTAGGCGTGCACGCGATTTCAAAATCAGTAATGAAATGCTTCGCAACTTCAACCAACGCATCTCTAGGCCACGGTTGGAACCAGTCGACCGTGCAGCCGGACACCAGGGCTGGGAATTTCAACACGCGATTGCGGAATTTTTCTCCAACCTAATTGAAAATTCGTTTTAGAAGTATACGTTGGGAATAATCAATTACCGGTGAAAAGCAAAAAACGACGTGCAGATTCTGGCAGACGCGCGACAAAAAGTATTCCATGACCGATTCAGCCGTGGGGGTCAATTTGGGAAACTCCCTTTTCATGATGGGGGTCAGTTCGGAAATTATTTCTTGCTGTTCGTCGCGGTTGAATAAATTTGAAATGACGCCTGACGAAAGAATGTTGTTCAGGTATTCGAGAAAACCTTCCTCTTTGATGTCCAGATCGGTGAAAAGGAAAGTCGTGCCTTTCCCTTGGACGCCGCAAGTGCGGTACAAGAACTTGAGGTCCTCAAGGAAATTCGCAATATTGTATGACCTATTTAAAGGAAATTTAATTTTTGCAAAATCCGTAAAATTAATTTTATTCATACCTTGTTAACGTAATTTGGAAAGTTTTGTAACCGGCAATGAACGAGGCCAATTTTGTAAGGGACTGTTTTCCGGAGCCGCCAACTCCAATTAGCATGACGTTGCCTCTTGGATGCCTGATCACTCGAGAAATCTTATATAAAAAAATTAAAAATCGAAAATTTTTGTTCCAAATAAATAAATTTTAAATTACTTTGACTAAATGGAGCATCGCATCAGGGAAAAAGACGAGGTCCATTCCAGCTCCGCGTTGCATCTCATTGTACTGCGAGAGGAACATTTCCAACCTCTCCTTCAAATCGTCATAGCCACTGACGGGCTCGTAAACCTTGGGCAGCTCCATGTCAGCGTCTTCACCCTCCTCGCCAGTAGGCTCTGGTGCGTCCCTATTTTTCATTCAGGAAATATTAAAAAACCTGAAATTTTAACAGTTTGCATTGCCTCATGAAGTCGACAAAAACCTCCTCAGGTTCTGCCATTTTCCGGTAATTTTCGCCCAAGTGTTCTCCAACCAGGTCTTTCAACTTTCCTCTGAACCAGTCCTTGTCAGACTCGGACACAAATCTTGAAAAATAAACGCAGTCAAAGTATATTAATTTAATTTAAAAATTAATTATGACGAACCTGTCAGAAAATACACGTACGCACTCGTGTTTCCATAATGAGACAAGAACTCGCTCATTTTCGATTACGGTGCTCAAGGTGCCGACCATTCCCTGCCAAATTCGCGACAAGTCCCTCAAATTGAAGACGTAGTGGAATTTCGCCGGCGTCGGAAGCAAATTTATCTTTAAAAATTAATACCAAGAAATGGTACAATTTAAAATGGAAAATTTGAAAATTATCCTAATAATTTATTCTTACTCTTGTGTGTTGCCAAAGGACTCTGGTTAAAGGCACAAGTTTCTTGATCAAATTTCTGACCTCTGGAACGAAACCTCTTTTCACGTTGTAATGGCCCTCGCCAATTACAGAGAAAATTCGGTCGATCGATTCATCAGTGGGCAGGGTGCAGTTGAAAATGCAGAACTTTCGCTTGAGCCGCGAGGGAATGTCATTTCGCCCACCTCCTATTATTAAATTTCGAAAATAATATAAAACCAATTTTTTTTCTCTTAAAATTTCAAACCGGGCTGGCACATCGCGGCCACAAATAGCATGTCAACGATCGTGGTAAAGTCGCCCGGCTTTTCGAGACTGTAAAATCCACCCATTTCCATCAACTGCCGTACGATTTCATTGGTGACCTGGTCACCCCATTCGTTGATGTGCGGCATGTTGATGTCGTCAATGAAAACAAGCATTTTCTTTCCACCAGGAGGACCGTAAGTGTTTCCCATTCGTTTTTCCACGTAGCTCTCAATCGTTTTCTGAAAGTTTTTTTTTTATAAATATTATTTATTAAAATCTTCCCTGAAATTAAAAAAAAGATTTGATTTTATAAACCTGAAATTGTTGCGGAGTGGTGGCTGAAGAGAAGTTAAAAATTCTACTCAAGTGAGTGTCGGTGTTGGCCTTTTTCATGTAAGACTTCATCATCACAGTTTTGGCCGTTCCTTGCTCTCCAATCAACATTATTGCCTATCAAACAATTTTGATTCAAATTTCTATTTTTAATTCCATTCCTACTTTTCCCTGCTTTGCGATAACATTGATCAAGTAGTCCATGCGGACGGTTTCAATTATGGGCACCAAGATTGAGCTGTAGTCAGGCGTGCTATTTTCAGGGTAGACGTATGGAACTACCAGCGAGTTCCAGTGCTCCCACTCGCCTGTATTTTCCAAATTTTAATTATAATTTTTTTAATAAAATTTTTCAATTTCATTTATACCTGTGGGGCTAACGACGTAGTCGAAAACGGTCGCACCTTTATCCGCCTTTTTAAATGGCAAGTCGAGAGTGAGTTTTTCTCTTAAGAAGATGTCAAACTGCAGCCTGTCCGCGGTGTCCAGCAGTCCACCCATACCCCAGACGAGGGAAAAAACGTAGAATCGCTGCAAGTGTTTGTTGGTTAATTGCGTCGAGACCTTCTCTTTGTCCAGATCGTCATCTTCTTCTATCTCCACTTCGATAACTATAGCATTTTTTTTTTAAATTATTAAAAAATAAATAAGAGGAGTATTTTTAAAATTTTATGGAGTTTTTTTTAAATTTAATACTTTCAGTACCTGGAATTTGAACACCATCACCTGGTTTGCTTGGCGAAACTGGAGTTGGAGGCTCTTCAAAATTTTCCTCCTCCGACTTTTCTTGCTCTCTTGGAACTAGCCCTTCCAAAACGTCCAGCATCTGCCATCATACACAATAATTAATTAAAAAAATTAAAAATAATATAATAATTTTTACGTGTTGGATGACGTTGCACTGCAGAACTTTCATCTTGGGCGTCAGATTTTGACTCATCCAAGAATAAACTGTGGCGAAAGACGCGTCAAAAAGTTCTTGGAAAATTTTCACCTCTCGCGGACTCTGCTTCTGAAGCCACATTTGCAAAATCGGCTTCCAGTCTAGGCCGCTTGAGCTCATGTAAACCTGTTTGGATTTTAAGTTAATGACATTATGAATAATTTTATTAAAGCAAATATATACACAACTTTAAAGCGCTACAAATTGATATTTATTTATTATATTTACTTTTCCCGAAAATTGGGATCTACAGCGTTTGATTTAAGTAACCTCAAAAGTAAATTTTACTTAACAAATAAAAAGGGATTGAATATTGTAAATCGAAAGACATTACTTTTAACTTAAATCTAATTGAATAAATTAAATTTTGGAGTTATTATTTTAAACCAACCATTCCGTTTCTTGAAACTGTCGCCGGTGACGCATTGTCAATGTTTTCTGGCTCGAAAATGATCTTGCACGTAGGCGCCATGGACAGTCTGTCGCCGTTGGCCAGCGTCAGCGTTTTGTTGTCGTCCAGGACGGAATTGAGGTTCTCGATCCAAATGCTGTCCACAGGTCCGTCCAGCACCAACCACACGTGCTCGCCCTTCTTCAGCTTGAGCGTTTTGCGCCACAGAGCCGAGAAAATTCCGTCCGTCCAGTCGTTGGTGGCCACGTCCAGCCGGCCGAACATTTGCGACGCCGTGATGGCCTTCGGGTTCATGCGCATCTCGCGGTGGTTCTGCCCCATAGCGGTCAGCGCCTTCATCAGCACCTGGATGCACGTCGTCTTGCCGGCGCCGGTCGGTCCTAAGGTCATTATTCCGTGACGCACTCTTTGCGTTTCATAAAGCTGGAAATTTCAATTTTAAATTTTGATCCTAATTTTAAAAAAAAATCATAATCTTAAAGTGAGATAACTCTACGCTATGTAATATATATCCTTATATTAATTTTATTTTTCAAATATATGAATTGGAAATTATGGTCAATACATGCTTCCTTCCTGATCCCTATCTCTCCTTCAAATATTACATCTTAACTTTTTCCCTTTATAAATATTTTATATGACTTTTGTTTTTAAATCGATGGATTATCTAGTCAGATTTGCTTATACAAAATTTTGTATTTTTATTTAATTTATATTAAATTATAATGTTAATTAATTAGTATTACCTGAATTAATTTGAGCACCCACGGTGGGTGGTAAACAAGCCCTGCCTCCTCGACCTGCTGCTGAATTGCAGTTTCTAACTCTGGATACCCAGTTTTCTCCAACATTTGATTTGGGAAAAGGTCAGACACCAAAGACATAAAAAGAGGCTCGTCTTCATCTGCAAAGTTTTAAAAACCGAATTTGTGCATTCACGAGAATCATTCAGCAGTAACGTACCTATCAGCTTTGACAAATTCATATCTCTTAAGACCCTCATCACAATCATGCTCTCCGTGTCTTTCGAGTTGACCCTTTTGGCGGCACCCAGCGTTCGCAAAACGGACAAAATGTTCCTCAAACCGAAATCGTAGTGAACCTGTCATTGATTGTTGCGTCGAAATTGAAACAAAAATTTTATCTCAGAAAAAGTCACCTGCTTGGTGAGCTGCTCTTCGCACAATTTGTAAAGAGTGTAGAACTTTCGAGCCAGGGTGATATTTTCTAAAAATCCACAGCTGGCCAGTTTGACTCGAATGATGATTTGCCTGTCTGGAACCATCATCGCCACAGTTCTAAATTGGATTTTCAAATTCTCAGGCAGCTCCTTTCGTCCAGCGTAACCAGGGTTCTTTAAAAATTACCAATTCTGGTTTTATTTTCAATATTATAATTTATGAAAATTTCACCATGGTGATGAAAATTCCAAATTCAGGACAGAGAGTAATTGTGTCTCCGTCCGTGAAGACAAACTGCTTCTTTTTCTCCTTTTTGGCGCCGAGAACGACCGCGATTTGCTGCGCGGCCACTGACAGGACGGGCAGTTCGATTCGGTTGAACTCGTCGAAGCAGCCCCACGACCCCGACTGCGCGAGTCCTTTGTAGATTCGGCCCAGACCGCGGTAGTCCATTTGGTCAGAGCAATTGAACACGACCACGTACTTGGCCAGCGTCTTGCCCATGTCCTTGACCGTTTCCGTCTTGCCAGTTCCTGCTGGGCCGCAAGGCGCACCGCCCATGCTCATCGCCAGGGCTTGGGCCAGGGTGATGTAACACCTTTGACAGACAATTCAATTAAAATGAAAATAAAATTAAACTTAATGCTCCAAAAATATTTCATTTTCATTGAATAATAGTGTAAATTAAAAATTAATAACAAAAATTGTAATTCAATTCAATGAAATAAATAAAATGAATAATGCTCAGTGGAACAGTTTCCCATCCTCTCTTGCCTACCTGTGGCAAAATGTGTGATAAAAGTGATAAGAAAAAATACTTAGTCAACCGAGGGAGGCTCAATGCGGCGGATGGGGTCTTTTTTTCTCGGAAGTTAAAAATTAGCAACATTCTTGCTAGTGGTGCTGCGTTTTTTCCAACAATTGCTTGTTTTAAATAAGTTTCGTTGGAACAAATGAACGTTAACAATGTATTGTATGTGGACAAAGAAACAACAATAATAATTATAATTAATGAATTTAAAGTTTAATAACTGGTTCAACATCAAATTTTCTTTGACCCGGCTTAATTTCGATTAATTTGATTTTCTTAATTTTTGTTTGAAATTATTTTAATTCTTATGGCAGAGAATTGAAGAGATATTAATTTTCATTCTCAAAAATAAAATAAAAATATAATGATCAGCAGAGAAAAAAGCGTAAATTTTTCCTGACCTGTCAGTCAAAGGTGTAATCACAAGCCGATCAGTGCATCCCAGATATTCATTCTGGTACGTAAAATTGACGTCAGTAATCAAAATCAGGGTCTTGTCAATATCCTCTTTGAAGTAAAACCGGCATTGCTTGAGCCATTCGAAATCGTTGACGTGCTTCACGTTGATTCGGCACTAAATAAACTTTGTTAGAAAATCCTCTTTTGGCTAATTTTTTGTCTCACCATTATATCAAAAATGTCTCGCTGGTGCACGTGAATAGTGATGAGCGTCTCAAATTTAATGCGTTCAATCCTGGTCAAATCTCTTGTGGTTTGGTCAATTAACGTATTAAGTAGCTCTAAAAATCGGTTGTTGGTCTCGCCCATGACCTTTTTGTCCGCCCTGGCTTGCAGCAGTGCAGCTTCAGAATCGCGAGTCCAAACCATTTGAATTCCAAGCAAACCGATCTGCATTTTTGTTGGTTTATTTATTTATATTATAATAAAATAATATATTATATTTTATGAGTCTTGCCTGAGCTGGCATTTTGTCGAGAAAAGCGAGCAGATTAAAATTGGCGTCGTTGATCATCGTGTGGCTTGAACGAATGATTGAATGTAAAGATGCTTGAGACGTTTGCAGTAAAGCGGTCAACCAAGTTTCCACGCTGCCCTCTGCCCGAACTGCTTTTTCCAGCTTTAAATATTTTTTTTTTAATACATAACAAATTTCTTAATTTTAAACAGCAGATTACCTGAATGGTTTCTCCCTCGGATGAAACGATTGCGAGAATTTTGTTATATTCAATGTCATGGAATTTGACGTAGCGAGTGTTGTCGAAAATCGATAACAGGTGGTTTTGGATTGTGTGCGAATCGGAAGCTTGGCCGAGAATTTCTAAGAGAGCGGGGTCGGAAACGAAGAAGAACCTCGGGAACATCATTCTCTTTTTCTCCAAATAGCTGCAATTAAATTATTTTTGTAATCATTACTCTCACAATAAATTTTGGAGTTACAAAAGATACCAATTTTTTAATAAAATAAAATTATAAAACGCCTCAATAAAAAAGTTTCAAATTAATAAAATTAGCAAGGAAAAAAATCATCATTTTGTTCTTTTCCTATTAAAAAAAATCACTTTTGAAGAATAAAGTAAAATATCAACCCGCTCAGTGATTTTTGGCAGAGTTCGAGTTGCTCTTGCAAGTGGGGCAGCAACTGCTTGAGCAGGTCATCACCCACGCAGCAGGCAACCACCCCTGGGGTCTCGTGCGCTCTTTGCATGATTTTCTGCCACGACTTGTCGATTTTGCTGAAGCGCTTGGCCTCTTTTGGCAGCTGCTTGGCGATGTCGCCTCCGACGAACACTGCCTCCAGGTAGACCCACATGTTCTGCACCAACAACCACCGTTCCAGAATCTCGTTCGTGTTGGACAAATCGGACACCCACTGCTGGATTTGCTTTTTGAATGGCGCGTTATACCTGTGTGAATTTTTTTATTTTAATTTTTAAACAATTATTGTTTATTTTGATTTTACCGATTGGACAAAAGCGAGCCGAGAACCATCAGACTGTCCTCAAGTTGTCCAATTGTCTCTGCAGTCGTATCTCCCCGAAGTAAAAGTTCTCCGCGGTTGTTGAAGGTCATGAAGGTCAACTCGTGGATGGACCATTCGTTGGTCACTTGCCGCAGTTTCGCTTCAATGTCCTTCTCTTTCATTGCAGAAATGCAAATATCCTGTGTTGGAATTAAAAATTATTCCCGAAATTTGGCTATAAAATATTTTTTGAACCTCAATGTCCTCTTTGCACTCCAGCAAAGGTGCCTCCAAAATGTGTTTTAGGCAGAATCCCTCGCTGTCCAGCTCGAAATTGTGCTTGGTCGAGTCCATGATGCGCTGCCAGTGGCGCGGCTTCATCGCCTTGTTGGCCATTAACTCGAGCAAGGGACACATGTCGTTGAAGTCGTCGATGGTTTTCTTCAACGCGTGGAATGCAGGCCATTCCTTCAATCCTTTCGGAAGTTTGCGACACCTTTTTTATTTAATATTTATAAATAAAACTTTGTCAATATCATTTCAAGGTTTTTACCTATTCTGGAATTCCATCAGTTCATTGTTGATTTCCTCAATGTTGACGTCGCCCCAGGGAATATCGTAGTAGCTGCTCACCCTATCAATCACATCGTTGTACAATTTGTACAACTTTTGCAGCAGATTCAGCTCCTTTCTTATTTGTGCCAGCTCAGGATACTCCGTTTGAGGCAAACCAAAAAGTTCTTCGCCACTTTGATAGGTTTGTAATTTCCTCCACATGCCATCAAAACGATTCTAGAATAATTATTTAGATTCAATTTTGAGAATGTTCTAAGAAAAAAATTAACATATACACTTAATTTATTGAAGCATATTTACTTGAAATCTAATTAATTGTTTCAGAAATCTAGTTAATTCGTAATTAATTATCCATGTTCAGCTGATGAAAATCATATTATTTAAATATATGTTGAGTTTAAATCTTAATAACGCACAGAAAATTTAATAATTTTTAAGAATTTTTTTCTAATAATTTGGCTTTCAGAAAATTGATTTTTATTAAATATGAAATCATAATATTGCTCATTATTCCTTAATTAAATTTTATTAGATAAATTTAAAATTAGAACAAAATTAATAAATAAATTTAATACTTTTAAACATTTAAGTAAAAATAGCTTATATTAATTATTGGCATTTTTAAATAAAGTAAAAAAAATATCGTATTTTACTAACTTGAAAGACAATCAGTTTGTCTGAAGCCTCCCTTGGAGTGAGTCCAGGCATCATTGGACCAGAAGTGCGGTACTCGTGGCAGTACTGAATGTTATCCAACCGGAAGCGCTGCAGATTTTTCCGCAAATCTTCCTCAAACCTCGGCTGCATATTCAAAAGCAGACAGTGCACGTCCAGAGCTCTTTTGACCAAACGGTGCCACGTGTAGCGCAGGTTGTCTATCTGATCCAGCTCCTCTCTGTCCACCGGGATTTCATATCGAGAAATTATGTTGAAAGCCTCCTGATAATTTAAATGAGTTCAAATATAAAAGTGAAGCAAAAAATGAAAAAATTTTAAACCTCAATTGGATCGATTCTGAGTTCCATATCAACTTCCTGGTCTCTAATTTTCTTCAGATTATCCATTACGACTCTGACGTCGTCCAAGTCGCGAATCGGTCTGTCAAGTTTCCGGTCCATTTCACTAACGACCGCGTATACGTAATCCATCTCTCGTTTGTATTTCTTTCGTAAAGCCTGACCGATTCTGTACGTGCAGGCTTTTATCTCGGTTAGGAGGCCGAATTTCAGTTTTTCTGAAAAATTTCTTTGGAAATTTTTGAATTTTTTTAATTGCAATTACTTACCAGCGGAGACAACAACACTCTGGCCAAAGTAGTGCATATCCGACTCGACGTTCAGATCCGATTCGAGTTCCCCATGGTACCTTAGCATGTTCACAAAATCCTGCAAACCTGCCTGCAACATGTCCTTTCGGTCCTGGTCACTTTTCCACAGAGTTTTGTATGGTTTCCATCGCTCAAGATATGCCGTAAATTCCTATTTATTTATTAATTTTTTTTTTGAACCTAAATTTTTTGTGTATTATTTACGGTTTTGATTTCCATAGTGCAAGTGGAAAGAAGGGTGAGCATTTTCATCACCTCCTTGTTCTCAATGACGAAACTGAAAAAGTTCTTCTGCTGGTGCGGGAAATTCATCTTTTCCTCGGAGGCGACTTTGTAGATGCGGCGCCGGCGCCTTTTCGGGTCGTCCTTTTTGTTTCGCTGCTGAGTGCCCTGTTCGATTTGCGAAACCAGGTCACTTAAGGCACCTGGGGGTCGCATGGCCAGTTTGCGCCACACTTGCTTCTATACGCACGCAACCGTTCATTCGTCAACATTCACACAGAAGCGGGATAGAGGAGGAAGAGAGAAAAACAAGAGAAAACCCATGTTATTTACAAGAGTCGATTTCCGTCATTAATTACACAAATATAAACATATCTGCTTAATTAGTTCACGGCAACATATATATTATTTAAACAACTACATGATTATTTAAAAGGAGAAAACATCGAATTCCTATTTACTTTTGAAGCACTTCTTTTTATTTAAGAATTATTTCCTATTTTATTTAAATTCTGTAAAATTCCAGTTTATTTAGTTGAAACATCAAAGGATATTGAATTAAGAGTGAGTTTCCGAGTGAACACTTATTAAATTAATCGTGTTTTCGGTGTTTCATTCTCAAGCAGAGAAGGCGCAAAATTTATAAAAATTTGCAGACTGAAATTTAAAAACTAATTGTTAAAGGCAATTGATTTAATTTTGAATGTTTTCAATTAATTTTCTTGAGAGTAAATAATAAAAAAGCGGTTGGCATTTGTGTGTGTGTTCAGTGCTTGTGTAGTGGTGAAAAATAATCAAAAAGAAACAGGCTAGCAATTAAAACAATATGTTTATTTTGCAAAAATCGAGTGCATTTTTCTGAAAAATGGTCAAGTGCAACGGTGCCGCGGCATTTTGAATTTTCCGAAAGTGAAATTTCAACTTGGAGATCTCCGTTCACCTGTTGCACTTTGCCGCCCGTCCACAGGCCGACGCCTTTGGCCACGTTTGTGATATTCCTCCCTGCATTAGTGAGCGCCTCCTGGATTTCGTCCAAATTCGGTTTGATGGCCACATTTGGAATCACCAGTGAAATGTGGATAATAAATACCGGATTCGGCGTAGAAGTCGAGGCTTTGATTTAAAATATTTTAAACCATTTATATTCAGGGTTTGATACCATACCAGTGTCTGGTTCGCTGATGAAGCGTCGTCTGAGGGTGTCCAGCGACTGTTTGGTTACCTTTATCAGCACGTCAATCACTTTTCGACTGTAATAGCGACGCATCTCGCTGACGGCGTTTCGCACCACGTCCTGCAGCGCCTTGGAAAGGGGCCCGCCCTTCATGACGGTGTGCGGCTGGTCGAAGCACTCGGAAACGACGCTCCAGTCCTGCTGAGGCTGCAAAGAGGTCGTCGACGCGGCCACTGCACTTCCGGCTGCACCCTCACCGCCGTTTTCTTCTTGTTCCGTGTCCTCATCTTTCCCTGGATTTTGTATTTTTGAGGAAAATTTATTTTACAAATGTGGATTATCATAATTCAGGACTAAATCATTAGGATTTTAAAAACGACGACTTTTATATAATGACACAGAATTGACTGGACTAAATCTTATCTTAAAATTGAAATAAAATTTATAAAATTATAAATCATTTCTCGCAGTCAACATTCCCCCTTAAAATTAAACTTATTTAATTAATTCACCTTCTACCATTAGAGCGTCAAACTCGTCGGGCTCAGTTGAGGTTTTAAAAGATGGTGCCGCCTTTCGGACCAAATCCAGAATTTCCTCCACCGCTTCTTCCACCATCAAACTTTTTCTGTGCAGTTCCTGTTTTATTTCATTTTTAAATTATAATTATTTTAAACCCAATTCAAAAAAATCTTACGGCAGCAGCCCTGCAGCAGGTGAACTCATTTCTGTCTGCAAACTCCTCAACACTCCACGGTTTGCTGCTGCTCGGAAGCGCGTGCAGCTTAATCTTTTGCATGGAAGAGAGAACTGAGAGAATTCGATTGTTGTAAATGTCGTGAACCCTGATTGTATTCAAAAGTTATTTTTAAACACGCAGATTATTTAAATTGTTTTTAATTGCCTTGTTGTTAGAACTTCAAAAGTCTTGACTGCCTCAAGGGTGTTCAAATAAAAATCGTCCCAGGTGGGATCAGACCAGGTGATAGTGTGGAAACCAGGCGACAACATGCCGGCCATGCGCATCATGTGTGGCAGAAAGAGGGGTCGGACGTCCGCTTTCACAGCTTGGACGGCTTGAGTGAAGCGGTTCAGTAGCAACTTGAAAAATATATAAACAATTTTGAGTAAAATTTTCTTTCGAGGAAACGTTTATAAGTCAAGAAAACTGGCTTGTTTCTCATTGATATTGCTCTATCAAATTTAAAAGCAATAAAAAAATACAAAAAACGGCAACAGTTTTAAGAAAAATGAAATATAAATGCAATCATTAGACTAACAGAATTCATGTTGAAAGGTTTTTTTCTAATAAAAAGCTACTTTCCAGAGATTTTTTTTAGTGGGTCAGGCCAAGACACAGTGTCTTGTTGGCCTGTGACCTTTTTTGAGCTTGCAGAAGGCAAACTCCAATCTTAATATTATTGGGGTATTTTTACTTATTTTGGCTTGGTTTCTTCACTATTGCTAAATTTAAAATGTAATAAAATTTATAAAGGTACCTCAAGGCAGTCGTTAATGGTGGTGAAATAGCTCCTCTTGCTCAACAGCGTCATTGCAATTATTGGCACCTCGATTTCCATTTTTGCCATGCAGTCCGCCTCTCTGATCAAAACCATCAGCCGAAAGTCCAGATTTACTTCAACTTCTCCCGTTTCCTTATCAAAGGCCAGCAGTTTTTGCCTCAAACCCTCATCCACTGGCCTTATCTAAAACAATTAAAATAAATTTTAGCATTTTTAAATTTTATAAATTTATCCAACTGTTTGATTAGTCCAAGTTTTGATCACATCAGCTTCAAACGCTTTCAGGTGCGTGTTCACGTTGTTGTATTTTTCAATTAGCTCATTTGTGGCTGGCAGTTTTTGCAAAATGTGGTGGCTCGAGATGCTGTTGATCAAGTCCAGCAGGTGGAATTGCAAGCAGCGAACCCATTTGATGCGACCTGACCAAAATAAAAAACTCGGTACAGTCGAGGCATAGAAAAAAAATTGTTTTTCGAAACCTGCCAGTGGTGGAAAATATCTTGGTAACGGCGGGTCTGACTTTTGTTTTCGGAATAATTTGTGAATTCTGTCCACCTCTTTGTCGCAGAATCGCAAGACGCGATCATACTTTTCGTCCATCCTTGTCAGTGGAATTTTCTCAATGATCTAATTGCAAGTTTTGTTGAAAAAACCAATCTTATATTAACAATTTTTCGGACTCACTTTTTCAAATCTGATCAGAAATTTAATAGCCTGGGGCGATTCCCAAACTGTGTCATAATTTCTCTCTATGTTGTTTCCAATGCTCGTTTTCAAAGCCTCGATATTGGCAATGAACGCATCATAATCCTCGTCGAATTCTTTATTTCTGTGGTCCAAGTAATTGTAGTCCTTGTTCATTATCCCAGCTTTGGCCGCATCAAAGGCACGCATAGCCTCATCAAGAGCTATTCAATTTATTTTTTGTTTTTTTATTGAACTTAATTTTTGACTGAATTTTAATTACCCTCTCCAAGTAAGAGACCTTTGATGCAAAAATGTTTATTTCAAAATACCTATTATCCTTTAAAATTATGAAAAATACCTTCCATTCGGCGTTCAAAAAGTTGCGTGTAATCGTTGACTACGTCAAATAGTGTAATAATCCTCTCCAGACGACCGCAAAAAGTGTCAAACTTTCCAAAAACGTAGTTTTCAGAAAAGCCGAAAGGAGTTGCGCCGGGTAGAAAGGGCTGATTTTTCACTGTCAAATACGTAGAGTGGTAAACGCGATTCAAATTGATGCAGTGTTCAAGTTTCTCCTTCACTTCCGCCTCCGGTTGCGACCAGATCGTTTCTTTGCCGCGACAGGTTATGTACAATTTGCACGTCTCGATCATTTGATTTGTGATCTGAGGAGAAAAAGCCATTTTTCTTATTTAAAATTATATTTTACCTGATTATTTATTTATTTATTATGTGATTTATAAAAAAATACGTCAAGCTAGCTTTCTTTTAAAATAATTATTTCAAATTATCTTTAATTTAATTTGAACTTCCTACCTTGACCATGAGGGAGGACGTTCTCTCCGTTGTGTTGTAAAACTTGCTGACACTGTGAATGAGTCGGACGGTCTGGATGAGGTTCAGAATCGAGTCTTTCATCTGCACGGGGTCGTGAAGATACAAAGAGTGGCACACTTTTTCCATCGACTGAATGAACTTTGCGTTATCTCGCGCTTCATTGTAGCAGAAGGTGATTTTTTTGTCCAGCTCCCGCCACGACTTTATCGTCTTGGAGTAGTTTATTTGGAGGCAGAGCAGCGTCATTTGAACCTTGAAAATTTCGCGATAAAATATTGTGTTATGAACTTGTGTTTTGTTCGTCAATAAAATACAAATGTACTCTAAAAATAGCTAAAAAGAAACTTCAGATTGGAGAAAATTCTATTACAATTTAGTGCAGAATGTTGAAATGAATTTGGAGGGTTAAATTTTCTTTGGTTTTAAATAAAATCCTTCATCGTTTTATTCCGATAAAAAAACCATTCACATGATAAAAGGTTGTCTTAAAAACTCTCAAGTGCTCTAACTTCAAAACTTCTCCAATCTATTGTGTTTACTTGCATAAAATAAACGGCCGCGCTCTCGTTGAACGAGATCATAATTGTTTTGCAAACAACGTTCGGCCGAAAATAAACTCCGTCGGATCAAAGTGGGCGGCGGAAGATCGGCCGCAGAGGCACGCGCGTGCCGCAAAGTGAATGGCGGTGCCTTGCACGGCATTATTATCAAAATGCTCGATTTCGCCCCCGAACGCCCTGTGAACGCCCACGCGATGCAAATTGTTGCACCTGTCCGTCATTCCCAAGCGTGTTTCGCCAGGTGTGTGACAAGCAGCGAAAGAGCGTGGCAAACTGATGCTCCGCCGCAAAATCTCCCCCAGATGTAAATTTGGAAATTAAGAAATCGCTATTTTTGTCGTAAATACAAGTATTGGGTTTTATTTTTGGAGTGCAGAAATTTATAGGAAAAGGGGAGAGCAAACTGTTCAAATATTTTGCAGGATGAGAATTTTTAAATAAATTTTTTCCAAAATTTTTTTAATTAAAAGGAAGGTCTTCTTTGAGGAAGTTGTTCAAATATTAAAAAAAGTATTTTTTCCTTGAATAATTTTTCTTACCTCATGACTTTGTAGGTGGTTGACAATTTGTGAGAACTGGGCGCCTCTCCGTTTCCAATACTCCAATTCGTCTTGCGGACCAGTGGAGTCATTTTCCCGCCGCAGTTGCTGACTTTCCATTACAACCTGGAATTATTAATAATTATAATTATAAAGCATTTTTCTTTCCAGTACAGTTTGATAAACAATCTTAAAAAATAAAGTTCTTCAAATAACAATGTATGCTTACCTCGTGGACTCTTTTCATCCAGGTTTTCAGACGCTCCTCCAGAAGGGTCACGTTTTCAACTGTTTTTGAATATTCTCTCGCGTCGTCTGGACTTTGAATGTTGGCGAGAATATTAATATCATCTTCAAAAACATTCTTTTGCTGGCAAACTTCCTCGCAAACTGATCAATAACAGAAAAATAATGATTGAAATAAAAATAATTAAATTTTAGCAGTTAAATTTCACCTCTCAACGCACTGCAGAAAGATCTAAGACTGGGCAATAATTGGTTTCGCACCAACGGACAATTGGCCTCGTCGTCCTCCGCGTCTGGCGAGGGATGTGCCAGCGCCTCCATGAACACATTCTCCACAATCCGCTCAATCGTCGTCACCAGGCCGACTCGAGTCACGTCAATCACTCCGCAGTACAAATCCTATAGTTTGATTCAATTTTAGCTTTTGACTCTTTTTCTCTCTGATATTAAAATTTAATCTCGTGCCTTGTGAAATCCTTCTTCGGGCAACTGCTTGGTGATGTTGAGGCGGTACATGTAAATGCAGATTCCCGTCAAGGGAACGGTCCAGCCGTCGGTGAGAAAGAGTTTTTTCTTGGCCACAGGTGCCGGCGCGGCTGCGACAGGCTGGTGGGCCTTGCTGGTCGACGGACCTGGTTGGGCAACTGCCCTTGAAGGCCCAGCTTTGTTCTGAAAATGAAAACCGTCATTTCGTTCACGAAGGGCCGCTCTGACGAAATAAGTTAACTTTAAATTGAACTTCAAAATAATAATATATGCTTCTTTAAAAATGTATAAAAAAAAATAATTTTTGTCTACTTTTTCCCATTGATTTTTTTTTGCACATAAACTAATATATCAGTTAATTGCTTGAAACTTATATATTTTTTTTAAATTATTTATTGCTTTATCACAATACAATTAAACAAAATATTTATGATATTTAAAAAATATATTTTCATTAATTAAAACAATTAAACCTGCATTTAAAACAATTAATTTATATTTATTTTGTTTCACTATTTTCATTACCTTACATTTTTATACTTTTTATTACATACAAATATTTTATTTTAATTGTTATTTAAATATATTAATATTTTTATATAATATCAATGGGCTTAACTTTGATTTTTATTAGTGAATAGAATGTGATAACATAATCACAATGGAACTTTCAACTCTGTAGTGAAATTTGGCGGTATATGGGTTATGATTATATAATAATTTAATTTTTATCTAAATTAAAATTTATCAAATTATCACAATATGATTCCCAACTTACCGGGTCAATAGGTGCAGCTTGTTCGGCTTGAGGCACCTCTTGGTAGAACCAAAGCAGGGTGTTTCTCATGTGCGGCAGAAAAAGCTGGTTGATCTCGTCAAGCTAGTGAATTAATATATTGTATTTTAAGAGCTCTACTTTTTATTTAAATTTCCTGACCATATTGCCCTCAAAAACGTTGTCCATGATGTCGCCCCTGGTGAGGCCGGTGGCGTCGATCAGGAGCTGGAAGGTAAATTCCAGTCGAGGGTCCATCTCGCCGCGCCGAGCTTTGCGCTCGCACTCTTCGCGTCTTTTCTAAAAGCAAATTTAGCAGAATTCGGTACAAACATTTGCTTGATTTTTTTTAGAAATCTCTGTGATAGTTTAATTGCACCGTCTGAAAATATAATTTAGTTTTTAATGTTCCAACATATGCAGTTAAAACTTATTTGTCTTGCAAAATTTAGTTGGAGCCGAGGAATTCAATAAAAAAATTATGGTTTTGTCCTACTTCATTTTCATTCCGTGACTGCTGTACTGCACCGACTTATTTTAATTTACAACACAATGTGAAAAGTAGCACGTGAAACGTAACTCCATTTCTCAGTGTATATTAAAATAGGCAATCTCAACTTTTGCAATCTCAGTTTATTCCATGGAAATGACATTATTAAAGTTGAAGTTATTCCAAATTTCAATATTTCAGTATAGTTTACCTCTACAGTATGCAAAAATGTAATAACAATAATTACTAAAATCTAAGAAAAATATAGCTGAACAATTTAATATTTCTTTTATAAATTTTGAAAATTTCCAATAGAGAATGGTAAATTGGGCTTTTCCTTATCGATAATGTTATTTTTATACCAAAAAACAGCTGGACTAGTCCTCAATCCTCAACGAAGAAAAGTCCAGTGCCAAAGTTATCATTTATCATATGATCGGCACTTTCATCCACGGTCTTTAAAAATTATTTTCTACAATCGAACGTTACAGAATTTTTTTAAACCACGAAAAAAAATTCATATTTGGCTAATTTATTCTGGCCTGTGTGTTTATAATTTACAAAATTTACATTATTTGATATATGAACTTCAGCACATATTTATATCATCGGATTAAAGTATAAAAATATTCTCTGATACATTTACTTTTCAAATCAGATATTACAGTTTTATTCCAAATTGTTGTGGTTAAGATAGAAGCTATCCAATAGTTAATTAAAAGTTTTTTTTTTTTTTTTTTTTAATTTTTGAAAAACCTTCTATTACTGAACAAAACAAAATGTAGATAAAATTTAGGTTCTTGAAAAAAGAATCAGAAAAACAAGCATATTATTTGAATTCGAATTTGTTTACAACGCTTGTTTTCTTTTCGAGTGTGTCAAACCTTGAGCATCTTGCCGCCATTTGACTCTCCATCCTGTGGATCGTTGGACTGGTCGGACTCGCCGCCACTCCACGAGTCGTCGTTTTCATCATCACTGTGCCTCCGCACGGCGTCCGGTTGCACGAACATCTCGCCGCCGAGTGCCTATCAAATATTCATGCCCCGCGGTGCGCGGCCCGAACCGCGAAATCTCTGCGTCGACCCCGAGTGCTCTCGGGCCGGCCACGCACCCACAACACCTCTCGCGCCCGTCGAACAAACAAATAATCTCGTGTTTCTGCACTTTGGTTCGTTTCCAAGGAGCGGCGCCTCGCATTCGACGAAACAATGCGCTAACCATAAAAACTTTCGGAGGAAATTAAATTTCGCTTTACGCCAAACGGCAGGGAAGAATTTTATTAGCCCTTGCATGTTACTCGACTCGATAAGAAATCAAAATCAATTTCGAGTAGAAAGTTTTTCTTACGTTGACAAAGAAGTCTGTAATTTTCATTTTCATTTTTTTGAAATAAATTTACAAAATACAGAAATTTTTTCATTTTTTTTAAATTTATTCAAAATTCAGATTAAAATGATCCAGAACAGAAATGTTTTAATATTTTATAAAGGTGGATTTTTTACTAATCAATTGTTATTAAATTTTAGAGATCGCACTCCCAGGGCTCGCACTCCCGGAACTCATACTCTCAGATTCAGATTAAATATTTTTTAATTTTACTTGAAAATATATATTATTTTTGAAACGATTTTTTAGTTCAAATTTAATTATAATTACGCTCGTGTGTAAGGCCTATAGCCCGGGCTTTTGATTTTAATTTTAGCCTCACTATCATGTCCGTTACAAAATTCTGGCCTGACATATTTTTTTTCTTTTTTTTTTCTTGCAAATGGCCAAAATTAAAAAAATTTGCGAGTTGTTGACAATCCTTCAAGAACCAGCTGATTTGATTATAATGTGGGTTAATCCTGTTACTAGGGTAGAAAAAGGTATCCCGGTAAGAATTGGGGACAAAGAAGTTGAAGGTGGGTTAAAAAATATTTAGCGCCAACAAAAGGATAAACTTAATCATTTTGGATTCATCCCGGGATAATCATTTATACCAGGAGTGTCAAGTCTTCTGAATCTCCCCCAATAATGTCTAGAAATAATTTTACTAATTTTAGTCATTTCCCAGGATCCGAGCAAATATTTAAATTTAAATTTATTTTCTGATTTTTAAATATTATAATTATTTTGAGCAACAATCAGATTTTTACTTTGGATCAACACCCAACTCGGGCAGAGTGTGCTGTTGGTCTGCAGTGTCTGTAAACTCTCTCACGTGTGATTGATTTGAATATGTGTGGGCCGCATGCATCACCATGGGTTTGTTTGGTCGATAAATCAAATAACTGCACACAGATTAAATTCCGTAATTGCACGAATATGAATTAAAATGAACATTAAAATGTCATTTACCCTATAAGTAAATGCATTGAAATGCCAAGTTGGATATTATTAAAAAAAAAAAAAATTAAATTTTGAAAAGTGTGTTAGTCTGCAGTTTTTATTGAATGATGGATAACATCAAACTTTTCTCATTCTCGATGCAAATATGCCATGAAGCGATGCAGCGGTGGAATTAAATGATAAAAAATGACAGTTGCGTGTTGAGCGAAGTCTCTTTGGAAGCCGCGCGCGACTTGACACCCGCTCTGGAAAATTGCATCTCGCCTTTCCTCCTGATTGCCTACACAAGCCCCCATTTTCAAATGCACTGTCCCCCTTCACACCTTTTTTTGTCACAGTTTTCAAAGTGGTTTAATTTGGTGTCATTTTGAGTTAAGCTTTTGTTACTTACTTTTCAAAAGGTGCAGCGGAAAAGTGGGAATTCGGCGGCAGTCATCGTCAGCGTGGCTCAAGTGGCACCACGGCATTGATTTCCTCGAGCGGGTGTTGGAGTTTAGCACTTTTGCTCAAGCACCTTCTCCAACGGGTGAACATGTGCATGCGTACGAATTGCTCGCCCCCTGCCCTGCTTGCTGATTTGCGTTTCAAATTTTTTCCACTTTTTCCATTTTGAAGATTTTTATTTGATTTTGATAAAACTAAGTCTATTTAAAATTGTTAGTGCTTTTTCTCTAATAACAGAATATTTTGCAGATTAGATTTTTTATTCATCAGCTTTCGAGTTTTAACTGTTAAAAATTTAGGATTGGTTACAAAAATGTGACCACATAAAAAAAATCTAATTTACTACTTGATTGCCTTTTCAATGATTCGAAATGCAATTTGTTTATTTCCTTTTTTATTACAAAAATATATGATTTTTTGAGATTTTTCCCGTAATTTTATTACACTGGAATGCAATCTACCATTTTTTCCGGATCAAGAGAATTGACAGCACTATTAATGGAAGTCTATGATCTGATTGACACAAAAGGAAATGGTTTTATTTCAAATGTGAAAAGCTGTTGCTCTGTGCACGCAGACCCATCATTTTCTCTGAATCAGTATAGAAAAAATAGGTCTAATTTAATTAAATTTATTTTTCATTTACAGAAAAAAGAAATTAAATTTTGCCATGTCACTTTGATAAATTTGCCCTAAATTCGAACCCAATAAATATTTCTTGAACCTAAATTTGTTCAGTCTGCCGAAATGCCGCTTGTTTGTTTTGTCTGGCGTTTGCCAGCAGCTGCGCACTAGAGAGGTAGGCAACTGGCACGTCTCCCTCGTTAGGCGGATTGTCTAAATCTGCCCCTCTGATGCAAACTTTAATTTCATTTGTGGGAAACTTGGATAAGAAACGCAATTCTTTGAAAACTTTCCTGGTGTGGGTTAGCAAAACGCCATGTAGTTTCACTTTCCCATTTCTCGCATGTCTCTTCGCAATAAAGTGTCACATTTTAGTGACAAGTGTGAAAGTAAATTTGAGCAATGAACAACCACATAAGAGCGCCTTTTATCGAAAAAATTGCTTTTTGCCTTCAAAGAGAATTCGACGGTAAATTTAGGCGCTTATATTCGCCTGGAACAGTGTGTGTGTGGCATTAACTTTGCAGGATTGTCTCCAGCTGGCACAATAGAATGTCAGTCGGCAGATGACCCTTTCGTGAAAAGCACATCCATGGCAACCGCGGAAAAAATCATTTTAGAAAAAAAACTTGCTCTCTTTTTTACAAAGGAAATAGTCTTATGTATAAAATTTATAAAAAAAAAATCCTTTTTTTCTTTGATATAAATATGAATTAAATTCCACGTTGTGGGAAAAACTACTCATAATCATATTCAAAGAATGGTTGTTATAATTTTCCTTCATTATGTAGAAAATAATTCTAAAATATAATTAAAAGTTGATTGAATTTTTCTCTTACTTATAATGGAACGAAATTTTTATCATTTAAAACGATTAAGTAAAAATAGTTTACTTTAAAATTCATGGCAATAAGAAATTAAAACGACAATCCACGCAAAAGTAGGAGTCAACAATAAAAATAAAATATATTAATTTGTTTTAATTGTAAAAAGGGATTGCCATAGATAGATTACATTGAAATCCGACTTCTGTTGTGGGAAAAAGCGTGACGTAAAGGCAGTGTAGGGCTGTATATGAATGAATCGTAGCATTTTATTTATGTGGGTTTCTATAGAATATTTTTCTCACCATTATTTCACCGACCCCATAGGTATTTTTGAATGATTCACAATTCCAACAAAATTTATTGAGCATTGAGTCCATGAAAGGAATTTCTAAAAAGTTTTATATTCCTTGGTATTTAATTATTCCAAAATAGTTGCATACCCAATTGAAGAGAAGATAATGTAAATGATTAAATATTTTCAGCATAATATCTTTAAACAAATTTTCTGATATTTTAACCAGATTAAATTAAATTCACAGTTTAAAAATGTAATTTATTTGACATTTTATTCGGTTTAATTTATATAAATTAATTATTTATTTTGTGATTGAATGATAATTAAAAAGCTGTACCTTATTCTCCTCATCATCCTCCATGGTGGCTGCGGCAGACAAAAGTCTTGGTGTGCTGCACGGGTGGTGCCGTCGGAGACAATGTATATAATTTCCCAGTTATATATTCGGCGACCAAATTATCTTTCTCGTGCTTTTCCTTGCAGCGCCGCTTCTGCTTTCTCTGCCCGCGACTTTTTCCCTCCCTTGTTTCTTGATTTGGCATTGTAATCAAAGGAGGGATGATTTATGCAGCACGACCGACAGTCACGAAACCGAATAGCACTGCTTAATCGTCCCGACAATGTCAAGCGATGACAAAACGACCAACCTTTCTTGCTCATTATTAAATTTTGCACGCTTGCTTATTTATTTTGCCAAAATATTAAATGCTATTTTGTTGCTCATACGGTCATCCATCAACGGGACTGACAGCAAAATCTATTGTCATTTTCACGTCCGAAATACATAATTTAATTGACTTTAGTGTTTCATATTTTCAGGGTTAAAAACAATAACAACATTTATAACCATATCAGTCTTTTTTTAGTGTCAAAAACTAAATAACTTAAGAAAAAATACCATTAAATATTTGATTAACTGCTGGATGTGTAGCAGCAAAAGGAAAATAGACCGACAATATATAAATAGAATTTAAAATATTATACCCTTTCAAATATATTTTTTCTGCCTTTCCTCCAAAAAGTGAATATTTTGCGATCCTTACATATCTGAAATTAAAAAAAATATTAGATGAAGTTTATAATGCCAAAATGCCAGAAGTTCTTCATTAAAAAAATTACATAACACTAAATATGGATATTTCCCCATTTTTTTTTAATTTATCCTAATTTACTACGATTTTCTATATAATTTTTTTAAATATTATTTGTTTTTTCCAAATCGGTACATTACATTGTTTACACTCAATTTTTGAAAACGATTAATTTGATGAGAAAGGAATTGTTGGGCAAAACGGCACCACCACCAGCAAGAATTTTTCTAAAACTTCAGAGTTCAAAATGACCCCATCCGCCGCAGCTTAATTGTTTTGATTTGTGAATATTATTTTTAATCATTAAATAAATAAAGAACACAGAAAAATAAATGCTTAATGTACTAAAAATATTTTTATTTTGGTCATAGCGGAGTAAAATTGTAGATGGTGAAAGTATGGCATTAATTAGCACGAGTGATATCTGCGCTCTCAGGATTGTAACGTTGATTGTAACTTACGCAGATGGGGATTACATGAAAGAGATAACAATCTTTTTACACAATTAAAAATTTAAATGAAATGCACTCTTTTTTTTCATTAAAAAATTATTTCAAGAAAAAACAGAATTCCAAATTTTTCAAAGATCTTGGAATGTTGTTTCAAAAAAATAAATTAATTCAATTTAGTATTTGCGTATTTTTGTACTCCCTGATAAAACTCCACTTCCCCCACCCCAAAGTTACGGTTCCGAAAACTTGACCGTCTTTTCTCCCAGGTGGCTCAACAGAATCGAGCAGACGTGATTTTGTAACTGATGGTCGTGAAAACAGACTGGTAATTCGCAGATTACGTAAGAATTTATCCTGAGTAAGTGATTTTATTTGCAAAAATCTTCAATTTGGATGTTCCGAAAGTGCGAATCGCCGGTTGTTATGATGCTGCAAAGTTTGCCAAGCCTGAAAATGGGACAAATATTTCATCCGCATTGCACGCACCGCTAAACTTTTCTCGAGTGTGTTGTGTTCCCAAGAAGTTGATCGATAAGCTCGGGTTTATTTTCGAACTTGGCTCTGAGATGCAAAATATTCACCTCCAGCCCTTTCCTTAAAATACATACACGTGGGGTATGTTTTTGTACACTCAGATCCTAGACACCTTAAAATGAGGCCTACATAATTTTATCGCAGTGTATAAAAGTGAAAGTTGTCACGGGCAATTTTTGTGTTTGGCGGAGCAGCTGATCAACGCGGACTCTGGACCTTTGCGATTTTTATTGCGTTGCAAAAAGTCGCGATTAAGATTAAAAAATGATTTGTTTGTGCTGACTTTATTTTACAAATAGGGTAATTACATAATATAATTTTCAAGACTAATAATCATCGGAGCAATTTTATTTAAAAAAATTTCATTTCACCGTGATTTAGTTGATTGTAATAACTTAATTGTGATTTCTCGCCGCAGGTTGTCTATCAGTTGCTGCCTTGCATGGGATCGTCTTCTTCAAGAGCCACCCCTAGAATGGATGAGGCCAATCAAAACAATGAGAGAAACAATGACGCAGTACCTGAGCAAGACAACGAACAGGACTCAGATTTGGCCACTATTCTGCAGTTCCTAATCAGAAGGTTAATATTTTTCAAAGTCCCCAGATTTGAATCCTGTTATTATTAGAGTCATTTAAATGTATCTGAACCTGCTCGGCACTTTGCTGATGTCTGGTTTGTGCAAATTTTGTCCCAACTGCAGCCGTCAAATTCTGTGTCCTCTTTAGTGGCCAAATCCACATCATCACTGCGGAGCACGAAGAGACTGGTGGCGACGACGAACGAGCTCTGCCCCCGCCAAAAATCAACCATCAGCCCAACACCACCATTCTTGATGTAATAAATATTAATAGTGTTTTGATTTTCGTTTATATTAAAATTTTATGAAACTTGCAGAAGTGCGAATTCAGCATGAGGACCAAAATTGAGAGTGGTGTTTTCAAAGATGTCCCTGGCCCCAGCAAACCCAACTCCATCCCTCATTTGCTACAATGTCGAGAGGTAATTCGAATTTCATTTCATAAATGCATTAGAAATATTTTAAAACTTGTTTCAATTCCCAATTTAAATTTAGTTCCATGAAATATCAATTTTAAATTGAATGTTAATACTCGAGGGGGAATTCATGAAAAATTGAAACTGGGCAAACCTCGTAGAAAAGAAAAGGGGTCAGTTGTCTTTTATTTTATTTTTTTTTCTTTAGAACGATGTTTGCCCGGTTTCAATTTTTCAATATCACTTTTGAATTTAAAAAAAATAATCATTTACGACTTGAATATTGTTCAATTTAAATCAATTAAATTTGTGTATTTTTCAACTGTTTCAGTATGGAATGTTTGGGCAAAATAAGTTCTCCAACGGAGATCGGTGTAAAATTTTCAACAACTTTCTGCCCAACACCCTGGACCTTGTACAAAACTACCACAACAAAGCCTTCTGCGGCACCTACTCCAGACAAGGAGACTTCTTTCTTAGTGCTTGCCAAGGTTCGACTTCTGTTTTTTAACAAAAGTAATATCTCTCGACCAATTTTTTTACGTCAGATCGCAATTTGAGACTCTACGACACAAGCAATGGCCAGTTCAAACTTCTAAAAACAATCCAGGCAAGGGATGTTGGCTGGAGCATTTTGGACACGGCATTTAGTCCAGACGGAACTCACGTCGTCTACTCCAGTTGGTCCGAATGCAGTGAGTTTTAAATCTTGTTTTGTTTTAAAAAGTTCATGAAATCTCTTTTCAGTCCACATTGTCAACCTTTTTGGAGACACGGACAACCAAGAGGCTTTACCTTTGAGTCCCGATGACCGCCGCTTTTGCATTTTCTCGCTGGCATTTTCCAATGATGGCAACAAAATTCTTGGTGGGGGCAACGATGGCTACATTTACCTGTATGACAGAGATTGCCAGCAGCGGTGCCTCCGGGTAAAAATTCTTTTTAAAATTTTCCAAGATTTGTTTCACTTTGGAAATATAAATTCTGAAAATTTAAATGAAAAAAATGACACACAGTGAATTCAATTATTCAACATCAATTTATTGTCACTTTATAATTTTACAATAAAACTTTCAAATTTTTTGTAAAATATTTATGTTTTGGATCTTTTCAGATTGAAGGTCATGATGATGATGTAAACTCGGTAGCTTTTGCTGACAGTACCTCACAAATTCTGCACAGTGGTGGTGACGATGGACTTTGCAAGGTGAACTTTTTATTGAGAGATTCCTTCACTATTTTCACGTGTTAAATTTTGTTCGCAGGTTTGGGACACACGAACGCTGAATGAAAGCAATCCAAAGCCAGTGGGGATCTTGGCAGGACACATGGACGGAATCACATTCATCGATCCGAAGGGCGACAGTCGCCACTTGATCACCAATTGCAAGGACCAGTCCATCAAGCTGTGGGACATCAGGGTGTTCTCTCCAGAGCGAGGTCAGGACAACACAAAACAGGCAGTTATGGACCAAAACTGGGACTACCGGTGGCAACGAGTGCCAAAGAAACGTGAGTTTTATTGTCAAAATAAAAAAGATTTAAATTCTAATAAAAGAAAATCAGTTGTTAACCCGAGAACCAAGCTGGAGGGAGATACGTCGATCATGACCTACAGAGGCCACAGTGTTTTGCAGACACTGGTGCGGTGTCGCTTTTCACCAGCGGCCACCACCGGCCAAAGGTACATTTACACAGGCTGTGCTGCAGGAAGGGTCATCGGTAGGTTTATTTTAATTCTCGTGTTGTAAGAAAGAAATTTATGTTAGAAACTCATTTCAGTGTACGATTCCCTCACTGGTAAAATTGAAAGGACTCTCTCGGGTCACAGAGGCTGTGTAAGAGATGTTTCGTGGCATCCTTTCAACTCTGAGATTATTAGTACTTCGGTGAGTGAAAAAAAAATAATTACACCGTTGAACTGTATAACTTGCAAAAAATTTTGGTCAATTATTTTACTTGGAAAATAATTAAGTAATTATTTCTTAGTAGTCCTATTTTAAAAGCAAGACTCCTTCCTAATTACATTCTTTAAAGAACAAGAGGAAAAACTGAATAATTTTGCTTACATTTATAAAAAAAGTATCAGACACTTCATTAATAATTTAATCTGATTTTTACATTTTGATCAGTATTCTTTTTCTTTAATAACAGGATTTTACGTTGAACTTGCATTTCTTTTATTCTTTAATTTTGATCAAATTTTAAAATTCTCTTCCCAGTGGGATGGCTACTTAGGAAGATGGACCTACGAGGTGAGTGAGCAGTCCTTAGATGAACTGGCGGAAGTTGAGCCAGCCGCGTCTCCATCCCTTAGCCTGCCGAGGCGGAGTCAAAGACTGGTGCAGAAAATGTTGAACCAGCTGCCGAGCAGCATGAATGTGGACTAAGTTTGACCGACGTCTTAAAATGTCACAGCATCAAGAAGTTCTCTTGAGATGCACAATAGGGTAAACAGCATCACTCTTCCTTTCCCGAAACGAATGAGTGCGCAAGATTGACACCACCATTTATTTGAACGAGACGAATGCAAATAACCCAGCAAAGTATGTAATTTTAATGCACATTGGATTGTAAATCAGGAAATATAAGTGAACGAGTGTAATTTTTTATATTATGCGAAAGACTGGTGGTTGCTGATATGCAGAATAGTGCTCCCGTCAAATTTTTATTTTATTTTGAAAAATTGAGTGCACTGTCATAAATTTCAGTCACAAATGTTAGGACGAATTGATGATTTGTAAGTTCCTAAGATTGGTTTTAATGTGCCAGTGCACATTAATATTTTATTTTTTGCGTGATTGAGCCCACAAGGTGTTGGAAAAGTATTTGATTGCTACGAATTTTGAAATAATATCGTTTGGGCCTTAAAAATTAATGAAATTTACAGCAAGCTCTCAACAGAAATCAAAATCCTCATCACTGCACTCTTATTTGGCACGTGCAGTGTGAGAGCATTTTAGTCAATTTTCTAGAACCATGATGATGATAGCTGACAAATAATTAAAAAAAGATGCAATTATATTAATTAAAATATATTTCAGTTTAACTTGACGAAAAAGTGTGTTTCAATGTATTATTTTTTGTACGTGCAAAAAATGACGAAGCTAATAAAAATTAAATTATTATTATCCAAATTTAGATTTTTCCAAATAACATTGCCTTTTTATTCCTGAAGTTGAATTTTGATGTTACGTAACAGAAAAATGTGAGTCTACTTTTTTATACTTTTATCGCCGTTGAATGGAAACATTACTTCACAACCACGTGAGAAACCCTGTTGCCTCTGCCCCCGCCAGGAAAACATAGTATTGCGATGAAGAGACCCAAATTTGATTAGGAAGCCAGACTAAGTAAGTGCCTGGTCCGGACTGACTGACTGTGGGAGCTAAAAGGATTTGCGTGCTCATTTGCCTTTCATTTGCACAAAAAATTCTTCACACATTACCATCATTGTTGCTAAATATATGAAAGAAATTAATTAAATTTCATTTGGCATTTTGTATATTTTTTGGAAATATCTCCTTAAAGTAGTTGCGTTTTGTTTTTTCCTTTGAGTAACACCTTTTAGGGAAGTGAAAATGTAAAAATATGTTATTTTGAATCGTCAAGCAATTAATATAGCTATCAACATTTTTCGTAAGAGTTGAAAAATAATTGTAAATGTCTACACAACACGAGCTTCATTTCACCGGCGCCGTAACACAATTATAAAATTCGCTGGTGGCGAGCGAGTGCGTGAGTTGCGCCTTCGAAGCAGCGTTGGGGGGCCGCGGAGTCGCTGTCTGTGCCTCCTCCTGATCCAGTGCGAACGTTCGCCAATCTCTTCACGACCGGCGCTCAGGTCAGCAGCATCTTGCCACAGGCGGCCTATTTACTTCACAAGGAGAAAAATCAAAGGAGATGCCCAACGTTGAAGATATCGGCAGGAGGCGCTGCATCCCAATCATTCACACCAGGGGCACGCATTACGAAGTTGGATTTGATGTGGTCAGTGTTCATTTTTTCAAGCATAAAAAAAATGATTTTATTCGGAAATAATATAGAAAGAGCCATTCAGGCTTTAAAAACATCATGAGATTCTAATTATTGCAAATTGAATTATTTTTGGCCTCAATTTCTTGCTTGCTAATTACTTTTTGCTGGTGGAATACTTAATTTTTTTACAGTAATAGTTTGTTGCAAATTTTTAATGAAAAAAAAAATTAAAAAGAATCAAGGAATTTTCATTAAAAAAATTGATCACAGCTCTGGACAAATGACTGAATTTGGTAAAAAAAAACAATAAAGTTGTTATCGCGCCTTGTACATAATTGGGTCATTTTAGCTGTTTTATTTTACGAAAAAGTTAGAAGCGCCTTTATATTTTATAATTTATATAAATTCAAAAATTGCTTGCTTATTTTATTTTTTTCCTTCTTACCCTGTGCAAATTAAACAGGAAGATTTAAATAAATAAATAATAAGAATTACCTGTGACAAATGAAATTTGTGACAACATTTAAATAATTAAATCTATGATTCAGACTTTTTCATCAACACTCAATTTTATTTATCAACATGCACATATATCTGCGCGCAATAATTGTTAAAAATTAAGGTATTAGAGTGAAAATTCTGTTTAACAGTACACAATAGAGAAGGAATTTAATACATAATTTAGTAGTGGGTACAATTTTATGAGCTATTTAGATGACTTTAATAATGGTAAGACTTCAATTAAAGGCTTTGTGCAAATGTTAAATATTTTAATCTGTTGAACCATAGATCTGATAATACTTTTTACTGTGTTGTACTATAATTTCAATTTATTGCTGCTCTGCCAAGAGTCATATTCTGTGCAAACAAAATCCGTATCTCTCGGCTACATTTGTTTGTGCTCACATTAATTCAGGCTCTATAGTGTCTGTTTTTTTATTGGGCGGTGAGTCAATAAGTTGCCAAATTTTATGGCATCTCATTTGAATCAAAAGAGAGTCAAAGCAGAAAATCTACTATAGTGAATTTTTTATTAAATCAATTTATTTTTTAATTCAAATATTTCATACAGAAAAGAGACCAAACTAAATTGATATAGTTTATTTTTTTCTCCTAGAAATATATCTATTCTGATAGTGAGAGTTTTGAAAGCTTTATTAATTCCAAAAGCGTTCATGTTTGTTTGGTCAACCCAGCATGTAACGCAACAGGCTCTCTTAAATGGAACATTTGTTGGCAAAATAGGGAAAAACACTATACTATTTTCAATTTTGTAAAATTCTCAGCATGCGTTGCGATGCAAACTAACTTAATGATTTATGTTTGGTCTCCTTTTAATAACACTTTCGACTAGAGATTTCCTCTGACTAGACTCACGTGAGAAGAATTTCATAAACAACACATTTGTTTAAAAAGTTCTCACGCTTAAATCTAACATTAAATTTCCTAATGGCCAAGAAAATGCCTGTTCTAGATATTTATACATAGCAAAAGTATGCTTTTATATTTGATAACAAGAATAGTTAACAAATTCTTTAGAAAGTCCAAAAATTTGAGCAAATTTATTAAAAATTTATTAATTACAAGCACTAATTACCTTATTAGGAGCACAATATATTTTTTTAATAAGGACCCATTTTTCTTAAGAAAATCATTATTTTATTTCGATGAACAAATAAATTTTACTTGGGGAAAACACACCAGAACTTGATTGGCCACTTTTTTATAATAGAAGAGAGGTGTGACTTACAAAACCTGTCTACTTGCGCATTAGGAGTCGGTGAATTGAAGCATTTATATAATTGCAAAAAAAGGAGAGAGAAAACACTAGTTGTGTTTAAAATAAAATAAAATAAAATACAGTATTTTTTTTTACAACGCTTAATTGGAATTTCCCAATGATTACAGAAATTTCTAACATTTTCTATATTAGTTACTTCGTAGGTTGTATTATTGGAAAAAACTTAACAAACAAGCTTAATTTAGATTTTATTTTTATTCCTCTCCTTCGCCGTTAATGTCATTAAATTCAGATGCAAAAAAGTTATTAGAATTCTCAATGCACGCCCTCACATATCAGCCAAAAGAGGCCCGACGGTGCTCGATTTTCGCCCTCACAACCCACAAGGGCTTGCACTTTGCGTGCTTCGACAGCTTAAATAATTTTTCGTATTTAAAGCTCGTTGCTGAAATGGGTCACATTTATTGTATCTCAGTTTTTGATAATTTTATTTAAAACTCATATTTTCCATTTGCAGGGACGGACGTTCCGGGGTTTAATCCAGAACTTCGTGGGCATCTCAAAGCCGCTGAACCAGGTTTTCATTCCGCTGTACAACACGGAAGCTGGGCGCCGCGTCTACGAAACCACGCTCAAAAGCGTCCGCAGCAATTTCCCGCAGTACGTGAGGGAACTCGAGGGCACAGCCGAGGGAGCCCAAGTGCCCTTCTATAAGGTCAGATATCAAATAATAATAATAATAATAAAATAGGCTCCGAAATTTCAAATGAGAGCAATTAGAGCAATATTAAATATTTTTTTCATAAATTTTGAGTTAAATATAAGAATTTTTTATGTTCCAAACTAAAACAGCGTCATTGATTGATTTAAGTTAAATTTCAGAGCAATATAAAAAATATGAATATAAAATTTAAAAAAACACTTTCTCTGGTTTTCTTATAAAATTTTTTTGTTTTATTGCGTACAAACTATAACGCGCTTTGTATTAAAACTTTAATAGATCAAAATTTATTGATTTTTTTTAGCTGTTCCTACTGCACATGGATGACATTCTGCCCAACGCAATCCACGGAAAAGGCAAAAATGATGGAACAGGTTGTTCGACCATCGTTTGCAACCAGCCTGGTCATGTAAGTTCTACACAAGGAAGGCTGATTCAAAATCTGGCACATAAATTATCATCTCAAGCAGCGATTTCAAGGATAATTGAGGCGTGAATAAATGTAACAAAAGTAACTAAGCAATTAAGCATGTAAAGGTAGGTTAGGGACTTCCTCGCACGCGCGCGTTTAAAAAACGAAAGGAGGAAGAAAATAGCTGGGAGATTTTAATATAATAATTTACACGAAAGCTGTTTTTAATTCTCTTTAATGCTTGAGAGCGTTTTATTCTAAAAGAGTGACAGGGGCCGGGCCTTACCGGTGCTCGGTGCTTACAATTGTAATAAAAGTAAAATTCTCGCTCAGCAGATAAGCTTGTAAGGTCAACCAGAGATTTAGGGGACTTTTGAACAACCTTGCTTTGAGTGCTTCAATTACAACAAAACACGCATGGGATACTCATTTGTTACATTATTTTTTTTTTTTTAACTCTCCAACCTCCCTGCCATAAATTTTTGCAGTGCAGATACAATTTTTTCATTGGCCTCACAGTCAGAAGTGATCTTAAATACAAGGAAACGCCTAACACCTTGTTAAATTAAAACTTTTTGTTTGAATCTTTTTTTTTCTTTTTAATTTTTCAAAATAAACATACAATATTTATCATTATTATTTAAAATTTCTTTTTTATAATTTTTAAATTATAACATTAACTTTTTTAATTCAATAAAACTTTCAATTAGTAATTATGTTTAAACATAATTTAAGCAGTATTATATAAAATACAGTTTTGATGCAAATTTTCTAATGTAGCAATTGGACAAATAAATAAACAATAAATAATTAATTGTGTTCAGGAAATCTTGGGCCACACAGAAGACGCTCTGCCAGAAGTTCTGAACCACATTTACTTAGTGTCCGCCCACATCACCCCAGAGTCCCCTCAGGGCAGGTGGAAGGTGTCCGAGGAAAAGTATACGTCCTTGTGCTACGCCGGCCACTTGCCTGGCTTCACCATGGGCTACAACCACCACGGCCTGGTCTTCTCTGTCAACGTGCTCAACGCGGCAAAGTTGGTTCCTGGCAAAACTCGTAAGCACCAGAAAAGCTTGAAAATATAATTTTCAAGATACTAAACTATTATACACTTAAAAGCCAAATCAAAATTTAAAAAAAAATATATATAATAATTAAAAAGTTATATTACAAAAATTATAACTTGAAACAGTTTAAAAATGTGATTCTCCCAAAATAAATAATATCAGCAAACACCAGCTTTCCTTTTTTCTATGTTTTCTATGACTTATTGTCAGGGCATTTTAATAAAAGTATGTTTTTTTATTTAAATTTGCAGCGCGGCACTTCTTGACTCGAGCCCTCTTGGGCGCCGAGACCTTTGTAGACGTGCAGCAGATCCTGCAGGACACGGGCTGTGGTTCTGGTGATGCTGTCAGCATCAACCTGACCTTCCTCAATCAAGAGGGTGATCGAATGTTCCACAACGCAGAAGTTGGGCCCGCACTGGGCCAGACGAATCAGAGCAATCTGAACATTCTCAACATTAGCCCCGGTGAATCAATCTTTCATTGCAACAAGTACGAAAGCAATTTTTATTTTAAATAAAATTTCATTCCCAATGAAAACCATCCTGGCAAATTTGGCCAGTTTTCAAGTTGGGATATATATAATTTTTTTTTTTTTTTAAATTTGAAACTGATGATCAAACATTGTATTAAAAAACTTTCCATTTTAGGTTCCTCCGTCTGCCTGTTGAGGAGGCAGAAGGTCTGGGGGTGACCTCAAGCAACCACCGACACGACACCCACCAGCAACTGTCACAGGCCAACACCAAACAGGGAGTAATTAAAGTGCTGGGCGACCAGTCGGACAACAAATGGCCAATCTACAGAGAGGGACACGGCGAGGACTTTGTCAAGACCGTGGCCGTCGGGATTTTTGACGTTGTCGAGAAGACGTGGGAACTTTACACTGAGAACCCAAAAATCAGCAGCCCGGTGGTGGTTCTGCCGCTGGAGCTCAAGAGCAACAACTAAAGAAAAGAAATATTTCCCTTAAAGCTGCTAGAAGAAAATTAGATAAGTCTGTAGAGTTGATATTTTGTCCACTGTTGAATTTTTTTTAACAATTTTGAAATCATACAAATGCTTCACATGTTAGCAAAAATAAAATTGGCAATGTTATCTGCAAATTTAATAATGGAGATTTATTTACTTAAATTATTATTATATAGACTTAGATAGAACCAAATTATTTAAAATTTGAAGTTTTTGCAAAAAAAAAAGAGAGGGGAAACTGATTCTTTCGAAGAATTGGAATTTATACAGGGGCGGAAGGAGTGGAACTTGAGTCCCAGAACCGGCGTCGGCAGTGACCTGGCCTCCAGGAGGTTTCAGGAAACGCGTCATAGGCTCTCAGGTTGGAGAGAAATGGCTCAAGACTCAAGTGAGGTCGGCCGTCGCACTTTTACAGCGAGACGGCTTTAACGAGCTCATCCACCTCCCATCGGAGGTCCAGGAAGGCTGCTGATGGTGCCAAAACCTCCCGTTCTTCTCGTTGGCGGTCTCGGCGGGCTAAAAATTATTTAAACAAATTAACAGTTAAGAAATTTGTCCCTAAATTAAATCAACTCACCCTCCACCTGGAGGTTTGTGGTCTCTTGAGTACTGTTTATTTCCATCGTCAAGCCTGTTCAATTTAGGGTTGAACAATGTTCTGAAACTGAAACGAATTTATCATTGGAGTTTTTATTAACGAATAAAATTCTTTTTACTTACAATAGGACAATGAAGTTGATGAAGCCCCAAAACCAGTCAACCCAGGTAGAGAGTTGCCAGGGTGATTTGCTGCCACCGAGAGTGCCTCCTGCAGAATATTAGATCAAATTACTATTTATTTACTAAAAAAAAATTACAATAAATAAAAAAAACTTTCAGCAAAAAATAAATACCAACGGAACCTTAAAAAATAATGTTATTATAAAATATTTAATTATAATTTAATATGTATTTAATTATAATTTAATATGTAAGATTTAAAAAAAAAAACTCCGTATTTGTAGATAAATTGACGAAAATTGCAACGTTTTTTTATTTTTAAAAATTGAATGACGTCTGCTAAATGCGGTCAAATAATTACCGCAGAGGCAGAGACTGTCATGTGATTTCAATTGTATCTATTTATGTTTTGTATTTAGCGACAGGAAAGACGTCAATGCAGATTTAGTGTGGCCGATGTGGAAAAATCGCGACAACGAACCAGGAAATTCAGCAAAAATTTAAAGCACTTTGGCTAGAGGAAAGACGTGAGTGACCCACTTTTGAATTAAATACGAAACTCAAAAGAATTCGCGATTTTGAAACTATATTTCATTTCCTTACCCGACGACACGTAGACCATGGTTTGCGCTCTAGAAACTCACGTTCCTTCTTGAATCGTTCCTCGATTTCTGTGGAGAATCAATTTCAATGTCAACGGGTTTGCGATCAAGAGGAAATAAAACTACCTTAGGATGACGTCGAGGAAAAGGCTAGAAACTGCAAGAATTTCAATAGTGTTTTTATCGAATGAAAAAAATATCAACAGTCATTTAGGGGGCGTGGCGAATGTGACGTCGAAAAGTCCGAATACCTCCTAGAATTATATCGTCGCAAGGCGCGAAAGCACACGCTTGGAATCGGAGATAATGCAAACACGCTTAATAAAAGAATTATTTATTATTTGCTAATTTGTACTGATTTGTACGTCTGCTGCATTAAGGGTTTTTTAAGGATAATAACAAAAGTACCATTTTATGTTCGCTTAGCCTCAATATTATAAAGCAAATTTAATAAATGCATGTTGTTATATTATAAAAGCTTTTTCGTATTACAAAATAAACACTTCATTATTAATTTGAATTCAAAATTATATCATATTTTAAAATTATAAATGTAATAATTAAAAATAATAACATTATCAATATAATAATCAGTATAATTTAATGCTCGTATAGTGCAAAGTAGTAAGTTAAAATTACAACTTCATTTAACATACAATTTTGTTTTTTAAACTCTGCTGCTTTTTGCATTTATATTGAAATATTATATTATACAAAAAGGAATGATTTTTCTAGAATTCTTTTCCATTGAACTCCTATATTTGCGTCTCATATTTAAATTTGTTTGATAAAAATTCAAACGCGCGCGCATGTGTCACGACATTAAAATTAACAACACCAATTCCAACGAGGAGTCAATTAATGTTTGCTAATCTCTCTGTGAGTCAAAGGTCAAAAGTTAAACTTGATTTGTCTTTAGTGTTCGTCAGACGGACATCGTTCGTCTTATGAGAAGAAAGTACGCTTATTCTATTATTAAACCCAATAATATTTTTCCCCTGTTCTCAATTTAAAACATTTTTTAAATTTTAATTATTTTATTCTTTTTGTATTTCCAGTTCAATAATGAAGACCTTGTTGGTTTTCCAAATTTTCGTGTCGGCTGCTTTCGGCTGGAGGGTTTTCCACCTTGGAAAGTTCTGGGGGCCTAAGACGCCCGTGCAACCTGCGTCGTCATTCCCAGACCTATGGTTTGACCAAAAACTGGACCATTTTGACCCAACAAACTCTGAAACATGGAAACAGGTTTATTAAATTTTTCTTTCTTTCATAATTAAAACAATAATAAAACTTTCAGCGCTACTTTGTGAACGACAATTACTATGAAAAGGGCGGCCCGGTTTTCCTTATGATTGGAGGCGAGGGCAAAGCTGACCCCATCTGGATGGAGCAGGGCATGTGGGTCGAGTACGCCAAACAGTTCAAAGCACTCTGCTTCCAAGTGGAACACCGATTTTATGGAAAAAGTCATCCAACAAAGTATTCAAAAATAGAAATTAAGTTATATACAAATAAATTAATTTATTTGCGTCTCCATTTCTTTTCCAGGGACATGAGCGTGAAAAATTTGGTGTATTTGAGCAGCGAGCAGGCGTTGGCGGATTTGTCGTTTTTCATCAGGAGCATGAACAAAAAATATTCACTGTCCAAAAGGGTGCAGTGGGTGACCTTTGGGGGTTCCTACCCTGGCTCACTGTCGGCGTGGATGAGGCTCAAGTATCCACATTTGGTGCACGCCGCTGTTTCTGCAAGTGGACCTCTTTTGGCCGTTGCTGATTTCAGTGGCAAGTATTATAATTAAATTGAAAAGTTTCTTCATAAATTTATTTAAAAAAAAATATGATAAATAATAAACATGAATCAAAACTTCTTTATTTATTAATTTATTTTATTTTTGTTGAATAAATATTAAGTTTTAATTTTTTTGCTTATAAAAATATAATATTTAAAGAATTTATATTATAATTGCTTTATTGCCTTTAAGAAGCAAAAAAGCATAAATTTAATGTGTGGTCATTTATTTAAAGGTTTACGTTTAACAATTGCTGAGATTGCATTGATCCACTTCATCAGTGATTTCTTTTTAAAATTGTCCTGGTTTTCTGTATATATAATAAACTTATTAAATTAAAATAACAGAATACATGAGGGTGGTGCGAGATTCCTTGGCAACACACAGTGAAGAGTGCGTGACCTCTGTTCAAGAGGCCAACAGACAACTGGACATTTTGCTCAGACACAGAATCGGTCAACAAAAAGTAGACAAATTATTCAAGTAAGATTTTTTAATTGTATTAAGTTTTAACTGAAATGAATTAAAGAAATAAAATCCTGAACATTTCAATTATTTAAAAAAATGATCGTATTAAATAAAAAAAAAAAATATTACATTATTTTCAAAAGTAAATTTCAAATATTTTAATATTTACTTTTACTTATTTGAATTAATTTAAAAAATTTGTATTTTGTCTCTCTCAGTTTGTGTGACACGGTGGTGGACGTGTCAAAGAACGACATTTCAAACCTTTACGAGAACTTGGCCGGCAACTTCGCGGGGGTCGTGCAGTATAACAAGGACAATCGGCTGTTTGAAGGCGCCAAGGACGCCAACATCACGATCGACGTCGTCTGCGATGTCATGACCAACAGCAGCATCGGCTCGGCCATCACCAGGTACGCTGCGGTCAACGACCTTTTGCTCAAGACCTACGAGCAAAAGTGCCTGGACTACAAATACGACAACATGATCAAGGGCTATCAAAATGTCTCTTGGGATTCTTCAACTGCCGCTGGAGGTATATTAAATGGGCAATTAAATTATTGTTTAATTTATATTTTTTAATAAATTGTTTTAGAATAAATTATTTTGATGGCTGAAATTGCACACATATTTACTATAAACTGCGTTTAGACATTATTATTTTTTAATTTAAAAATTCATATAAATTTATAAAAATTATTTTCTATTTTTTTCTTTTAGTATAAACTTTTTTTTCGTTCTTGTTAGATAAGTTGAAATAACTTTCTTTGACTAGTGATCTTGATTTTTCCTCATAATCCTAATGAAAGTTGGAAATCCACAAAGGCCACATTTTTTATTCCAACCCACACTTGAACCTGATCGATTTTCTTTAAAATTTCTTACATACGTTTTCTAATCTAATCAAAGGTCGTCAGTGGATGTACCAAACGTGCACCGAGTTTGGTTTCTACCAGACCTCAACGCAGCCGACCCAACCTTTCGGAAATCAATTCCCGCTCGATTTCTTCATCCAGCAGTGCTCTGACATTTATGGCCCCAGGTGAGAAAATCAAAAACCTTTCTTTATATGCGGTCGATTCATCTATTCAAATGCACACAAAAGTTTTTTTGTGCAACGCTTTCCCTATTATGCAGACAAAGATGAGGAGAAATCATTTTCGCGCGAATTCAATTCACTGTCAAGGCTATTTGATGATTTATGATCTTGCCGTAAAATAATTATTTTATAGTGCTGGGAATTTTTAAGGAAAACCCTAAATTAGTCAATTTAGCACTTTTTTATTATTATAATCCGAGCATGAATTATTATTGCTTCTTGCAATTTCTGAAGGTGCGAATAGGATTTCGCGCACCGGAAATTTCTCCAATAAACAATTAGATTACCAAATTATAGGAAGTTGCAAACAAATGTGGTCAGGAATGACACATAAAACGATATAAATTTTGCCCAAGGATTATAAAATAAACACCAGGTTTACAATTTAAGCCAAAAATTACTTCCCGTCAGCTTACAAGGACTATTCCGGTGCTTTTTTTTATCTCTAAAATTATGAAATGACGCGCATGCAGTGTTTTTATTCAACAGTCATATTAAGGAGATATTATGAAATAATTAGTTTTTTATTCATGCGCTATATACTGACATGCTAACTTAATTAGCTATGCAGCAATGCAAAATAATGACTTACAAATTCAGAAAACAAATTATGTGAGTCTCTGGCTAGTTTCTTTTTATTATGCTATTAAGATTTGAAATAAAGACTTATTTTATTTTTGTATAAAATAATTTGACATTTATGTTTAAAATTAATGCAAGATAAGAACATTCGCACTGTTGAATTTATAGGTGAGTATAATGAAGCATATTATAATTCTTTTACTTAGAAAATAGGCATAAATAAATATTAATGATTTCATAAAGTATTTTTTAGGTTTAATTATTAAAAAGCGTATGGTTCATACATTCTATGAAAATATGAATTAAAATAAAATTTTGCAAAAATTAAAATATCATACACATTTAAAATAATAAATTTAAAAAATAAAAAAATAGTTCAATAATAGAGAATTTATTATTTTGTCAAATATTTTAGAATTAAAAACGTTTAAAGTTGTACAAAAAGGAGTCTGTTTTTATAAAAAATAAACAAACGGTGTCCATATACATATATTAATTAACTGTAGTAAATCGCTCCAGATATGATTTGAGCATGGTCTGAATATTTGGAATTTAATCGTGCGCTCGAGATCGAATATATGGACGTTCTCATGCGATTAATCTGGCTGATAAATCACTTTGGCGCATTCCCTCAGGTACAACAAGGAGCTGCTGTCGAGTGGCATTTTGCGGACGAACGTGATGTACGGTGCCCTGCAGGTGGAAGTGAATCGCGTTGTCTTCGTGCACGGCTCGATCGACCCGTGGCACGCCCTGGGCATCACCAAATCGGACAACAATGACGCGCCCGCCATATACATAAATGGTAATCTTGCGAATTTCATCTAAACAGCAACCGCGTGACCCACAAACATTTTTAATATCCGCCACCTCAAATAAATCGCTTGCCTGAAATTAATAAATAATAAAGGGGGCAATTAAAAAGTAGCACCAACATATACAAATGGGTTTCCTATTGAACAATTAAAAAATAATGGTAAATATTAAAGCTTCTAAAATTAAGAATGGAATTTCTATTCAAAGGATTTTATTAAAATTTCTTGGATTTTTTCCAAAATGCGATTGAACAATTGAGAAAGAAATTCTAACTTGGATAGAAGTTTGATTTTTTGAGGGGAATTAAATTTGTTAGTAATAAAAATTATCAATCTATGTTTAATAAACTCAATTTTTAAATTAATTTTATTCAGGAACCGCTCACTGCGCCAACATGTACCCCGAGTCGAGTGCTGACCCGCCGCAGTTGACTGCTGCGCGGCACAGTATCACCGGCCTGCTGGCCCAGTGGCTTCAACCTTCATCCAGGTCTGTGCGCTTCCGTCCCATGTAACTCCAACAAGAGTGAAAGTCCTGCTCTTTTTCATGAATTTTATCGGTAGTCTTTTTATGGTAAAACATCTTATGATTTTCTCACAATAATATTAAAATACAGATCTGAAGGGGATTAGCGTCTTGGGCGATTCGCAGCTCGTGGGATTTGAAAAGAGCATTATTTTATTGTCTTCGGTATTTTTTATGATGGCACTTTCACGCGTTACTCTCTCAGCTTTTTGCTTGTAATTCGATTATGCTTTAAGGGCAAATCGTGGTTTGTCCCATAGCAAAGGCGAAAGTGAAATTTTTAAGCTCTCTGTTGTAAAACAATAAAAATATATTATTATTTTTCAGAAATATATAAATGAGTGTTTATCTGCTTCTCCTTATTTGGTTAATATACTTCTTGATTTATATCTTGATTGATAGGGATTATAAATGAAATAACACACAAGAGGATTACACATCTCATACAACCTTATATTTAGAACTTAAGAAATTACATGTACAAATTAGTATAGACAAGAATTATCGTATTCCACCTGTGGGTATAATGCTGTTTGTCTATGATTCAATTCTTCTCTCAAAAGACTTAATACATTAGGTACGCTTCTTCTGGATTATAAAAACTAATAACACGCACACGTCGTCGTCGTTTTCACAAGAAAATCCTCACGCACACCCATTCACATCTATATATTTAGCACTCGCGTCAATCCAAAACTAGCCGTTTCGGATTCGCATATATTTTATTAGAAAAATATTATCGGAATTTAAATAGCGTTTTTTTTCATATTGAAAGTAAAAATCATATAAATTTTCCGTCTCACTTATTGCAAAAGTACATAGAGATGAGTCGCATTAACCTTACCATGAACAGAACGCAGTCTTTTTATGGCATGGTCAAGGAACTCATCGCTCAAAAAAATAGAGCACCTCGAAGAAAAATAAATTTGGCTTGGATTTTATTTTATTTAATTTAACGAGCCCCGAGTTTATTTGAGAGATTTTATCGTTTTGTTTCTAACGGGGTGATTTTGTTCAAATTTTATTCTAATATCTATTCTTGGGCTTGACGTTGGCGCGTCCGTTCCTCCAGTCGCCGTCCGGGTGGTGGCTGTGGTGGTGGTGGTGCCTCCTCTTGTTGTCGACGATAATCTCGGCCGAGTCGCGGTTGCGGCCGAAGGTCTCGTCGTCTTTCCTCTTGACCTTGCCGTGGGCGACGCCGCCCTCCTGCAGGTTCTCCCAGGCTTGCTTGTAGTAGCGGTTGAGGCCGCCGCGGCTCTCGGAGCCGGAAGAGTCGTACGAGGCGACTGTGTGGCTGTCGGGGGACGCTCGGTGCCGGAAGTGCTTAGCCGTGCGATTTCTGCTTTGGGGGAAAGAGAGAAAAGGGTTAAGCCGTGCAGACAACACAAAAGAATAAGAGGAGGATCTCGACAAAAAGCAAAAGAATAAAAATGAACATGAACACAAGTTTTACACGAACAATTATAAAGCAAGCAAACTCGCATCCCCCATGCACCCCCCTGCACATGTAACAGGCGTGAGGTTATTGACAAAAAAAGTTGCTCTTCGGAAAGGGTGATGTGCGACGACAGAGGAAACAGTTCTATATATTTGTGCTACCAGCGGACAGAGAGGACTTCTTTTTCCCAAGACAACATTCGCAATTTGCGATTTTGATTTTTTATTCTAATTTATCAGGTGCTTTTGTGATTGAAAAGATTGGAATGATTTATATACGTGCCACCAAATTTTTAAATAAACCAAAGTGCGCATTATTTTTTTGTTTTTTTAAGAATCGCAAATTGCAAAAAGGGCCAATTTTACTGAGTTTTTGTTTTGTCACTATATTTTACCTTTATATTATGGCACTTGATTGGGTATCTTTCGTTAATTGTGCGTTAGTCTCGGACTTAGATAGGGTTTGAGAAGTAGCCTGCCCTACTTCGATAGCCCCTAATAAACTCCCGGCGCCCAACTTGTTGGTCAGGGAAAGGCAGGGCCAAAAGCGTGGGGTACCAGCTAGGTGGCAACTTGCGAGAGGGTGGGGGAGGGAGTTTGCTTTGCGTCCCACTAGAACAACATGATGAGATGATGTGTCAGAAAAACAAAAATTGTTGATTGAATTTTTTTCACTTGAGACTGCTGTGTGTATGGAGAAAAAAAATTAATAAAAAATGAGCACGTGAGCCACAGTAATAAAAGAAAATTTGTCGAACCTCTAAACACCCGCTTGTCTTTCACAAAAACTACAAAGCGTAATAAGGACCTACCTCTTGACGAGGATCACAATTGTGGTGATGATTGCAGCAAGGAAGACGAAGCCTCCGAAAACTCCAAGGGCAATGATGGCGCCTGCAATAAAAAAATTAAACTCTTTTCATCGCAAAACTTTGTTGAAAAAATTACCAAGATTAAGTCTTGGGCTTCCATCTCTGATTCTTTCCTCCTCAACGGAGCTTGGCACATTGGCGTTGGGGTTGTTTCCGTTTCTGATGTTGACGTCAGGGATTTCATTGTCTCCAGGATAAGGTTCGACTTCAGGTGCGTTGTCAGTGGTCGGAGGTGCTGGGGGTCTTCGGACAGGGGTGGTGGACGGCCGGAGGGTGGGGAGGATGGCAGGGCGGCTGAAACCAGCGCCAGGCTTGGCCACATACACGTTCTGGTTGCCAGATCCGGCAGGGGCATTTGCAGAGGCATCGACTAATTAAAAAAAAATTTAACAAAAATTAGATATTAAATTAAGAGAGGTAAAAATACCCTCGCAGCGGGGTGGAGGTCCATTCCATCTCTCATCAACGTCGCACAGGAGGTCGGCCTTTCCAGCAAGTCTGAAGCCAGGGTTGCAGGAGTAGACAACCTGGCTGAGGTATCCGACAGTGCCGTTGATCAGGTGGTACCTTCCGTTTGAAATCTCGGCAGGAAGGCCACAGTGGATACCTGGAATTAATTTTCTAAATTACCTGAATTTGCTAAAAAAATTAATAAATTACGTTTGCAGACGGGAGGGAATTCGTTGTAGAAGCCTGTGGGGAGGCAAGTTCTGGAGGGAGGTCCGACCAGGAGGTGTCCGTCGTCGCAAGTGTATTCAACGGTGGAGGCCACGTTGAAGTTGGGGGACACCATGGTCGAGTTCGGGGGTTGTTCGGGTCTGCCACAAGCCTTGGGCTCTGAAATTAATATAAATATCCCAAATTCATAAATTTATTCATTTTTATTTTACTGCTAAATTTTGTGCAAAAATATTGCTAATGTTTTGGCAAAAAAAAAAAATATTCCAATAAGGTACACACAAATTTGATTTATATTGTTTCTTATTAAAAAGGAGATTTTTGTGCAAATTTTTCAAATAGAATAATTTGCTTTATTTAATTTCTGTTTTTCCAATTTTAAAAATCAATACTTACGGTGTTGGCAGATGTAGTTGAGTTTGGCGTTGCAATTGGTGTCCGACCAGAGCCACCCCTTGGCGCCATCGAATCGCGAACAGTCTTCGTTGCCGCCGGGCAGGTTCCAGAAGGAAACGGTCACGTCGTCGCCGTTGATCCACTTCCAGTTGTTGCGGTCCTCAGGGTCGCGCACGGCACCCATCCAGTACTGGCCGTTGGTGTCGGAGCGGTGGCGGCGCCACAACTCCCAACTGATGAAGCCCTGCAGGGCGGGGTTGCTTTCGTCAACGAGGGTGCCGCCGCGGCTGCGACAAAGGGCGGTCGCCTCGCGGAACGTCTGCGGCTGCCGGTTGTAGAAGATGTAGCACTTGCCGTTGTAGGTCGCGGTGCTGCCTGGGGGCTGGTCGCGGAATTGGGGACAACGCTCAATTGGCAGAGCCTGGTAGCAGAAGTAAATTTTTTAGTTTTTAATCTAAAATTGTATTTTTTAGTATGAAGGATTTGTTTATAGAATTATTCATGGCATTGTTTAATCCAATTATAAAAAAAAAATCGAAATTCGTCAACCATTTATTTACATTTTTTGTAAAGAGTACAATTATGACACTGTGGATGTTAGAGAAATAAATATACATATATTTGTCTATAAATTCTACAATGCAATTCAAAACTACCGCAAACTGCTTCCTTATTATAAAATTTATGTACATGATGTTTAAAAATTTTATGTTTTCAATTTTTTATAATAAAAATATTAAATTAAAAATTCGTAAGAAATATATATAATAACATTTAAATAAAGTAATACATTGAAAAAATTAATGTATTGTTCATTTAACATAAAAATTGAAAGTAAATTACCTGGTCAGTATAAACAAAAGCTTCGCAGATCGAAAGAGCGGCCGGTGAAGATGCCTCGAGGTGGACGCTGACGAATGCGCCGGGCATGGGCGGGTTGCAAGGCAAGAAGAGTGGTTTGCCCTCTTCAAGGAAGCCGTTGAAACGGTTGCAGATGGGATTGGTGGCCAAGTCAGGTCGGTTGTTGCCAACGCGCACCACTATGCTGGCAGGCTGGTTATCGTCTAAGAAAATGAAACAAAAATTTTATACAAAATGCCTGGCAACACAATTTTTAAACAAATTTCAGCGTTTAATGGTTTTGAAAGATTTTGATTTTATTTAATCTATTTTTAATAAGCTTTTGGAAATTCGGATTTATTTTAATTTGAATATTTAAATTTTTAACACTTACTGCAGCAGGACTTTCCAAAGTCGAGGCGCACCAGCTGCACCATGTAGGGCTCGAGCAGGTTGACATACCACCATGCAGCACGTTCCGGCGCCGTCAGGGAACACGTTTCGGCGTTGTAGAACGAGCTGGTGCTTCCGTCGATGGCCTTTTGCGGGATACCACCCTGGTCGGTACTGATCTGCATAGGCGCCTTTCCAGCGGCCACGTTCAGAACTGCAAAAACATAATAAATTTGATTTTAATTTTTGAATTGAAGTCACTAAAGAAATCAAAATTAATTCATCTTTGTAATGCATTAATGTGAAAATTTGATTGTTTTGAATTTTCTGGAAAATAAATTTAACCAATTCTAGAATCAAATCTCATGATATTTAAAAATAAACTTAATTACAGCTTTAATATAAAAATAAACTACTATAATTTTTAGATTATTAAAAAAAAAACTGCATGTGAATCAAGTATAGCTATACAAGATCAGCGAGATGGAACAGAATGGTGCCCTATTTCTAAAGCCATAAATACAACTTTGCTGCTCAAATCCACAAATATTATGAACTTTTTTGCAAAATTCGTGCGGAGCAAAGAGAAGCGAATATTTATCCGCTCCATGGTTTTTGGGTGGCTACGGCGGAGTAGCGGTTCCTCGCAGTAATTATTTGCGTAAAAAGAGGTATTAAGAAATATTTAGCATATCCGTTACAAAGCTCTCTTCTTGCTTCTTGCGTTGCCAAGAATTAAAAAAAAGTGACCTATAGTGGCTTGCTATAGTTTTTGGAGCAATTATTACCAAAAAAATATATAAAAAATTGTCATGTTACATAAGAAAAGTGCCCGCAGCAAAAGATGACGAAGGAGCAATGAAAAAGATTCCTGCGGTTGCGGTCTTTCTTTAATATATTTCTTCAAACACCAATTCCTGCTACTCGATCGCTTTCTTCTATTCCAAACCCACCAAGAAAAATCGACCCATTACATTTTTTCGATTAATCTTCGGCGATAAGACTGAAATCGGAGCCGTACTTTTGAGGTATTAAAAGAAGTCTTCCATCATTTGTCCCATAAATAATCCGGCTCGGAATTTTTCTGTTCACGCTGCAGGTAACCCACTTACGAAACGCACTCCCTTGCAGCCGGAACTGTCATTAGTCACTGCGCTGTATATACATAAAAGTGACATTAGATTCCAGCAGAAATCATTGTTTCGAGAAAATAATACGCGCACAAGGAGGAGGAAACACGAGACATTAAGTATTACAATCGCAATCAAGAGGCTACTATGGATCAGTCACACTTTCCATTTTAAAATTTCCTCCGAAAGAAAACAAATAACGACAATGACACAATTTTTCATTAATAATTCTATCGCCGTGGATTTTTTTTTTGTTGATTAAGGCGTGAGTAGATAATCGCGGCGAATGAAACAAAATTGTTGCCTTCGCAAATGAGGCAAATCGGATATTAACAATAAACAAAGCTTCTTGCTCAACAAAGGATGTACACTCACTTAAAGTGCAATCTTTGGTTATTTTGCAAGAAAATCGAAGGCCGGCACCGATATTATATGCGGCTTGGGAAATAAAGTAATAAAGGCGGCGTGTTCGTATAACAGCAGACGCCACTCACCAAGAAGTCTTGTTTCTTTTTTTTAAGCGAACCTATAACAGAAAAGTAGATCAGCCTCTTCCTTTTCTCAAAGAAGAAGCGGCAGCATCTCGTTCTTTCCTTTTATCTTTCGGTTCAATGCAGCACTTCGGAAGCAGGTGGCAAAATTATCGGTCGTGCTTACATTCCCACCAAAATGAATTTATTTATTGCACCTCGCTTGATTGTTGTTATTATATTGTTCATTTGCATAATACACGAGTCGGCGGGTCGATAATTGGAAGGGAAACCTATTTCCCAGCGTACCCTAATAGCCTACTGAATTTTCGACAAAAACTCTCCGCGTGGGAACATTTCGCACCGTCAATCCTTATCGCATATCCTACACACATTTTTTTCCATCCGAATACTTTGACTTATGTCACTTGTGAATTTTCATTGCGTCGTGAGTCGTGAAATGATATAGAAAAAAAATTTCGTTTTTGCATTGCAGTTTCTTATTTCCAGATCATAGAACACAGATCAGCGCCTGAGTGAACCGTCTCGGCAGACAGGAAAATTTAATATGACGAGATGCTGTACACGGATAGGAAAACAATCCTCTCTGCCCCAATTATGACCAACAAAAACGAAATGGATTCATTGAGCCGGCAGAAATTCGGTATTTCCTTGAAGAAATTGAAGCTCGTCCGTATACTGTACTTTCTTTGTGCCAAACGAATAATTTTAAGCCACTTGTTCGACGTCGAAGTGTGACTGTTTTCTGTGTTATGATCAAATGTTGAACATTAGAAAATTAAATTTCTCATAGTCAAATATCCATTCTTAAAAACAAACATCCGGAATGATCAAGCAGTTATTATTAAATTCCTATTTCTCCTGGACATTCAACCAAGATGTTAGCTTATAATTTAAAGTCGTAATAATGGTAATAATTTACAATTATAATGCCAAATTAAATGAGAGTATTTAATAATTTGATGGTAAAAAATATTAAAATCATAAAAAAAAAATTAATTTCAATAGTTGATATAAATGTCTTAATTTTGTTAAAGAAACTAAAATGTAATGATTATAAAATAAATCATTATAATATATTTTATTTTATGAAAACAGTTTTCCTATGTTACATTTTTTACAATTGGATCTACTGTCCGTTGTGTTATCCTTTCGTGCTCTAATGTAAGCCGGTGCCACCCGCCAACGCTGCGGAGATAAAAAAGACTCGAACGGCGGAGCAGAAGAATAATATGTATAAGCGTGTGATGCATGACCCACTTGACGAGGAACTGCTTCTCCGCGCAGGTATTTATTAGGACCTACTAACTACACTGCCGCGCGGATTGAGGTCATTCAAATGACTCGCGTTGTTTTGTCGCGGCCGCCACCGCAGTTCGTTGACACATCCCGAGAGAAAAAAATAAATCATGCACTCGAGAAAAATTGCAGCTTTTAGTCGGAGCCAGATTATTGGGGAAATCTCCTCGCTGGGTGATGAGGAAAGTAAACGAGAGGTGTGTCCGCGCCGCGGCGAAGTAAAGCAACGGAGCAGGAAATGGACTTCTAGAAAGAAGTGCGTCAAAGAAAGTTCTTTTTCTCGGGACTGCAAACAAGAATGAGAAAAAGAAAAATGGGTTAAGCTGACGAGAACGAGCAAAACACCTTTGACATCGCGCGACGAGCTTTGGAAATTAAGAAGTAATGATTTTGTCACGAGGCTCTCTACAAAATGAGCTTTAATTTATTGGCGAGAGGTCGCTAACCCTTGCTGACTTTCGACTACTTAATTCTGAAGAAATTTGAAATTTTTGCCTTGATGGGATTGGTCTCATTTTAATTATTTTCAAAATCCAAGACTACATTTTCAAGTCAAATTCAGCTTTTTCACAAGCACTTTAAATACCCTCAAAATACTTTCATTCAATCTAAAAATTTTAACTAAAAATGATCCTAAACTACGATAAAACATGAGTAATTTTACTAATCATCAGAAAAGATGAGGGCGAAAATTTTGTTACTCTATAAAAACAAAACATTGAGAATGTTCAAAAATATAAAAATTGAAATTAGTCTTTCTCCTCAATAAGTAATCCATGACATATGACAACATAATAAAATTATAAAAAGATAATAATTCAACACAAATAATCTTTGCTGTAAGAATAACAAAAAATTTAAATTTATTTTAATTGTTTTGAATGAAATTTGGTCGTTTAAATAATTATTTCATTTTTTCTAATTCACTTGAGAAAATGCTTCATTATTATGTATTCACCGTTAAAAAAAATTAAATCCGCCGCGTAAAAAATTGCTAGCAATTATTTCTTTCAGCCATGCGGAAATAAAATTAACAAAAAAATACTTAAAATATTTAAGTAAAGTACTAATATACATCATAGCATTAATAATATCTAATTATCTACGAAGTGAGCATTAATTAACCAAAGCTTGAAGTACCTCTGCCAAAATGCTTCTCTTCTCTGCGTGTATAATTATTATGTAACTGCGACAGCCACAAATTAAATTAATTTAGTTAACTACCAGCATCATTAGCATGCACATGCGGCGCGCGAATCAACACGTCTGCATGCACAAAAGGCATCTCCGGCGGTGCCATATGGGCTGACGAGCGAACATGTGCACGTTTTTATTTTTTAATCAAGAGAACGCAATTCAGCACCTCTTCCTCATTGTCAGTCGCGTGCATTCTTATGCTGATCACCGCTTTTTTGCCAGGCACAAGGAACACATGTCGCCGGAGAGTGACCACCGAACGGTAAGTTGCGCCGCGCATGACTTGAATTTGTTCTGTTCGGAAAATCTATCTCGTGATGTCATCGCGAGAAACGGGCAATTTGCAGGCGTTCGAATCTCCTCCGAATTTGCATATTTTCCTTCTTCGATGTGGGTCTGCCGGTTTTTTTTTTAGCAGTCATTCATTAGTGCAGCAGGTGATTCAGAGCCGGAAACAAAAGTGCCGCCAATGGTAAACATATAAACATAACCTGCTTGGAATTTTCAGCCGGCGTGCAGACGTAAATACCCGAGTGTAAAGAGAAGAAAGTTTCTATTTTGCTGCCGGGTCGCAAGGCAATTGTGGGAGCCATGCAAATGTGGAACAGCCGCAGTCCTTAACAATAATGAATCAGCGGTCAAATAGAATAGTGTGAAGATTCTAGTTCAAGACGATGCGTATTCAAATGTTGAATAGGAATTGTATAAATAAAAAATAAAAATTTTCAAAAACTTTCACAATGAATGAATTAAATTTTATATCAATACGTGCGAAGATATTTTGTCCTCAACAATACTTATTGTTAAATCAATTTAATGCTAGTATTGGTTTGAAAAAACCTGCTCACAAAAAGTTATAAAATAAATACACGTGTTTAAATTAAATTGTCTAGAAATAATTATTTCTTAATTTGATTGTCAAAAGTAGAGCTGCGTGTGGCTGTCCTCCTTATTCAACCTTGCCTGGTTTCGGTTTTTGTTTAGTTGACACGAAAAAATAAATAATTTGTCCCGAAAGAGATAAAAATGAACAACAGCGATTGCATTACTTTTACTCTCTGAAACCATTTTCAAGTCACATCTTTCTTTTCGATCGT